TATTACAATTGTAAATTTTAATAACCATTTTTTTTTTTTTTTAAAAAAAAACGTTATGTTTTGTTTTTTTTTTTTATTTATATTTATATATTCGCATTTTTATGTAACACTGTGTTAGAGTTTCAGCAAATAAAAAAATGATGTCATAAATACACCCAAATCCCCATAATACACAAATAATATTACCACACTCCCACATTTACCACATGTACATTTAACTATAAAAAAAATAAAAAAATAATTGTTTAAAAAAACAAACCTATATATGTCCTACTATGTTTATATTGTAAAAATAAATATAGAGAAGAAAAAATTTCTATGTAATTTTAATTAAACATATTTTTATCATTTAATCAAATTATTATTATTTTATTTTTTATTTTTTTTTTTATATTTTAAAATTTTTAGCTACAAATAAAAATAAAAAAATTAAAGCAATTATAATAATTAAAACAAACCAATTCAAATTATTATCCAACATTAAACCATTCTTTTAATAAATTAAAAAATAAAAACTATTGTAATTATTATTTTTTTGTTATAATTCAATATTTTTATTTTAAATAATAATAATAATAAAAATAATAATAATATTTCTTACACCAGTTTTAAAAGGGGGTTTGTGTTTTTAATAAATTTATATAATTACTTAAAATAATAATTTATTTATTTATAATTAATTAATATTAATTAATAATTCTATAAACCCTTTGGTATTTATTTTTTATTATACTAATAATAGGAATACTTTATTAAAATATCCTCAAATTTTTTATCTATATTAAATCTTTAAAAAAAAATATTTATATTTTTTTTAGTTTTTTTTTTTTATTATTTTTTTTATATTATTATTATATACAAATAAAACACAATTCATATCTCTTTTTTTTTTGGAAAATCACTAAACTGTGTATTATATTGATCCTCTTTTTTTATTTAATTATTTTGTTTTGTTTTAAATATATTAAATTTCTTTTTTTTAATTTTTTTATTTTAATTTTATCCTTACATTTAAATTATTTCAATGATAAATATTAATTATTATTATTTTTTTTTAGTATTTAAATAGTATTTTATATGTTTTTTTAAAATATATAAATAAATCAAATTATCAAAAATGGTTATTATGGAACAAAATTCCAAAGACAATGGATTACAAACATTGGGCAATGGAATACAAAATGGAATTCAATCAATACAATCAATACCACCACAAATGTTAGCATTTAAAGAAAAGATTATAAATAAAAGCAATAATTATTATTTATTAGACGACCCAAAATCACAACAACAAATGAATGATAATAGTTTAAGAAATAGACAAGAGAACAATGACAATTTATCACATATAGAAAGTAGAGTAAATAAAGTAATTGGTATAAAGGATAGTGATTTTCACCATCAAATATCAAATAGTAATAATACATTAAATAATATAAATAGTAATAATGAAGGAGATAATTTAAATTCACCAACATCATCAACTTCCTCATCCTCATCATCATCATTTAGACTAAGATCATTATCAGCACCAGGTTCAACCAACACTGCTTCTGTACCAGGTACAAAGAATCAGCGTGATTTGTTCCAACAATCTATTGATACATTAGCTGCCAAATTTAGTAAACAAAATAGTATAAACAATAATATAAATGTAAATAGTACCAATAGTTCATATATAGATTCATCAAATAATATTAGTGTAAAATCATCTTTAAATGAAAGTAGTAATACCAGCATTAAAAAATCACAAGGCTCCGATGAAGAATCCGAAGAACTTTCAAATATTGATGAAGAAATTAAAAGAATGAGATCATCATCTCTTACTTCTTTCGAAGCTATTAAAAGAATTGAACGTGATAGAGGTTACTACTCTCCAAGAGAAGATGCATTATCACCTTATGAAATGATCTCTCATTTAGAGTACCAAGAAAGAATTGAAAAAGAAGAACAAGAAAGAGAAGAAAGAAACAATATAATAATTACTCATAATTTTAGTGAAGGCTATACCGGTAATGAAACTTCAAAGAACACATCATCTTTAAATCATTATCATACTTTACCAAAAGCAAATAGCCATTCATCAGCCTCTAGAACCTGTCTTTCACCAACAAATAGTTTATCAAGCTCACCAACACGTTCTTCACCAATATTTAAACGTTCACTAACTTCAAATAGCTTACCATTATCGAAATCTGCTTCAAAACTACCAACTATTAATATAAATAATGAAGATGGCAATAATATTAATAATACCAATAATAATAATGATATTATTAATAATAAAAATGATGATATTGATGAAAATAAGCAAACCCAACAACAATTGGACCATCAACAACATTTGCAACAATTACAACAACAACAATTACAAATTCAACAACAACAATTACAATTACAACAACAACAATTAGAACAACAACAAAAGCAATTAGAACAACAAAAACAACAACTACAGCAACTACAACAACAACAAACCCAACAACCTCCACAGTCACAACCTCCACAATACCAACCACCACTCCCACCAAATATAGTAGAGCATCTCACCTCATCACCATTAAGCACTAGATCCCCCAAAAAAGTTCAACCATTAGTTAAATCACTATCATCACAAACAATAATTAAACAACAGCAACAACAACAACAACAACAACAATCATCACCAAATAGACCATCAACACCAAATCAAACAATGTCTCCATCCCCAAATCTTTCTAGTAACCTTAAAAAAATATCATCAAAACTTTCTTTATCTTCACATTCATTACCAACCAGTGGCAATGGTGGAGATTCTAATAATACTACTCCATCATTAATGTCAGCAAATAGTAGTAGTAACAGTAGCTTTGTTAAATGCTCCTCAGGTAATTCAATTTCTTTAAAGAAATCACAATTAAGCACTCTAAATGGGTCAAGTAGTATAAGTAGGGGTGCGCTATCATCATCATCAAACTCCTCATTAAACAATTCTTTCCAATTAGAATTAAAGCAACATTTAAAAAGAAAACAAGAATCAAACCAATCTAATGAAAAAAAAGAAAAATTTGAACAAAAAAAACATAAAACACCAAAACCTATGGATGAACCAAGTCCAAATGCCTCAAATTCTATTAAGGTAACTTTTCAATTTAGTGGCACAGGTAAAAAAGTTTCAAGATATTTCCAATCAAACTGTAAGGTTGAAGTGTTAAAAGAATATATAGAATGGTTATCTTTGCAAGAACCTCAATTATTCGATAGCTCTTTTAAACTCTCTGATGAATCTTTCTACAGAATTATAGACTATGACTTTTGCTATACCATTCAACCATCAAAAATATCAATTTCAAACTTTGATATAACATTTAAAGATTCTGGTTTTACTCCAAAATCAAATTTAATAAATATCTCCATTGTATAAAAACTCAATCAAAAAAATCAAAAATTGTATTTAATAATCATATAAACATTGTAATATGAACCAATTAATTTTTTTCATATTCATAAAAAGAAACAATAAATAAAAACCAAAATTAAAATATATATTTATACACGTTTATTTTTGTTTTAATCTTTTAATTTTTATTTTATTGTTTATTTTATTTTTTCAAATTTAGAAATAAACATACCAGAGGTACCGTTTTTAGGGTAAAATCTAAATGTGTTTGGAATATACCCTATTGAATATGGTATTTTACATTCTTCCTCTGTGTCTTCTTTATTGCTGCTGTTGTTGTCTTTTTCAAACTCTTGAAACGCTGGAATTAATTTTATAGAGTCTTTATATTTGTTTAATAGAAACTGAACAATTTCTTCATTTTGTTCTTTACAAAAGCTGCATGTACTGTACACTAAATGACCACCAACTTTAACTAACTTGAAACCATTATCGATTAATCCTTTCTGTAGTTCAGTTAACTGTTTGGATTTCTCTGGTGCATAGTATCTACCCATTTTCGAATGTTTTATTAAATGTCTAATGGAAGCATCCAAACTGCATTCTGCATCTACAATTACTTTATCATATAAAGTTGAACTGCTATATCGCATATAAAATTCATTACAAAAATATAAATCTTTTAAATCGAATATTGCTTTTTTACTTGATCTTTTATTAATTTTTCTTTTTTTATTGTTACTAATATTATTATTATTATTATTATTATTATTATTATTTAATTGAATTTCTTCATCTTCCTCCTTTTTTTCATCTATTTCCTCTATTTCCTCTTTCCTATTGCTTTCCTCATTTTTTTGATGTTTTTTAATTTGTTTTTGCTTTTTTCTAGACTCGACTATATCTTTTGGAATTGGATCATTTTTATTTGGTGCTAATGAATCGAATGTTGTGCCATCACTACAGAATAATCTTACATTAGGGATTTTATATTTTTTCAAAATTGTTTTACAACTACCTAATCTATTGGATGAAATATCTACACCTGAAACTGTACCATTACCACCCAACATATCTGATATCATACATAGTTTCGTTCCCGGTGCACAACAAATATCTAATACATTGTCACCTGGTTTTGGATTTAATGCTAAAATTGCTGCACCACTACTTGCATCCATTCCATATATCTAAATTTAATTAAATAATTAGGTATTTAATTTTATTTTTTTATAAATTATTTATTACTACTATTATTATAATAGTATTATTATTATTATTAAACTATCCTTACAATACCAGATTTATATGATTTTGTTGATGATATGGTTGCATTTGAATTTTCAAATTTATAAAAATAAGGTAACCATTTGATTGGAATTAATTTGGTTCCTAAATCTTCCTCTATCGATTTTATAAATAAATTTTTATCTTTTGAATTTTCATATTCTTTTTGTTTTATTCTAATAAATCTGGGTATATCTTTAACATTATATGAATCTAATGGAATATCATTATTGTTTAAAAACTCTATAAATTCTTTTGGTTTATTATTAAGAAATTCTTTTAAAAAATCTTTATTACATTCCACTTTTTCTTCCTCTTCCTCTTCCTCTTCGTCCTCTGCTCTTTCTATATCTTTTGTATTGTCGTTATCATCATTATTTTTAGCAATGAATTGCATTATTATAAATAAAATAAAAAAAATATTAAAAAATATTAAAAAAAATTAAAATTTTTTTTTATTTTTTTTAATTTAATTTAATTTTTTTTTTTTCACGTTCTTTCTCGCTCTTCACGTTCACGCTCTTTTTCTCTTTCTCGCTCTTCACGTTCACGCTCTTTTTTTCTTTCTCGCTCTTCACGTTCACGCTCTTTTTTTTCTTTCTCGCTCTTCACGTTCACGCTCTTTTTTTCTTTCTCGCTCTTCACGTTCGCGCTCTCTTTCTCTTTCTCTCTCTTTCTCTTTCCTTTTCCCATTTAGTTATTACAGTAATTTTAGGGGTTATACTTATTTAATTTCAAAACTATCATATTTGCAAATATATATGTATAAAAAAGAAATATTTAACATTATCAATAAGTGCTATAATATTTACAAAAATAATAAAATTAATGAATCAATTCAAAAATTAAATTATAATTATATTTTAATTTATATAAATTTAATTAATTATAACTATGAAATAATATGTACTAATAACAATGTAGACTGTACAGATAATATAAATAAAATAAATAAAACATCTAAAGAACTATTAGAAATAATATGGAATGACTTTCTTCATGTTGGCGATTGGAATAATGTCGATATTATTTGGAAAGATTTATTTTCATATACAACTATATTTTATGTTTTTTCAATATTTATAAACAATAACTATAATAATAATAATAATAATAATAACATTTTAAAAACCTTAGACTATGCAATTTTGTTTGGGGATAAATTATTTAACTCAATAATAAATGATTTCATAAATTTTATAACAAACAGTAATATTAATAATAATAATAATAATAATAATAATAATAATAATAATAATAATAATAATAATAATAATAATTTTAATTATAATAAAGATATAAATTTAAATTTAAATCCAAACAAATCAATCAAAATTTTTAAAGATCCCATCAGTTTAGAAGAATTTAACAAAGAAATGAAATTTGGTGAACCATTTATAATAGAGGGTTATATGAATTCATGGCCATGCTTTTCAAAAAATGATTCAAATAATAGAAATTGGGGCAATATAAATTATCTTAAACAAATCGCAGGGCATAGGACAGTAAATATTGAAATTGGGAAAAACTATTTAGATAACAACCTATCACAAAAACTAATAACATTTAACGAATTCATTGAACAATTTATTGAAAATAACAATGAAACAATTGGTTACTTGGCACAAACCAAATTATTAGATCAAATACCAGAATTAAAAAAAGATATCAAAATTCCTGAATATTGCTCCGAACAACCAATTGTTAATGCATGGTTTGGTCCCAAAAACACAATTACCCCTCTCCATTTTGACCCCAAAAATAATTTTCTTTGCCAAGTGGTAGGATATAAATATATTAAATTATATCACTCAAAATACTCAAATTATTTATATCCAAATTCTAGTTCAAAATTATATTTTAATACAAGCATGGTAAATATTTATTGCTACTATATTATAAACAAAACAAAAAAAAAAATTAATATTTTTTTTTTTTTATCAGGTTGATATAGAAAATCCTAACTATGAAAAATATCAAAAATTTAAAGAAATCGAACCAAACTTTTTAGAATGCGTGCTCAGGCCAGGCGATATTTTATTTATACCCAAATTATATTACCACTTTGTAAAATCTCTTTCGATATCTTTTTCATTAAGTTTTTGGTGGGGTTAAATAAATAAATTAAATATTTAATTTATTAACTTAATTTAATTAATATTAAGTTTAGAAAAAAAAAATAAAAAAAAAAAAAAGAAGAAAGAAAAAAAAGTCTTGTTGACTTTTAAATAACACCTGATATGCTGACACATAAATTCAAAAAACGAAAAAAATAAAAAATAAAAAAATAAAAAATTAAATTTTCAAAAAAAAAAAAAAAAATTTTTGATTTTTTTTTAACAAACGATAATCCTATAATAAATATTATTATCATATCTCTAAAAGACACTTTTTTAAATTAAATTATATAATATTTAAAGATATAGGTAAAATGGTAAATTATTTTAATTTGCTCGATGACGAAGATGAAGAGGTTAATGTTCCATTAGAAAAAGAACAAGTTAAACAACAACAACCACAACCACAAACTTCAATCTATGTTCCACCACTTAGAACTAGCACAGAGGCCACAAATAAAGCACCAGTTTCACAACATATTGAAATTCAATTTGATTTTGATTCAAAAAATTTAGAAGAAACTTTACCAGAGAAATGGATTCTTTGGTATGATACCAAAAAAGCTATAAATACAACCACAACTGAAAGTGATGGTGAATATCTTCAAAATGTCGAAAAGGTTGGAACATTTAATACATTAAAGGTAAGAATTTTATTTTTATTATTACTATTTAACATTTTGGTCTTCATGTTAATATAAATTTTTTTTATTTTTCTGTAGGAACTTAAAAATCTTTGGGACTCATTAAAGACTCCATTAGAGGTTATTGGTAATATTAGTATTTTTAAAGAAGGTATTGAACCAGCTTGGGAAGATTCAAAAAATAAAGATGGCGGTAAAATTGTATGTTTTAAATTAAATTTTTTGATGTTCAAATTTTTATAAATTTATTAATTTTTTTTTTATATTTTTTTATTATAATAAAATTTTAGTCTGTAAACTACCTAAAAGATAATGGTGATTTTAGTAAAGTTTTTAATGCTTGGTTTACTTTATTCACAACAATTGTTTATACTACTTTTGAAAATTATGAACAATCTGTAAGTTATTTTCTTTATAATAGATTAGATAGTTAACAAAATTTTAATAAATAATATTTTTTTATTTATTTATTTTAAATATAGAACGGTATCGTATTATCAATTAGAGGTTGGGGTGCATCAATTAGTTTATGGAACGGAAGTGCAGAACAAGATAAAGTTCAATCAATTAAAGAATCATTCCACAATATATTATCAATTAAATATTCAAAGTACTCAGTACATAAAGCAGCAATTCTTTTCAAAAATAATAAAAAAGATGATATTAAAACTGGTGGTCAATTATATAAAAAAAAGAGAGATGAACATGGTTTCACAATTAAACCATACAATGTAAATACTCAATTATTAGTTCATCCAGGTTTCTCAGGTGCTTATGAAAAGCAATGGTCTGTAGAACAACCACAACAATCACAACAATTACATTTAAATAAACAACCAATAAACTCAAATAAAATATCAATTAAAAAACCATTATATACTGTAAATACTGAAGAAAGAAAAGAAATAGTTTTAGAATCAGATTTAGCTGAACAACATCAACAAGAAAAAGATCAAGTAAAAGAAGCTATACAGCCAATTATTGAAGTACCAACAGGTGTTAATGCATGGTCAACTGGTTTATTATTAGGTCAAAAACCAGAAAATAATAATAATAATAATGATAACACAGTTTTAGAGGAAGAAGAAAAAGTAGAAGAAGAATTAAAGAAGGAAAATAAATCAGTTTATTCTTGGAATACTCAAAAAAATACATCAGAAGAATCATCAGCAACTGTCGACTTTGCATCCATTGCTTCAAATAAACCAACTGCTACTATTAATAAAAATGCTGAAGTTCCATCAGGTGTTAATGCATGGTCAACTGGTAAATTATTAGTTCCATCACCATCAATAGCTACTGAAAAAAAATCAAATTCGAGTGAGAAGTTAATTGAAGAAAAACAAATTGTTGAAAAGAAAGAGAAAAAAGAAAAAAAAGAGAAACCAGTTGTTGAAAAGAAAGAACAACCAATGAAAAGAGTAAATTCAAAAGAAGTTTTACAAAAAACAGAAGTAGTTTCATCATCAGATTCATTTTGGGAAGATCCAGAACCAATTGCCCCAGCTCCAGTTAAAAAAGTTGAACCAACTCCAACTCCAGCTCCAGTTAAAAAAGTTGAACCAACCCCAGCTCCAGCTAAAAAAGTCGAACAACAACCAATTGAAACCCAACCAGAATCATTCTCCAAAGTTGCTAAAAAAGATAAATCATATAAAAATAAAAACCAACCTCAACCAGTATCATCATCATGGTCAGCTCAAGGTCTTAGTATTGCTGAATTAATTGCTAAACAACCAGAACCAGTTGTTTCCTCAACACCAACACCATCTGTTGTTGAACAAATTTCTGCTACCACTACTGTAAATATAGTTAAAGTTGAAACTGCACCATCTGCACCATCTGCCCCATCCACCACACCAGAACCAGTTAAATCAGGTTTACTTCAAATTAAAGAAGCTAAAAAGGTTGAAGTTTTAGAAGTTGTTAAATCAGAAACTGATGAATGGAAATCTGTTGAAAAGAAAACAAAAACAGCCAAAAAAATCTCAAATGATAAAGAAAAGAAAGAAAACATCACTAATAATAAAGGACCACAAGATAACTTATTAATTAGAAATTTAATAGTTGAAGAACCATTAGAATATTTATCACCAGTTAAACAACCACAAAAGAAACAATCTAAGGAGTCATCTAAAGAACAACCAAAATCAAAAGAGCAACCAAAGGAACAATCAAAACCAAAAGAGCAACCAAAAGAAACAAACACAGTTAAAAAGACATCTAAAAAACAAACAGAAGTTACCAAAACCACCACTTCAAATAATAAACCAAATAATAAATCAGTTACCCAAAATACAAAAGACACTTCAATAATATCACCATCATTAAAAATGAATTTAATTGCTGTTTTTGCTGTTTTAGCTTTAGGTTTTATTCTTAAATATTTATTTGCTTAAATAAATAATTCATCAACATATAATAACATAAATATTATTTTTATAAAAAAAATAATAATATTTTTAGCAATAAAAAAAAAAAAAAAAAAAAAAGAAATAAGAAAAAAGTAGAATTAATACTAGCTTTACTGCTATTATTACTTTAATATTAGATTAATAATATTTTTTAAAAATTTTAAATAAATAAATATATTTTTTACAAATAATCTAAAACAAAGAATTAAATAAATCTATAAAAATAAATTTTAGAGAAAACACAAAATTTAAATTTCTACCAAAGTAGTAATTATTTATTAAAATTACAAATAAATTATGCACATTTTTTATTTTTTTGTATAGATTAAAATACATAAAATCTTCTTTATTAAATTACAAATGTAGTAATAATAATTATAAATATATAATATTAATTTCAATTAATTTGGGGAGAGAATAATAATATTGTGTATTTAGTGGTGGTATCTACTGGTGGTGAATGTGGTGGTAGTGGGATTTCTTTTTTTAAAAATTTTTAAAAAAAAAAAAAAATAAAAGAATACAATCTACAATATTTGGTTTTTAATATCAATACTATAAACAATTATTATATTGCTTATAGTATGATAAGTTTGTGAGTATTATAAATACACATATTTATTTTTTTAAAAGTACAAAGTTTTTTTTTTCTATAAAGTTTTTTTTTTTTGAATTAGAAATACAGTTGATTTTTTTTTAATATTTCGATTAATATAAAAAAAATATTATAATATCATATGATTATCATTATAATAATTATTTAACATGAGATTGGGGCACCATCTTTTGGGTATTCAACAACAAAACCTTTGGTTTGGAAACTTGATTGTTCAAAATAACCTGGTGGTAATTTAGAGATCTTACTATTACCATAAAAGTTAATTTGATTATTATTTAATAAAGTACAATTTGATGATGAGTTTGAAAAGTTTAAAATAGATTTTAATGAATCTAAAAAAAAAAAAAAAAAAAAAATTAATAACTAAAATATTAAAATTTATTTTTTAAAAAACAAAAAGAACTTACTTAATAAGGCCATTTTTGAAATTATTTTTATTTTAAAATATTATTTGTATAAATTTTTATAGTTTTAAAATATTTATTATATTTATTTTATTGTTTGTTTTTAATTTAATGATCATTGTATTAAAAAAATGTTTCCTTAAATAGTTGATTGTTTATTCAAAAATTAAAAAAAAAATTTAAAAAAAAAAAAAATTAAAAAAAAATAAAATTAAAAAATTTAATAATAATAATATAAGAAATTTAATATATACCTTCTAAGAGGGTTAATTTCAATAATATAATTTTTGATTAATGATTTGAACTTGTACAACCAACTATTTATATATAAAATAATTGTTTTTGTTGTATACTAATATTATGATAACACTAATAAATACCCACTCTATTACAACAAAAACAACAACTATTTGGTTAACCCCATAACCACACACACAATATTTAAAATATAGATAGTAAAACACACATACATACACACACAAAATCAAACACAGAAAACACACTCCAATACACAGATTTAAATTTAAAATAATTATCATTATTATTTTTATTATTCAAAATAAAGAAAAATCACCCAAACATTCTTTTTATGTTAATATTAATATTTTGACTTTATGCTTTTCTCTCTATAACATATTGTGTTATTATATTTTATAAATTTTATATTATTATTGTTGTTGTGGTGTTGTTTGGTGTTAAAATATTAATAATATCATTTATTATTATTTTAACCAAGGAACTTTTTACTAACCCACTCACATTCTTACACACAAAGAGACAATAAATTATTATAATTTACCCCGCTCCATAAGAATTTTATATAGATTCATTTTTTTATTTTATTTTCTTTTTTAAAATCATAACATTTTATTGTTAAAACAAATCTAGACTATTAATTATCGCTTGTTTTTCACCGCTAATGATGATAAAATAAACACACTAGCTCATTATATTTTTAATTTAAAATAATAAAAATAAAAAAAAATAAAAAAAGTTTCTTTTTTTTAATAATAATCTTTTAAAAAGATAATGACAACAAAGTAGCATAAATACTAAAAAGAAAAATACACCATATTAATATAATGATAAAAAAAAGTACACAAATACATATTCGCTCACTAATTCACTCACTCACAAACACACCCACACACTTCAACACTTAATAACTTTTCATAATTTACCCATTATAAAGCTTTTATACTATGTACATTTAAATTAAAGTTCAAACAGCATTTATAAATTTTTTATTAAATACCCAATTACATTTTTTCAACGACTTTGTTTAATATTTATAATTTAATAATTTTGTAAAATAACTATTTGTCTTTATATTCAGCATAAACGCACAATGATTTTTTTATAAAAAAACCACTAGACTCATATTACACTCATTTATTTAATTTCTATTTAAAATTTAAAATAAATTTAATTTTATCACTCTTCTTTATCATATGTTTATAATTTGAATTTACCAACATTACTATAAAATTAAAATGGATAGTGGACATGTGTGTGTATGTGTATTAATATTTTGGTGTGTTAATTATAATTATTATTATTATTTTTATTATTATTAAAAAATAAATAACTAACCAATAATTTTAATACATCGATAACAATAAATAATAATTATTACTAAAAAAAAAGTTATAATGATATCATCAATTAACTGATTTATATTATAAGAAAATAATATAATTATTTTAATACTTTATTAAGACATTATAATAAAAAACATAATTGTTATTTTAAATTAAAACTCTTTTTTTTTTTTTAGAATAAAAAAAATAAAAGGTTTATTGTCTGTTTTTTTTTTTTAAATCGGAAATAATTATTTAATAATTTCATTATTATTATTATTATTATTATCATTTTTATTATAATTTTTTTTTTTTTTTTGAATTTTTATTATTGTTGCTTTGATTTTATTTTTTTTGTTTTTGTTATTGTTATTATTAAAACCAAGGTTTATCATCCTTTTTAAATTTTTGAAGATCTTCGAGATCAAAAATGTAATATGGACGGCCAGGGATTTTTTTTTGATAAATCCAATCATTTGTGTAGGTGTCGTAATTTTTTAAATATTTTTCGTTATCAAAAATGTTTGGTTTATCAGCAATTTTAGAAGTTGATCCATTTGAAAGAACATCTTTTTCATTTTTGTTATTGTTATTTTCTACATCCATAAGTGATTTATTATTTTCAACTATATAGTTTAAATGAAAATTTAAAAAAAAAAAGGGTTAATATGAAAACAGTTTTAATTTTATAATAATTGTTGATATCTTTTAATTATGATTTAATTTTAATGATATACATTATTTTATGATTTATAATTATAAACCTTTATTTTTAATTTTTATTTTGTAAAATGAGTTTTGATTACAAATTGAAATATTACTAATTTTGTAATTTAAAAAAAAAGATAATTTACATAAAATAATAAATTTATAAAAAAATAATCTATTTGTATAAAATTATAAACAAACTACAATATTTACCTATTATTGTCATTTTTTCTTCAGTATATAGATTCTTTAATAAATGTGTTTTTTATGATTGATCTTTTTTATGATTTTTTTTTTTTATTGTTATTAAAAATATTTAAACAAAAAAAATAATTTCAAAATTAAATTTTTTTTATAATAAATAGTAATAATCTTTAATTATATTATATTAATTATTAATATATTTAATTTATAATATATTAATAAATATTAATTTAATTAAAAGTTTGAATATAAAATATAAAATATATATAATAATTTAAATTAATAGAGTAAAAATAAATTATATAAATTAATTATATATATGTTTAATAAATTTAAAATATTTATAATTTTTAAAAATTTAAAAAAAAGATAAATTAAAAAATATTATTAAAATTAAAATTAAAATTAAAATTAAAATTAAATAAATTGTATATTTAAAGAGCTGATACATTAACACACTCAAACAACCCCCACTAATTTCTAATGTTGTATATTAGTCTTACTACTACAACTACTATTACTATTACATTTATCTATATTAAAAAATTATTTAATTATTTTCAGTATATATCGTTTTTTTTCCAATTTAAATATTCCCATGGTCATTTTGTTTCTTTTATTTGTTTGTTTTTAGAAATCAATTTTAACAATATTATTGTTATTAGTGATTCTTCAAGAGGGTTATTTTATTCTATTATTATCTATGCATGTATTTGAACAACAGCTAACACAAAATTTATACACCCACACCCACATTAATACCCCAATTCACACACATTTGCACATTTTTTTTAAAAAACCCACACAAAAAAAGTATTTAGAAATTACATAGTTTATTTTTATTGATATATGTCGTCACTATAATTTTTTATTTTCTTCAGTTTCAAAAAAAAACAAAAAACAAAAACAAATATATATAATTAATCAAATGATTTTGTGTGTTTTTTTTTAAAGTGGATAGAATGAGCACATTCACACCAACCCACCCATATTACAATTAAGGATAAAAAATGTTTTTATTTGTTCAGCATTGTAACTATTGGGGGAGAATTGTTGTTGGATTTAAATGAGATTTTTTTTTTTTCTTGATAAATTAAAAAAATTCTCAACTGTATTAAATCTGTAAGATAAAAGTAGGTGACGTTGTAGTAATTTTAAAGTTTATTAAGTTCTAAATTTAGAAAACAATTTAATCTAATATACATCGCATTTTTTTTATTAATAAAAATATATAAAAAAATTATTATAATATTAAAATAAAAAATTAATCTTTGTTTTTAATTGGTTGTTTTTTTATTAAATCTTTGATATCAATTGGTAATCATTGGAAAATTACTATAGATAAAAATAAAAAAATAAATAAAATAAAAATAAAAAAAAAGGATAATAAAAAATAAATAAAAAAATTAACAGTAGGTTTACTTTTTATTTATTAATTTATTTCAATAAATATTTTCTAAATTTTTTAAATATTTTTGAATTTTTGAATGTATATATATCATTAGAATTTGAAAAAGTTGTGATAATATTTGAGTAATTTGAAAAAAAGATTTGATCTTTTAAAATTTCATTTTCATCTGCTATAAATAGAAATTGTAGAGATAATGGTAGTGGTAGTTTATAGGATGGTTTTTTATCACCACGAATAATAAGTACTGAAGTTGAAGGAGGGATAAAATCTTGAGATAGTATTGGTATACTTTCCATTATAATATTTGGATCAATGATATTTATGTTATACTCTGAAAATGAAAAATTTAAATCCAAAATTCGAAGTGTTGATGGGAACGGTGATATATTGTGTTGGTTCATAAGATGAATCATGTAGCCTGTGAAAATGGTATCTAACATTATGGACTTTAAACTTGAATCTCTTAAATAGTTGTGGTTTGGTAAGATATTGTCCACTTGATCTATATTCCCTTGGCTGTAATCAACCATCTCTAAATTTGTAATATTCTTCATTTTTTCGAGTGGTGGTAATAATACTGAATGGAAAAGAGTTATATATCTTAGTGATTTTAAATTATTAAATTTTAAAAATAAATCTGAAACTGAACTATCACTATTGTATATTCTTCTATCGAATAAAATAAGTTTCTTTAAATTTGAGGGATCTTGAAAATTAAATGATATTTGGAAGTTTTCGCATTGCAGTTTTTTAAGAGTTTTGGGGAAACCAATGCCATATTTATTTTCTATAATTGAGGGAGTTCGGTGGCATATTTTAAATGATTTTATATTTTGTGGTATTATTCCAATGTCAAAAGTTTTTGATGTTAAATCTATTTTAATATTAGATAATGATTTTAATGATTTTAAATTATTATTTATATATTTGTTGTTAATTTCAATTAATTTATCTACTTCATTTTGTTCTATTGTTGAATTTTGTTGCTGTAGTTGCTGTTGCTGTTGTTGTAGTACTGAGATTGGTTTAAATAAAAATAAAAAAGTTGGAAATGATAAAGAAACTTTTTTTAAACTATAACTCTGATCATTTATCCATTTAAAATCTATATGAGTATTATTGAATAAATAAATTGATAGACTTGAAAGTGAAGATGGAATGCTATTATACATTGTATTGTTTGGTTGAGTATTTGGGGCATCTTTTTTATATGATCGAATTTCAAAGTTTTTTAAGTTTGGTGGGAAGTTTAATGTTGGATGGTCATATTCAGTAACTATTATTAATGTGTTTAGCAGTTTTGGTAATTTGGTTATTGGTTTAGGAAAATCCATGGAAAGTTCTAATCTTTTGATTGAGTCTGGTAAATAAAAAAGTACTGATGGGTCACAAAATGGGCCTAATTGTAATGATTCTAAATATTTAAATGGTGAGTTTTCTATTATTTGCTGATAATTGAAATAGTAGTTAAAAAGTGTTGATGCTTTGGCTAAAATGGATATTTCTAAACAGAGCATGCCAAATTTAAACTCTTTTAGTGTTTCTGGTAGTTTTAGCTCTTCAATTGGAATTGGGGTAAGTAAAAAATAATGGGAGATTTTTAAACTATTTATATTTGGTGAGAGTTGGTTTAAAAATTCTAAAAATTTTTTTTTTGATTCTTTAAATGAATCTCCATTAATTGAAATTGATTTTATTGAAAAAGGGTTATCATTATTAATGTTGTCGTTGTATTGATAATAGTCCGAGTGTTTATCAAATTTTAGTGAGATGATTTTGCTTATTTCATTATATAGTTTATTATAAGTAAGTATCTTATTACGAAGTATATTATTTTTCCAAATTATAAAGAATTTATCATTATTATTATTAATATTGTTTATATTACTATTATTATTATTGTTATTATACATAATAGTTATTATAGTATTACTGTTGTGCTGATAAATAAAAAAAATAAATGAAATTTTTTAAAAAATAAATTTTAAATAATTTTATAAAAAAAAAAGAAAAAAAAAAAAAATAAATTTAAATTAAAATAAAAATCCCAATTTAGAAAAATATCTTGTCATTAAATGCGCTATCATTAATCACAATTTTTTTATTTGTTAATGAAAAATATGTATATTATTTTAGAAAATGTAAAAACTCTTAAATTTATTTATTTATTTATTTATCTTTATAAATCTATTTAAGTGTAATCACAATTGTTCTAAAATTGTGTATAGGATTTTAATCAAGTTGAAAATTTGATTTTTTTAAAAATTCTTCAAATGTTGTTAATTTTAAAATTTTTTTAGAGATGGTGTTATCAAAATGGCCAAAATATGGATTTTCACTGAAATAATCATAAAGATGAGCGATATAGGGTGCCTCTACATAAACATTTGATTTTGCATATTCTTTGGATGGAACATAGTTGTAAACAACTTTTTTACCCAATACTTTTGTAAATGTATCTGTTAATTCGGGACCTGTTAACTCCTGAGCTGAAAGTGGTATAACTTGACCTGAATATTTGGTTGGGTTTTTAAATTGTTCGGATACAAGGGGACCTAGATCATTGATATCGCCATGGTCGAGTTTTAAATCTGGTTTACCTGGTAAATCTAATGAGTAATAGGTTGATCCATCTTTGGAGTCTGTATGTTTTTGCAATGGGAAATAAGTTTTAAAATTTTGAAAGTACATTGGTGCAGATACAAACGATGATATAAAATGACTATTTTGTTTAGATAGATTTCTAATATATTTTTCTATGTCTACTTTACTATTGAAATCTATAAAATCATTGTATTTTCCATTTGAAAGTTCTCTTGGGTCAGGTAATGTACTGAAAACAAAATGTTGAACACCACTTAAAAGTGCAGCATCCGCAACCTTACACCCATATTCAGTTTCTTTGTCTGGATACCCAGATGAATTTGTAACCAAAAAAACTCCATAACTATCTTTAAGTGCTTTTTCAATCTCCTCTTTTGGTTTTGATTCATCACATTTTATAACTTCTACTCCACAATCTTTTAATTTTTTTGCAGTTTCTGATTCTGTATTTCTTGTGAATGTTCTTACTTTAAAACCATCGTTTAATAATGCTTTAACCACTGCTCCACCCTAAATTATTTTACAAATTATTATTATTTTTTCTACAATTAATATTATATTTTAGCGCTTCTTACTTGTTGACCAGTACCCCCAAAAACTGAAATTAGTTTTGACATAACTTATTAAAACCAATAATATAAATTTAATAAAATGGGTGAAATAAAATTTTTTTTAAATTCGAAAAATTAAAAAAAAAAAATTAATTTATGAAAAAATTAATTTAAAAAAAATATTTTTTTATTATTTATTAAACATCATAAAATTTAAAGAATCTTTGGAGGTAAAGAATTCGTGTGTGATTCTGAAAAGATGAATCTATAAGGTTCTTTTTTTTTTTTAAAGTGAAGATTATTTTAATGATCTTTAAACAAAGTTTTATTTAATTAATACTACAATTTTATTTGATATGAGGATAAACTTGTTATTATTAATTTTTTAATTTTTTAATTAATCTTTTTTTGAAATAATCATACAACCAGTTTTAATTTCTGGTACAACCTTTTCTAATTTGAAACCTGCAGCATCAAATATTTCGTTCCATTCGTTTAAAGTTCTTTCTTTATCATTAAGCATTTGCATCATTAAAATATCAATGTAAACTGAATATTTGGTGTAAAATGGTGGTTCTGTAAATGAATTTTAAATTAATATAAAAAAATAACATTAAATTATATATAATGATGGTTAATCAAAAACTTACCAATAATAACGTTCATGTTGGAACTTTTCGGTTGCTGCATTTAAAACTAAATCTAAATCAAAATTAATACCATTAACTGTTGGATATGTTTCTAAAATACTACCGATTAATCTTTATTTAAAATAATAATAATAATAATTTATCAATTTTATGAATATGAGAATGTAGAGCATAAATATATTTTAATTTGATCATCTGAGCTAAATAGAATCTATCTCTTTTCATTTTTGTATTACTATATATTATAATTTCCATAATTGTTTTAAAAACACCCAAATCTAGCATTAATGTAATAGACCAATATTCAAAAAGCTTTTCTTTGATAATCTTTGAAATAAGCTTGAATTTATACTTTTTGGAACCTCATTCAATTTCTATTTTATAAATGTCTTCTTTTTCTGAGTTGATTTTACCTAAATTCAGATTTTTTTATTTACAATTTTTTTTTTGAAAAACAAACTAATATTTGATATCGTGGTTGCATACTTTACAACATATATTCTTTCTTGAAGACTGTTCATAAATCAATTGGTTTGATGGTGGGTCTTTGCTAATGTTTGGGAATATATATGTTCATTGAAAAGCTAAATAACATTCTTTTAAAACTGCTTCACTTTTGGGATGCTTTATTTATAGGTGATAGTCTATGTGAATTAATTTAGTGATTGTATTTTATTTTAATTAGAACAATTGTTTAGAAATAGCAGTTAGCTCTCTTATTATATTAATGAAGGACATTATAATATATAAATATTTAGTTATTGTATTTTTATTTTTATTTAGTTTATAATAATATAATGTTTATGGTGGTGCAGTACCATTTTTAGAAAATAATTAAAAAAAATCAAAAAATTAATTTAAAAATTTTTTTTTTTAATAAATTTATCATCATTTAATGAATGTTCTTTTATAATAATAATAATTACTTTTATATATTCAACAAAAAAATTTTAAAAAAGGATCCGTCAGTACAGATTAAATATATTTGGTTAATGGAAAAGATTTCAAAAACATATGACTCACAGTAACTTTGCACATATCACATACAGAGAATCGTAGTTAACTCATTTTCTACAAGAGTTATACTATTACAGAGGCTGTGGTAGTGGATTATTATCAGAGCCAATCGTAGTATCAGGGTGGTAGTATTGCACTAGAGATTTGTTTCAAACTATAGGTCATATTAAAATGCTTTAGAGTTTATATAATTATAAATAATAATAGAAATAATAAATAATAATGATAAAAAATTACAATAATTGACTTTTAATTTTATACAATTACAACCACAATAACAGCAACTTTAAGTCAATTTATTCACCAAATTTCACAAGATGGAAAAAATTTACCATGGTTTTTAAATAATAAAAAACAATAAAAATTTATTAAAAAATTAAAAAAGTTTAAAATTAAATATCTTTATTTTGATAATGAATAGAAAATTAACTAGAGATGTAGAATTTTTAATTCTATATATTAATAATATGTGATAAAATTGATGATAATTATTATTATCTATTATTATTATTATTTGTTATTTACACTATATACATATAAAGTTGAAATAAAAAGAATTTAAATCTTATAATTTTTAAAATTAAATATTAGTATCTTTTATATTCAAATATAATAATAGTTATAAATATTAACTTTATAAATACCTTTAAAGTACAAATACCCCAATGAATGATGAAAGACCTGAAAACCACAATTAATAAGAATAAAGTAAACCCCAATGAATAATGGGTGACTTGAAAAAACCCCAATGCTTGATAAAATAACATAAAATACCCAATTAAAAAGAATAAATTAAAACCCCAATGTATGATACACGATTTGAAAAAACCACAGCGTTTGAATAACTTGATAAACCCGCAATTTATGATAAAATATTTGAAAAACAACCCCAATGTTTAATGAATAACTCGAAAACCACATTTAAAAAGAATATGTTGAACCTATGATGAGTGACTTGAAATCCCAAATAAAAAGAATATACTGAACCCCAATTTAATAGAATATATCGAACCCCCAATGTATGATGAATGACTTGAAAACCCCAATTTTAAAAGAATACTGAACCCCAATGTATGATGAGTGACCTGAAATCCCTAATTTTAAAATAATATCCTGAACCTCGATATGATGAGTGACTTGAAAACCCCAATTTTAAAAGAATATACTGAACCCCAATGTATGATGACTTGATAACCCCAATTTTAAAAGAATATATTGAACTCCAATGTATGATGAGTAATTTGAAAGCCCCTTTTAAAAAGAATATATTGAATCCCCAATATTAGATGAGTCACCTTAAAAACCCCCAGCGTTAGATGAATGACTCGAAACTACAATTAGAATGAAAATACTGAACCCTGATTTAATAGAATATATGGACCACAATATATGATTAATTACTTGAAATAAATTAAGTATTGAAACTGAAAAAGAATGCATGAACTTAAACTAAATAAGTATTAAAATTAGATATTAGTTTTTTATTATTCAAATTTAATAATAATTATGTAAATATTAACATTATAGTTACCTTAAAATTAATTAAAACCCTGAATGAAACGATTTTGTTAATAGTTTAGTCTTCATCTATTTCTTAAAGAAACTTTGAATGAGTTATGTAAAACTATTAATTTAATCGCCTTCAAATTTCAATATTAATTTGAGAGATCCATGTCATCTTCTTCTTCTTCATCGCTATCTTCATCGCCATTTCCTGGGTGATCTTCATTATTATATAAGCCAGGATAAGAATTGTAAGGAAAAGGGTATGTAATTGGTGGGAGTTGAGCGGCTTCATGGATTAATTCTTGGAGTGTACTGTAAAAATTTGGCCATCTATCTTTTCCTTGAACTCTATATGGGACATTGGCACTGTTTACTAAACCTTCAACATAATTGTCTCTCTGAAAATTATTAATAATTGAAATAAATTAATATGTTTTATTTTTTATAAATAAATATGAATGTGTAAATTACTTACTTTTATATTATAAAATCTTTTTCTACATGTTGGGCAGGTGTTAGCTTGATCTGACCATTCTAATATACAATCAAAGCAAAATTTATGGTTGCAATCAATTGTTGCTATTTTTATTGTCTCTATTTGATCTATGCAAATATTACAATGGTAATCTATTTCTAATAGTCCCCTTTCTAATTTCTCTTTTTCCTCTTTTTATTTTTCTTCTTTTTCTTTTTTTAATTTTTCCATTTTAGCAAAATCATTATCTTTTTTTAAACTCTCTTCATCGAGTTTTTTTTTTTTGTTAATTTTTCTATCACTTTCATTTGATATATCATCTTCTTCCAATGGTCTCTTTTTCATTGGATTGCCAGTTGATGCAACTGTAGAAAGATTGCTTGATTCTGATGATGATCTTGTTGCTGGATAGGTTGGTATAACGTCAGTGGATCTATGAAATGGTGTATAATCTGAGGTTATATTTTGTTGGTATGATTGTGCAAACCATGGTGGAATTGGGGGATTTGATTGAGAAGAATTAAAAAATTGAGATTGGAGTTGACTTTGTGATTGGGTGTTTGGTGATCTTGTTGCAGGAAAGGTTGGTATGATCTATGGAATGGCGATTCTGAGGTTATATTTTGTGGTTGAGATGGTGATTGATTGTGTGATGGGGTATATGATGATATTGTTGCTGGAAAAGTTGGAATAATATCAGTTGATCTATGGAATGGTGATTCTGATATTATATTTTGTGGTTGAGATGGTGATTGATTGTGTGATGGGGCATTAATACATTGGTCAAGTGGGGATTGACTGGTTTGGGAAATGTTATTATTATTATTATTATTATTATTATTATTATTATTGTTATTATTAATATTATTATTATTATTGATACTATTGATATTATTATTATTATTGATATTATTATTATTATTATTAATATTATTATTGTTATTATTAATATTGTTATTATTATTGATATTATTATTGTTGTTGTTATAATCATTGGAAATTATTAAATTAGATGGTTGTGTGCAGGTGTTGCTTTCATCATTGTTATTATTATTATTATTATTGTTATTATTGTTATTATTGTTATTATTGTTATTATTGTTATTGTTATCACTGAAAAAATAATTTTTTATTCTGTAAAATGCATTAGTTAAATAATCCATTTTTTTTTAAATTGTAATAAAAAGAGTGATAATGCGAAATGTGATTTAGTGTAATTTTATTTTATTTCAAAAAAATTATTATTGTTATTAAAAATAATTAATGGGTGGAATGCAATAATAAAATAATGAGTTGATTAAATTATATAAATAATGTATATATTAATGAATATAAAATAATAAAATAAATAAATAAAAAAAAATAAATAAAAAAAATTAAAAAATTATTTTCTAAAATTTAAAAATGTAAATTAAAAAAAATTCTTAAATTAAAAAAAAAAAAAGTAAATTAAAAAAAAAATTTTAATTTTTACTACAAATAGAAATGAAATTCATTGATGGAGTTAGTTGAAAATTCATTGATGAAATTTTTCAAAAACATTGTTTTTTTTTGGTTGTTAAATATATGATATTTCTTTAAATATTTTTATAACAAATAATTTTACTTTTATATATTTAAAATAATTGATGGCATTTTTTGTTAATCATTGTAAAGAAATAAATTACTTTTTTATATTTTATTTTATTTTGTTTTATTTTATTTTTATTAATTATCTTTTTTTTACTAAATATGGAAAGTGATTGCAATTTTTAATAATCATCAAAAAAAAAATAAAAAAATAAAAACACAAAAATAAAAAAACAATGACTACAATGATAATGAACCTATATCATTTATAATTTCTGTTGACTTACCAATTTGGAGGGTTGTACACCAATAATATTTGGATCCCTACTATTGCATCTGGGTATTACTTTGTTAATCGATTAACCTGTGAAGGTAGCTACTCTCAAAGTCCTTCAGGTAGTTTCTCTTTTGCTATTTATCCAAACCCAAGTACCTAAAAATAATTTATAAATAATGATAGAAATAAAAAAAAAAATAAAAAAATAAAAGTTTAAAACTAGTATATCAATTGATGTACATATTCTTTTGCACAACAGGAGAATATCTATAATTTCTTTTAATGTTTGGATGTGATAGGATACCAACTTGGGAGCTTTGCTTTAAAATATTATGGTGTTTTTTTATTTGTAAATGTGGGAGGTTGGGTTTAATAATTATAATAAAAAATGTAAGAGATACATCAAATAACCCATTGAAAAGCATACATTTTTTAATAAAAATAATTTTTAGCTATTCTAAATTCAAAAAAAATTTATATTTTGATTATATAAACTTGTATTTAAAAAAAAAGAAATAAATATAAACTATTAAAAGAATAAGATTAAATTTTTTTATTTATGTATAACCTTATTTAATTTTAATATTTAAATGTGTAATCAGCAGAAGAAGCATCAAAGTCACAGGTAACATTTTTTCCTACACCGCTGGAGAGACGTTTAAGTATTTCTGAAAACCCACGCCCCATTCACCCCATCACACTTCAAACACACTTTTGTAAAAAAAAAACAAATTAAATAACTTAATTTAATAAAAGCAATTTTCAAAATTGGTAGATAATATTAAAAAGAATAATAAAGCTGTAAACACTGTATTCACCAGACCCCAAATCAACGATAACTCTGTATTAATGAATTTAATTGTTTGTTTGGGTATCAAAAATCTTTACTATGTCGGCAATGGCATCACTAGTAATTGTTTTATAAATAATTTATTATTTATAAAAATTTTAATTAAAAATAAAATTTTTTTTGACAAAAAATAATTAATAAAATTATAGCTTTAAAAAGTAATAATAATTGAAAATAATATACTTACAAGCCATGGTTACCACCAATATCAACAATAGTATTGAATGAGCTAAAGTCAATGGCTCCTCTAATATTTGACATGGCGGCTTTGGTGTACACTTGCATAGTTTGGTTAAATAATTCTTTGTATTCTGTATGTGAATCAAAGATTTCCCAAAAATGATCAAAACCTATATTCTTTGGACCTGTACATTCATTTTGTTCGAATGATTGTTGGAGAGTTTCAAACATTTTATTTTTTAAATTTTTCAATTTTTTTATTTTTATTTTATTTTTAATTTTTAATTTTAAATAATAAATTATTTAAAATAAAGGAAAATATAAATATATTATTTAGTTGAGATATAATTATAACTGTAATATTCATTTAATTATGAATTATGGTCTTAATTCATATTTTTTGTAATGTGACTTTTTTTTTTTTTTTTTTTTTTTTAAAAAAGCTTACTTAATAATATAATAAATATTATTAGTGTAAGCGACAGTGTTTATTTATATTAAAATATAAGAAGAAGTAGGGGTTGGGGTAAGGTTGGAATAACCTATCTAGTTTAAGAAGTAGTGAGGGTTGGGGTATGGTTGAATCAACCTATCTAGTTTAAGAAGTTTTTTTTTTCTTAGATTTTTGTTCGATAGCAGGTGATTTCGGACTACCTGATTGGTACGTAGTGGATTTGATTGGTGTGGATATTTGGCTAACATTTCGAGTACGGTTACTTTTTGTAGTGGTATTCGTATTTGTTATGGCGGTTTCATTTTTGGAATTTTGTGAAGTTAATCTTGTAAGGATGTTGTTTAGTGCGTTAACCCTGGATGTTCTTAAGGGCTTGTTGGTTGATGATTTATTGTCATCTTGAGGTGATTGGTTTTTTAATTGTTTGTTTGTTTCATCATTAGATATTTCATCATTATCTATTGTGTTAGTTGGATTGTTAGATTCGTTATCAGAAATAGTTTCTTTGTGATCATCATCTTGATCATTAGAGTCGTCACAATCATTTTTGAGTATGGTAATGAGGTTCTCAAATTCTTTATCAGTGTAGATCCCCGACGAGTCTTCATTGATCATTTGATTCATTATGGTAGTGATGGTATCAATTTCTTTATCAGTGGCGGACCCCGAAAAATGTTCATTGATTAATTGATTCATTTTGGTAATGTTGTTATCAACTTCTTTATCAGTGGAAACCCTGGACATATCTTCATTAATTAATTGATTGATTTTGTTGTTAGGATGATTTTTTGATTTTGTTGCAGACTTAATCTTAATACGATAGTATGGTGATTGGAGTAGCTTTGATTTGATTGGGTTATTTTTGCTTTCGATGAGGTGGAAAAAGGAGGTATTGTTTTTGTTGACTTTGATGTGAGAAAGGAAGAAGTCAATTTTTAGGTTAAGTTGTTCTTTTAACACTTTTTCAATGTCTTGATTGGATGAGTTGATATTTCCAATTACCATATGGTAATCGTCGCAGTGTGTGATGAACTTGTTCATCTTGTTGGTGGTATCTCTTTCATTAAGGAGGTTATATAGGTTCTCTTTTGAGAGAGAGATAAAGAGAGTTTTCTTTTTCTTTTTGTCGAATGAGATCTTTTCTATATCTGTGTACTTGCTGAAATGAGTTATATGCTCATCTGATATTTGGTGGTTTGGGTAGTATAATCTTAGATTGATGTTGTTTCCATTTTTTTCATAAGTGGATAGTTTGTTTTCTCGATCAATAATATCTTTAACACTTTTTTGAATTATAGAGATGCTTGATAAGAGTATATCTTCAACGCTATTGAAATTATTATGGGAAAAATCCTTTTTTTCCATATCTTTCCAATCTTTGGATAAATCTAATATGATTGGTTTTATGTTTGAAGATGGTGGTGGGAAAGATGTTTGTGGTTGGATTGGCTTTTAAAAAGACAAATTGGTGAAGATTGGAGATTGCCGAGATTGAAGATTAAAGATCTTTAATGCGATCTAATTTCTTTTGATCTATGTTTTGTGGTGTATAATTACTATACGTTGATATAGCTTTTAAAAAGCTGTTGGACAGTGCTAAAATTATTTGATAAAACTTAATTTATAAAAAGTAAGATTTTATATGATGTTAACACTTGTCAATGCATATGAATACATTACAAAAAATATCAAGCCCAACCAAAAAAAAAAAAAAAAAATCACATAAAAGATTTTCTGAAAAAGGAAAAAATATGCCTCAAGCCGGGATCGAACCAGCGACCTTAAGAACTTCAGTCTCACGCTCGTACCAACTGAGCTATTAAGGCATTTGTTCTACTTAACAAGTTCTCAATCTGCAACAATCCACTTGACCCAAGTTAGCGATTAAAACTCGATTTATGGTTATCCCATATTGGTTCCATTAAATTAAACAATGAAATTATATCTGCAATTTCATTTGTTCCTACCACCAATACCACTCTACCAAACACATTACCCACCACATTACCTACCACCTTTATTAATAAATCATTCGAAAACGAATGCTCGCATTTATTAAAAAACCTAATTATCCAATACCAATCACAACCTCAGATTGGATTTAAACCTAACATTATATGCAATTACACTGATATTGAAGACTTTTTACATATAGTAAAATGTTTAAGTTATTCCAACAATAAAATAGAAGATTCAATAATTGAATATTTTAACTTACTAAAGAAATTCGACAGAAAGTCAAAGCACGAATTCAAAGACTTTGGTATCATTATACATCCACCTGAACAGCCAACCACCACCACCAAAATAAAAAAAGATATCGTACAAATAATTATGGAAGATATTAATAATAATAATTACAATAATACTGTTCTTGATGATCATTTTGCTATTTTAAACACTCAAAAAACAAATAAAATAAATATTAATTTTAAAAATTTAAATATATTGTCTTTTAACATTAACGGCGATTTTACTACTAAAATAAAAAATATTATTAAACTTTCTATAAAAAAGAATATAAAAATTATATGTTTACAAGAAACTAAACTATTTACTCGTGATGAAATTAAAAATTTAAATAACTTATTTGAAAAAACTGATTTTACTATCTTCTTTTCTTCAATTGATCATATTTATAAAAACGATATTTCAACACTAAATACTAAACCTAGAAATTCATTAAATAATGATGAATTATCTATATTAAATAAATTTGAAAATAAAGAATTATCATATAAAGCACAATCAGGTATTGCTACTATTATTCATAAAAACTTACTAAACAATTTAATCCATAATGACATCGTCAAAGATTCACAAGGTAGATTACTGTTTCTACCATTCAAATTTGATAATGGCAAACTGGGCATATTAAATTGCTATGGTGAATCAGAAGAATCAAAAAAAAATAACTTTTTTAATATAAAATTAAAAAATTGTTTAAACAAAATCAACACAAACTTCAATTTAGAATCACCAGAAAATATTATAATACTATCCGGTGATTTTAATTCATTTTACCAACCTAATTTTGATAAACTATCAAATCTAAACAATCACGTTAATAATGATTCAACCGTCCCTTATAATAAATTTCTTGAAGATAATAATCTAATGGACTTTTATCATGATTTTAACACTAACAAAGACTATACGTGTATAACAATTAGAGATGATTACACAACCAAATCAAGAATAGATGCACATCTATTAGACATAAAAAACAGACATTTAATAAATTCTTATAAAATTTTATCACATTCAAAAATATCAAGTGATCATAAACCTGTTAAAATATCTATTAACATTAACTTTATAAACAATGAAAATCTAAATTCTACAATCGAAAATAATAATAAAAATTTTATTAAAAAACTTTTACCATATGAACAACAAGATTTTAGTGAATTTAAAAAACAATTATCAACTGATCTAATCCAACTGGAAACTGAATCAGAAAATTTAAATTCTCTAATTGATCTCCAAAATCTTGTAAATAAATTCTCTGAAACTATTTTAAATTCAGCCAACAATAATTTAAAATGGACTAAACCACCAAAAGAAAAAAATGACATATTCTTAAAAAATGATTTATTTTTTAAAAAAATCATTAATAAACTACATGATTGTTACCAAATTATTGATTCACTAAAATCAAAAATAACAAATGACATTCAATTAAAAATTTCTAAAACAAAAAAAAAATTACTACCAAAATTTGATAAACTACAATCAATAATAAATGATACCTTAACAGACCATAACGATAACTGGTTTGAATTTAAATATTTCTGTACATTAAGTACATCTCCTTCTACAAATGATATTCAATTAATAGATAATATATTAAAATCATTAATTGAAATTAAAAAAATATATATTCAAAACTTATATAAAAACAAAAAGGAATCAAATTATGATTCAATTAAAAATTACAAAGATAAACTTGAAAAATTAAAAAGATCAAGGAATAAAGAATTTTATAATTTAATAAAAAAAGATAAATATAAAACAAACCAACAAGCATCCTGTGTTGCAGTTGACAATAATATAATTTCCAACCCAACATTAGTAAAGAAAGAATATGAAAAATATTTTAAAAACTTATTAAATGAATCACCACAAAATAAATCAAAACCAATATTCAATAACCAAAAATGGTACGAAATCCCATTCAGAGGTAGTGATAAATGGTTTAAAAATGAATTTTACAAAAGAAAATTATTAAATAATTTTAATTTAAATGACTTAACCTCAACAATTTCTTTATTATCAAATAATAAAGCAGCAGGGGTTGATGAAATATTAAACGAATATATTAAAAATTTACCTGAATCAGGTTTATTTATTCTACTAAACATTTTTAACTGTTGTAAAAACTTAAAAAAAATACCACCCTCATGGAAAAAAGGTAAAATATATACAATCTATAAAAATGGTAATAATCAATCATTATCTAATTACAGAGGTATAACTATTTTAAGTAACTTTTATAAATTATACGCTACAATGTTCACTAAACTAATACAAAATTATACCGAACTAAATTGTCCTTTTTCAGAATCCCAATATGGATTTAGACCTGGACGTTCAACAATATCACCAATATCAGTACTGAACAACATCTTTTTAGATTCAAAAATCAATAAAAGAGAACTTCATGTATTATATATTGACATACAAAAAGCTTTTGATGAAGTACCACACTGGGCATTAATCGAAGCATTAGAATTTAGAGGTTACCCACAAGAAACAATAGATATTATATCTGATTTTCTATCAGGTAATAATATGAAAATTATCACACCACATGGTATGACTGACGATATTTATGTGACTAAAGGAGTTATTCAAGGTCATCCATTATCCCCATTTCTTTGGGGTCTATTTTTTGATCCTTTATTAAATCTACTAAACACTAATGTAACTGGTTATAGAATCATTAATAACCAAAACTTAGGAATATCAAATAATACATTTGCTGATGATTTGGTTGGCACAACTGAATCATTTTCACAAATATCTAAACTAAAAGATTACATTGGAGAATTCCTCGACTATTATTATTTAAATGTAAATGTTGGAAAATCAGCATATACATTTAGACAAAATGAACTAAATCAACATCTCACATACGAATTAAAATGGAAAGATAAATCTTTTCCAATTTTGAAATTAAACCAATCATATAAATATTTAGGTGTTAACATAAATCTAGAACTAGATTGGATGGATCACCAAAAAATAACATTTAAAAAAGCAAAATGCGTTTTAAACAATTTAAAAAGAAAATGTTTATTAACATCACAACTAGTTGACACAATTAATTCAATGGTAATTCCAATAGTTACCTATGGTACTGCCATAACCAAATACACCCAAACATCCATAGACAACTTTATAAAAGAAATCTTAGGAGCAATAAAAAAAAGTTGTAATTACTTTAAAAATACAATATCAAATTTCTTTTACCTAAAAAAGGAAAACTTAGGTTACCAACTATTCGATTTGAATAATATTATTCACCAGAACAGAATACATAACCTTTGCAAATGTCTAAACACAAATGAGAAACAAACAATTTTATCTTTCACCCAAATTATAAATAAATATAGACACTGGAAGGGAGATAAAAATAAACTATATCTAAAAGGTAAAATAATTGAAAATGATTACTCTTATATTAAAAGGTGGTTCGATTCAATTAAAAAATACAACCTTAAAATAACACAAAACATCCCTGTTTTAAAAAATTTAAATAATATTCCACTTAACTTTATAACAAATAGTGAAATAATATTATATACCAACGAAGAAGCTCATATAAATTATAATTCATTATTAATTAAACTAAATGATAAATATGAATTACAAGATAAAAATGTCATTACACAACATTTACCAGAATGGTCTAATGAATGCTCAAAAATCTTAAAAAGATTAATTTGCACCAACTCTACCAATAACATAAAAGATGAATTTATGAATTTACTTTTAAAAATCACAACTTACGACAAATTCAATTACAAAAATATATACCCCAACCCATTAATAAGACAAATTAATCAAATACCTACTGAATTCTATACAGATGGTTCATATAAAAAAATTAACAATAAAAGAAAAGCAGGCTATGGTATATATAACCAATCCGAGAATATAAGTTTAAACTTTATAGAAGGTACTGCAAAAACAATAACAGGAGCCGAATTATCAGCACCTACACACATTCTTTCATCATATCCAATCAACCATAAAATAAACATCAATACAGATAGTCAAGTCTCAATTGACATAATTGAATCACTGATACAAAACCCATATCCAATCCAATATTTTGGAACTCCATTCTTTGAAATTATAAAAAAATTATTTAAATACAAATTAAAAAGAGATAACTTTGATGAAAAAAATACAAACTTTATTAAAGTTAAAGCACACTCAAATATAATTGGTAATGAAATTGCAGATAAGCTAGCAAAAAAAGCATTAACCCTACCAATTTCAAACAATTATATACCACCAACATTTGCATATAAAAGAAACAAAAAAATAGCAATAAAGTTATTTGGAACCCAAAAAAATATGTTAAAATGTTAAATGAAAATAATAGAATTAACACAATTAATCAATATAAACACCAAAGCATCATACTACTTGATACCATAAAAAACACTGATACTTACATTCACCTTAAAATATTAGATAATCTACCATCAAAATTCCATACATTAATGAACAAATTAATAACTAATAATGGTCCATGGCTAGATACATGGAAAAGAATGAGGTTGCTAAAACCAGAGTTTAACTCAAACTGTAAAAACTGTAATAATGATATACCACAAACATTAAAACATATACTATTAGACTGCACAGACTTTGAAACAATAAGATCTGATACAAGGAGAATCATTACAAACAAACTATTATCTTTATCCAGTACACTCAAAAACTCATCTCCAATCATAGAAACATTAAGCTGGTTTGATAATTACAATTCCACAAACATCTCACAAAATAACATATTTAAAAATAAATTATTCACTGATAATAATATTCTATCTAGTGCAATAGGTTATGTCCCAAAACATTTGGTTAAAATGCTAAAGAATCATTGTAAATTTAACGAAAAGGAAATCATTGAATTTACATCTTTTTGCACAAACCAAATATGCAACAGAAACCAATTAATACTAACAAAAATCATCAACAAAAACAAACCACTCAATCTATTAATAGAAGAACCACAAAACGACACAAACTTATAAATATTACCACTTTTTTATTTTTTCTTTTTCTTTCTTTTTCATTTTTCTTTTTTTCATTTTTTCATTTTTTTTTTTTTTTTTTTTTTAAAAAACAATATATCATTTTATTCTAAATAAAAGATATATATGGCATCTGTACATATCCATAGTCAACCGAAAGGATTAACAAGACTCTACTCCAATGCACTAAAGTTATACCGAGCTGTATACGTGCTATTTAACTGGATAGAAGGTTTCCTTTGCAAGGAAACACTAACCCAAGGTTCTCCGTACAAGATGAAACTTATGCTATGCTAATCTGCCAAGGGCTGTAATGTTTAACTCATGTTCTATTAGTCTAAGATGTGGGCATCTTTTATGAAGTAACACCACCTTTAAAGAAAGTTGGATCTCCGGAAATTTATTATTCTTGCAATAATAAATTAAGTTACCTCAGAATAATTCAATTTATTCAACCAAAATTGCAACGGTTTAATTTTGCTTCAAGTAATATCTGGTCAATTCAGATACTTAGGTCTTATAATTAATAAAATAATAAAATGGAATAAACATTCCAATATATTTTTAAAAAGCAAAAAAGCTATTAAGGCATTTATACACAAAATTTACATACCACTAGTGTATCAACACTTTTTTATTATAGTTATTATTACTATATCTTTAACTATAATTAATTACCACTAATTACAACATCATTCATTTTTTTAATGATATTTACTACTTTTTATACAATTCATTTTATTTTTACACACTTTTGTTGATTTTTATATAATCTACATATATCACCACATACACTTTCATTAACTGTTTTAAATAAATCCAAAATTTTCTTTGATTTTTTAAAACTTTTTTTAAGTAGACGAAATCTAATTGAGATCTCACTAGTTGATCGGTGTATCTCTTTTATTTATTCATTCACAAACAAAATTTAAAAAAATAATAATAAAAATAATGGTGATGATAACTTGGATACTAATAATTGCATTATTCCACTACAAAATAATCAACATTCTGCTCAAAATCCATTTTATTCACTAAATACTCTTTAAAATACTTATCCAGAATACCTAAAATGTATTTCAAAATTTAATAAGTCTGGTCACCTAAATAACACTTTTAACATACTAAAAAACCAGAACTATTAAAACGAAAATTACCATCCAAAATCATCATATAAATTAAACACAAATTTTCAAAAAAAATTTTTAAAAAATATTATTAATAATAATGAATAAATTCTTTTTTTTGAAACAACAACTACACCACATCACAACATAACCAGTATAATCTAAAACTACACTGGTGCATCTAAGGTAAACAGAACCAAAGATAATACTACCACAACATTCACAAATGATTTGACAAGAAATATTTTCCTAAAAAATCATCCAAACAAAACCTTATTAAAATCAACATCGAAAAAGGAATATTAAAACCAAAATTCACAATTCCAGAACCATTTGGCTTACAACCAAATAGTATATCACTTTATGTTGATTTTAATGCAATGTTACTAACATTTTTACCATTAAACTAGATGATGAAATTATACCTTAAATTCATCAGACCCTACCACTATTATCTACCAAAAATTAAACCTACCACTTTATTTACCACCAATAAATGATTCATTCGAAAACGAATGTTCACATTTATTTATTACCACTTTATTTTTCTTTTTTTTTTATTTTTCATTTTTCTTTTTTCTTTTTTTTTTTTTTTTAAAACAATATATCATTTTATTCTAAATAAAAGATATATAGCATCTGTACATATCCATAGTCAACCGAAAGGATTAACAAGACTCTACGCCAATGCACTAAAGTTATACCGAGCTGTATACGTGCTATTTAACTGGATAGAAGGTTTCCTTTGCAAGGAAACACTAACCCAAGGTTCTCCGTACAAGATGAAACTTATGCTATGCTAAACTGCCAAGGGCTGTAATGTTTAATTCATATTCTATTAGCTAAGATGCGGGCATCTTTTATGAAGTAACACCACCTTAAAAGAAAGTTGGATCTCCGGAAATTTATTATTCTTGCAATAATAAATTAAGTTACCTCAGAATAATTCAATTTATTCAACCAAAATTGCAACGGTTTAATTTTGCTTCAAGTAATATCTGGTCAATTCAGATACTTAGGTCTTATAATTAATAAAATAACAAAATGGAATAAACATTCCAATATATTTTTAAAAAGCAAAAAGCTATTAAGGCATTTGTTGAATCCATTCTAATGAAACAGTATCAACATCTTTAAGGTGATTTTTATTATTAACAATCCTAAAATAGCAATAATTAATTAATTACCTAAAGGTTTTTATAATAATATTCTTAAAATAGTAATAATTAGTTTTATAATAATATCTCTTAAAATAGTAATAATTAGTTTTATAATAAATAACTCTTTAAATAGTAATAATTTTCCATAAATAATATATTTAGTTGAAAATGTCACATGTTTAACATATATATACATTCATGTCAACTTGTTTATGACACTATAAATACTCCAGTAATAATTCTTTATTATTGATTCTTATCATCTTTTAACTTCTAATAACAATAACAATAAATAATATAAATAACTAAAATACTTAAATAAAGGTTTCTTTACTATATTTCTTTATTAACTTAATAGGGGGGTCATTTCATTACACCATCAATAAGGGAACTAATATTTAAACCAAAAAAATGTATAGAATTCCAGGGGTTCCGGGTATGGTCAAGCCAATCTATCCCTAAGTCATAACTATACAAATAATCCCTCTCTATATTATTTATAATCCTATTCATTAATAGTGATTTCCCTGTCATTATTTTTATCCATCGAACGGAAGAGACTCTTGGACTGATTTCACAACCAGCTTTAACAACTTTTTTTGAGTTTTTTTGAAGACATTACATGCCTCTTCCCAAGTGATTTTAACATCCTATTTCGAATATAAAACTTTAGTAAAGTTTAAAAAGATAAATTTTGTAAATTAAGAACTTACCTTGTTTCTATATTATTCATTTAACGTTTTATCAACGTTTCTTATAATATTTTTACTACAATTATTGATAGGAATTAAAAAATTTTGATTTTATTAATGAAAAAATTAAAAAGTCATTTTTTTATTTTTAGTTTTAATTTTTTATTTTATTACTAGTATTTAAATTTGATTATTTATTTCAATTTTTAAATGAATTGTTAAAAATTGATACAAAAATAATTTTCTTTTTCTAATTAATCTTTTAACTATCACAAAGTTTTCATAAGATCAAATAAAAATAAAAAATTATACAAATAGGCATTTTAATTTTATTAATTTTGTAATATTTATTTATTTTTTGTATTATATCAAAATATATTAATAATAATATAAAGTGAATTTTTTCCGTTTAATCAATGCTACATGTTACGGTTTTATTTCCTAAATTCATGAGGGTTATTTCACCACCACTAAATTGACAAATGATTTCTCCACTATTATTAATTATGTGCATTTTTGGTGGAGCATAATCACTTATGAGGTTAATACAACCTTCACCACCACCTTCAACTACCACTTTGATAACTGTTTTTCCATTTGAAATTTTCTATAGTTATATTAGTTTTAATTATAAATTCAAATTTATAGAGGATAATACCTACAATATTACTTTGTGATGTTGCTGGTTCTAATTAAAAAGAAAAAAAAAATAAGAAAAGAAAAAATTAGCAAATTTTTGAAAAAATTTATATAAAAAAACAAAAATAGCATACGCAAAGTCCATTTTCCTGCCACTTTTCATTTTAAATAAATAATAATAATATTAAAATTAGTTTTTTTTTTTTTTTTTATACAGTTTATATTAATATTTACTTTTTATTTATTTTTTATTATAGTTAATATATTAGAATGAATAAATGAACTGGTATTTATAATTAAAATATTGTTTTTTTTTTTTTTTTTATTACATTTTTTTTTATAAAATTTATTTTTTATTAACCCAAAAAAACACTCCGTTAACCCCTTTTTTTTTATTAAATTTTACCTTCTTTTACTTGGAAATAAACAATTTAAATAGTTCACCCAATTTTTTTATGGGGTTGTTCAACAAGAAAATTTTATCTTTTGTTTCTATTAAAAAATAAATTACTATTGGAATTTTAAAAGTTTTTTTTACTATTACATGAAATTATTATGTTTTTTTTTAAAATAAAATTTTATTGTTAGGGTGTGAATATAAGCGTCAACACTGATATAAATAAAGCACGGTCACCATAAAACATGTAAGAGCCAACCAATTTTGCACTAATTTCAAAAAACAAAAAAACACCACTAAATTTTTAAATTACAAATTTATGGAAAACTTCAACTGCTTTTAAATAAAATAAAAAAATTAAAAAAAGCGCGAGAAAAAATTTTTTTTTTTTAAAAATTTAATGTGGATTTTTAAAAAAAAAAAATTTTTGAAAAAATTATTTTAAGATAAAGATGATTGGAAAATGAAGGTAATGACAAACTTAAAATAAAAAATGATTGAAAAGAGTTTATAAAATAAAAAATGAAAAGTAAATGGGCAAAAAATTAAAATCCCAAAAAATACATTAGCTTCAAACTACCAAAAAAACACAATGGAAACTCAAGATTTAGAAAAAACATAAATAAAGAAGATATACAGAGATTTAATTAAATATGACATAAAATAGAAAAATAAATGAAATGAAAACCATCACATTCGAAATTATAAATAAAAAGGGGTATTATAATTAAATAAAAATTTATTTTTTAGAATTAGATTTTATTTTATTTTATTTAAAAATTTTATGACGATAACACTGATGTTTCAGTATACTATTACTGAAAATATTTCGAGAAGCTTTATTGAGTTGAAATAATTTTAATATACATTTTTAATTGAATTATGAAAACAAATTTAAATTCCTATATTTTGTATTCCAGACCAAACTTTACTGGATAAGGTCTAAATATTTTTTCACCTAATACTGGTATTTGATGCTCTACCAAATTTACTTGGCCAGAGAAAATTTGATAGAGATTATGATCTAAATACTTATGGTGGTTAAACTTTGTAGATATTGACTATTTTTACCAATTGAAAATTTTCTATTTGGTAATTTTGATTTAAATATTATTTGTCTTTTGAGGTCGATAAGCTAAAGGAAGATTTCTATTTTGGTGTATTGGGGAGATAACTACTTGTATTGGTGGGTGATATAGAGTTATCATTATTGCCTGATAAACAATAATTGTTTTACTGGTACTATGGGACTGGCTTTTTAAAAACTAAATTAATTCTTGTTGATGAAACGACTATTTAAGCACTCTTTATTTACTATAAATTTTGATGGTTCCCTATGATAAAATTGGGCTTGGTTGTTGTGAAATATCTATATTTAAATTAATTTAAAACAATATTAATAAATAATTTATATATTAACTAAAAATAAAGATATTTACATTTTTATGTTGATGTTTGTTGGTGATGAGGGGTGAATGAATATTAACACTTTAAAAACTAAAACGTGACTCCTTTTTGTTAAAATATGGATTTGATGAGTTTGGTGCACCTGTGGAATCATAACGTGATTCATTTTCAAAGTGAGATGGGTACTGGGATGATCTTGATGAATGGGATGGGGATGGGGAAGCAGAAGAATCATAACGAGATTCTTTTTCAAAATGGGATGGATACTGGGAAGATCTTGATGATGATGATGAGTTTTGTGCACCAGTGGAATCATAACGAGATTCCTTTTCATAGTGAGATGGATATATTGATGATGGTGATGATTTTGGTGCACCTCTTGAATCATAACGTGATTCATTTTCAAAGTGGTTTGGGTATTGGGAAGATCTTGATGAATGGGATGAGGATGTGGCTGCGGAAGAATCGTAACGGGATTCTTTTTCAAAATGGGATGGGTATTGGGATGATTTTGATGATGGTCCTGAGGTTGGTAGACTAGTGGAATCATAACGAGACTCCTTTTCAAAATGGGTTGGATATTTGGATGGCGATGATCTTGATGATGGCTTTGAAGATGGGGCAGCTGAGGAATCATAACGAGATTCTTTTTCAAAATGGGATGGGTATTGGGATGGCTTTGATGATGATGAACCTGAGAAATCATAACGTGATTCCTTTTCATTGTGAGATGGATACTTTGATGATCTTGATGATGATGTTGGTTCAACTGAGGAATAATAACGTGATTCCTTATCAAAGTGGGTTGGATATTTGGATGGGGCACCAGTGGAATCATAACGAGATTCCTCTTTTGAATGGGATGGGTATTGAGGGTATGATTGTCCTTTAAATGGTGGATTATTTTGGTTGCTTGGTTGTACCCTGAATGATTCTTGTGAATTTGTGTTATATTGTGATGCCCAATTATTATTTTGTGAAAAATGTTGTGATTGATTATGTGATGGTGCCCTAGTATGACCATATTGTGTTGCCGAAATATTATTATTGTATTGTGATGCCCAATTATTATTTTGATTATTTGGTGTAGAATATTGTGATTGATCATGTGATTGTGCCCAAGTATAATTATTTTGATTTGGTGTGGTATAAAGTGGTTGTGATCGGTGAAAATGTGATTGTGCCCTAGTATTATTATTTTGGGTTGAGTATGGTGGTTGTGATTGGTGATGATGTGGTTGTGCCCAATTATTATTATTTTGATTTACTGAATATGAATTATAGTTTTTTGATTTGCAGTTGTCATCTTTGTTGGTGCTGTTATTAGTGTTGTCGTTGTTGTTTAAGTAAAATTTATAATATGAATATAAGCAAATGAAGACAACACAAAGGACAAATATTAATAAATAATAATCCATTTTTTTTATAATTATTTAAAATGGTGTGTAAAAAAATTAAAAAAGGCTGAACAAGACTTGAGTAAGCTGTATTGGAATTGAATGGAAGCAATAAAACTTAAGCTGACTATATAAAAAGGGATAAAAATTTATTAATATTTTTTTTATTCTATAATATATATATATATCAAATTACCTATTTATTTGTTTGCTTGAATTTTACTTAATATTATTTTCTATTAAATTATATATAATGTGAGATAAAAAATGAATTTTTAATAATAATAAAAAAAAAAATAAAAAAAAAAATAAAAAAAAAAATAAAAAAGAGTTGTGTTTAAAATTAGTGAGAGTTTTTTTAGAAAATATAATTTTTTTTGAATTTATAATAAAATAAAGTTTTTTTTGTTTGAATATATTATATTAATATTGTAGCAGTTTAGTTTATACCTTTCTTATATTTAATTGGGCATTATATCTAAAAATATTATTTGATTTGAAAATTTGATTAAATTCTCATTCGAATGATATCCAGAAACCCCCCTTTTTTATTCTAAAACGATTTGCAAAAAAAAATTAATTAATCAGTTATTATTCTACATATCATTAAATGATGGATAAAATTTAATTTAATTAGAAATAATAAGTACATAATTTAAATAAATAACATCTAAAAACAATAAAATTTAAAATAAAAATAAAAAAAAAAAATAATAAGTTTTATTTTCTTTAAAGTATTTTTATTATTTTTTATTTTTATTTTTTATTTTTTATTTTTTATTTTTTATTTTTTATTTTTTATTTTTTATTTTTTATTTTTTATTTTAATTTTTATTTGTTTTTTAGATGTTATTTATTTAAATTATGTAATTTAATTTTAATATTTGGTAATTTTTTTTTATAAATTTATTTTTAATTTTTATAACTATTTTTTTATTAATTAAAAACTATAGCTTTCAATATCAAATAGTCTCAGCATCCAATACAACTTAAATTTATTCAAGTTTACAAATCACCTTCTTATTTTTTCACTCATTTTGTGTTATATATTTTATTTATAAATAATAACACATACCACTCTTTTTACATTTATATGTATAAATTTATTCTTTTTTTTTAATTTAATCTTTATTTATTTTTATTATATATAATTTTTTATAATACAGTTGCGATATTTATAAAATTTTTTTTTTTAATAATCATTTATAAAGCTATTATAATTCTTGGCGATAGTGGAATCATTCATCCGATTCAGAAACAGTTTGGTCACCACCTAACCATAAGGGACAAGGAGCCATTCAAAGATACAATCAAAAAATTAAAAGAAAGACAAGAAGCAATCAGTAAATAATTGTGGTTGTTTGGCTTGCTTATCCTTGATTTCTTCAAGTTACAAAAATCATTTATTTATTAAATCTCCGAAAAGATAAAAACATTAAAAAAAGACTCCCCGTCCGGGAATTGAACCCGGGCCTTTCGCGTGACAGGCGAAAATCCTCACCACTAGACCAACGGGGATGAGTTACAAATCTCAAAAAAAAATTAGACCAATTTTTTTTCAATTTTATTTATTTTAAAATATTTAAAAAAACCAAATTTATGAATAAAAATATACAAAATTAATAAAATTTCTTTTCAAATCTAATTTTTTAATTATATCATATTTTTAAATTTTGATTTATTTAATTTTTTTTTTTTTCAAATAAATTTATTCTAAAATTATTTTTAAAAAAAAAAAATTAAAAAAATTTTTTTTTTTTTTTTTCTAAATATTTTCTTAATTTCATTCTATTTATTTTTTTTTTTAAATTTAATAAATATAAACAATTAAAGATGGATAATAAAGTTTTTGGTTCAGTCTTTAATAATATATATATAAACAACGTTATTGAAAACCATAATAAACGTAAATATTTTTATTTGTTTTGTTTAAACTAAAATATACTAATTTAAAAAATCATTTATTTATTTTACTCCAGTTTTTAATATTTTTAAACACCAAAGAATTTTTAATAAATATGAAAATTTCGAAAAACATTCATATAAAGATTATTTATTAGATATAGCTATTTATTTTGAATTTGACAACTTTAATATATTCCCTGAAAATATTCAATCAATTTCTTTCAAAGGTAATGAAATTAAATCAGCAATTCCTCAACACATAAAATCGTTCACAATCTTAGGTTTAAAAGAATATGATTGGTCAATTTTTAGCAATGCAAATAATCTCGAATCTCTTTCAATATCTAGCTCGTTTGGTAGAAATAAAATCTCTGAATTTTCTGCTGATATGCTTCCATCTTCAATAACCGATATGTATATAGATTCATATGAATATCCAATAAAAAGAAATACACTCCCAAAGAATTTAAAGAAATTACATTTAGTTTTGGCTTGTGATACTCCAATAGAAGTTGGCTCAATGCCCGACTCTCTCACAAGTCTATCAATTGGTATTGGATATTCAAAGCCTGGTATTCCATTCGAATCAAACTATTTACCAAAAGGCTTAAAAGAACTAGACTTGCTACTAAACTCACTTAAAGAACTACCAAATGACTTTAAACTGCCAGATAGCTTAACAGTATTAAAAATACTCTGCAATAATCTACCACCTACTTTTACATTTCCTCCAAATTTAAAAACACTAGAACTCTACACCGATGAACTTAAAGAAGATCTAAAACTACCGCAATCACTAGAGCACCTCGAACTTTGTTTATCACAACAACAATCATTTAGCATCGATATGATTCCCAGAAAACTAAAATCATTAACATTTAACAGCAAGCAACTAATCGATTTAAATGGAAACTCAATCTTACCAAATACTCTCGAAAGCTTAGTACTCACATCAGAACTTTACAATAATAGAGAAACACCTGTATGTGGATATAACCAACAACTTTTACCGAATATGTTACCATCCAGTCTCACCTCTCTAACCTTTTCTTTTTCATCAAATTTTGATAATGGCGGAACCCCATTAACCGAAAACATATTTCCATCATCATTGACCCATTTGGATCTCGGCGACTCATTTAACCAACCAATTGGGGCTAATACTATATCTGGGCTCTGTTTAAAAACCCTCGTACTAGGTTCATCTTTTAACCAAGAAATTATTGAAGGCTCACTTCCACCAAATTTACAAGAATTAGAAATCAGAAATTTTAGATATGACAAGTTTCCAATCAATGTATCAAAATATACCACTGTTGTATGCAAAAACTACTATACCCAATTCGAAAAATCACCACAATCACTATATAACCTCAAGTTTAAAATATTAAATGAACCATTAAAAGCATTATCCCTTCAAAACAAATCAAATTTAGAATCTTTGGATTTAGGTTTCAATTTTAGTTTTAATATTTTAAAAGAGGATCTACCAACACCCAATAATATTAAAAAACTAGTAGTGGGCAAAATTTTTGATAAAGAGATAAATTTAGATGAAGAATTTTTCCCATCTTTAGAACAATTGTATGTTGGCATTTCAAAACCAATTTTAAAATCCAATATAACAATAAACAAAAATTTCAAAAAAATAACAGTAATTGGTTCAAATGTTATATTTTTAGATAATTTAGATCCTATATTTTTTAAATATTTAGATATAATAGATAATAAATAAATAAAAATTAAAGATTTTAAAAACTATTTAATAAATAGGGAATTAATTTATTTAAAAAAAAGAAATTTTAAAAATTTCTTTTTTTTTTTTATATTTTATTAATTTATATATATCTTTTGTTATTATTTATATTATTTTAAATCGCCACATGGTTTGCAATAATAACTTTGTGAATAAATTTGATAACCATTTACTAATGAGGAACCACAATTGCAGCATTTAAAACATTCTTCATGAAATTTAACTTGTTTGAAATCTTGAACAAATTTTCCGTGAATTTTATTTGTGCATGAAACACACACTGGTAATATATTTTCTGAGCATGCTATATGATAAAGAGAACCTTGATAAAAGAAATAATCTTTTTGAACAGGTAAAGAACAATATTTACAGGTAAAGCAGTCTGCATGGTAATAATTATTATTTGCCATTTTAATTGGCATCTTACAATTTAAAGGTAACTGACAACCAAAGCAAGTTTTATTAAGTCGTCTAGGTGATGCACCAGGTGGAGATGTTTGAGGAGATGTTTGTGGAGATTGTTGTTGTGGTAGTTGTATTGGCTGTACTGGAGATTGATTATGATAATATATATTATTATTATTATATTCTCTAACCATTGTGCGTGGTGAAGTTTTTGGTGGTGTGGTTCTGCTGGGTATTGGTGGTGGGTTTGGTTGTTGTTGTTGTTGTTGTTGAGCTTTGTTAGAACCATTGTTATTATTACTTTGTGTGGTTATTATAGTTGGTGTAGATAACATTGATGTTCCCTTTGAAGTTGGTGGTTGTTGGTCATTAGGTTTTGCCGCATATTTTTTAAATTGGGATGTATCTGGTAATTTAGTAAAGCTGGTAGATGGTTTTGATAACTTTGGTGGCAATTGTCTTACTGGTAGTGGTTGATTGTCATTACTATTATTTGTTTTTAGTGATGGTAGTGGTTTTTTAACACTACCTTGACTATTAACCATTTGAAAGTCACTATTATTTTGTTGTTGTTTTGAATAAATTTGTAATGCTGCAGGATTTGATTTTCTACGAGGAGAAACTACAGGTGGTGATTTAGAAGGTAAATCACAATCATCAGAAGTTAATTGAGGTGGTGGAGTTTTGGATCTTCTTGGTGCTGTTTTAGAAAAATTCCTTTGAGGAATAGCTGGTGGATTTGCTTTATTTTGTTTTTTTGTTGAATTTAGTGGTTGCTGTGGTTGATTTTTTCTTGGTGAGATTGGAGGTAGCTGAGATTGATTTTTTCTTGGTGAAATTGGAGGTAAATTACCATTTGAAACCGAAATTGATAGTGTATTATTATTATTTATATTATTATTATTATTAATATTAGAAATTTCTGTATCTATATTATTATAATCATTATTCATATTAAGATCTGAAAAATAATCATCCAATCTAGTTACAACATGTATATTTCTTTGTTTTAATTGTTCCATCGCTCTTTCTTTCTTTTCTCCTAGGGAGGGTGGTAAAGGTGCTCTAGATCTATCTTGTTTGGATAGGGGAATATTGGCTACATTTGCTGATGCTGCGTTTGGTTGTGTTGGTTGGGACATTGACTGTTGTTTATTTGGTGATACAGCTGGTTGCTTTATTGAAGGTTTTAAAGAGGGTGGTTGAGGAGTATTTGATGGTGATTTTGATGGAGAACTTGAAAATTTAATTGAATTATCCGATGATGGTGATGATGATAATTTTAAACTATTATTATTACCATTATTATTATTTGAATGATTTTTGATCATTAAACTATTTGATAATCCAGATAAAGAACCACCAACACCTTTATTTTGGTTATGATAACTATTTAAAGTCGTTTGAGGTGGTGGGGGTAAACTACCACCAGAAGAGGATAAAGATGATGAACTTGGTGCTAAAGTTTGATTTGAATTATTTGTGTGCATCGTAGTTGGTAAGCCTGTAAAAGTTGATGATTTAATTTGATGGTTTGTTTGACTTGATTTTTTAAATTTAAAATTTTGAATTTCACTTGATGCTGGAAAAATTTGTTTTTGGTTATGACTATTATTTGATGAATGGGTATTATGATGACCATTATTGTGATGACTATGGTTATGATTTTGATTGTGATTATGATTATGATGATGATTATGATTATGATGATGATTATGATTATGACTATGATTGTGATTATTATCTTTATCTTTTTGATTATCTTTTTGACTTGAAACAAAATAATTTTGATTTAATAAATTATTAAAAATTTGATGATTATGATTTGCAGTATTACCAACTTGTTGACTACTGTATGAAGATTCATCAACTTTAAATAATGAATAAAACTTTTGTTTTGAATTTGATGAGGTATTTTTAATTTTGCCCATTAAAGTTTTACTTCTGCATTCTGTACAATATATCTTAACAGCCTCACCATCTTTAATCTTTTTAATTTCAAATTTGTCACGTTCATTTAGACTTAATGGGATTTCGCAAGTACGGCACATTAAACACTCTGCATGAATTAAGAATTGACCATCGATTTCCAATGTATTTGGGTATGAAATTGTACTGTGACCACATGCTCTGCAATCTAATAAGCCCAACTTCTTTCTTGAAATGTATGGAACATCATCAGTATTATCTCTAGCATCATTTAAGAATGTACAATTGACCTGGCCACCTTCTGAAAACTCAAACTCCTTTTCCCCAAAAAACACCTCGACCATTTGAGAATTACATACTATCTCTAATAACTTTTTATTTTGAAGATTGCAAGGTGCCTCTAAAAACTGATCTTTATGAAAACTATATGATACACCATTTTTTAACATATTAGCTGTATAATTTTTAAATAAGTGATAAATAATTGAATAAAATGGTTTTCTAAGATTATTATCATCGAAATCATGGTTATCTGAATATAAACAAAAATATTAGTATCTTTTTTATAAAAAAATTTTTAATTTTTAAAATAAACTTACATTTTGGATGATTTAATTTTATATTTTTTAAATAATTATCCAAATAGATTCTTATATGATAAGGAAGCATTGATTTTGTGTGTGGATCTATTATAAACTCTAACCTGTCCAAATCGTAAAGAATTACCTGTTCTGTTGGTTGTTGATAAAATAACTTTAATGATGACTCTAAAATACCGACTATAAATGGAATTGGTGCTGCTACATATGGCATTAATGATGAAGGTAAAACTGAAATAAAAATATGTTGCCAAATTAATGGATACAATAATGAGGATAGAGCCAAAATACCATTTGATAATACTGAAATATCTTTTGATAATAATATAACCCTACTTTCACATAATGCAAATTCAAATAATTTTATAATATGCTCTGGGTTCATTTTAAAAATAATTTCGTAATCAATCTAAATATAAATTTATAGAAAATTGTTAATATACCCAATTATTATAATTTATTATTTAGTGCAGATTACTTACATGATCGAAATTAGTTCTAGGTTTTAAAAATGGGAAAATATGTTCTTCTGGTTGGCCAGCAGTTATAGTTTTAAATTCAATGGTTGTTGAAGATTTGGGGATAGGTTGAGAAAACAATGCTGATAATAATGTATTGATGGTTTGAGTTGATCTTCTTTCATATCTATCCTGAATTGATATTAAAAGCTTTTCAAATAATTTAAAAAATGGCCTTTTACTAATTATACAAAAACAAATTGGTTCGAGTGGTCTCATAACTCTTTTACAATATGCAATAGTTTTACCACCATATGAATCTGTTAAAACAATTGAAAATACATTTATAATTTCTTGGCTAAAGTAATTATTAAAATATATTAATATCTATTCATTATTATTACTATAGTTTTTGTAAGAATATTATTTGTTATCTGTTTACTTTTTTTTTAATATATTTGATAATTCATCCTGCGACTCAGGGAAACAAAATTGTTGAATTTTTCTATTATCATCCTCCTTTTCATCATCCTTTTCGTTTTTTTTTGGAGGGGCCCATTGATATGATAATGATGGTTGAAATGTTTCTGTATCTAACTGAACTATTAATAATTTATTAAACAGTGTTTCTGGACCTCTATCAAGGTTTTTCCTTCTATTACTCATTTTGATTTACTTTTATTATAATTTTATTATGCTGCTATATTATTATATTATAGTTTTAATTAACACCTAAGCTATTTCTAAAGAATTAAGTTAAAAAATTTTAATATTTTAAAAAAAAAATTTATAAATTAATTTTTAATAAAAAAAAAATGCCTACTTTAAAAATTATAAATATTAACAAAATTATAATAATTGTAAATATCCTATAGTAATTATTATTATTATTATTTATAGTTTTAATTAATTAATTAATTAATTATTATTCTGATTGAATGAGTGGTGAATTGATTGATTATATTGATTATAGGATTATATATTTAAAAATTAATACTGCTATTATAACAATTGCTGATGAAATACTTTTTAAAAAAAATATTAAAAAAAATGGTTTTTTAAAAAAAAATTTAATAAAAAAAAAATAAAAATAAATGTTATTTGTATTTATAAATATAGTGTTTTAATAAATTTTATTTGTTTGTATATTGTGTCTATGTGTGTGTGATTCTATTTATTAAATTGTGTGTATGTGTTTTAAAAATAAGAATTGTGGTTAATTTTTATTTTATTTTATTTTTTGTTTTTTTTTTGTTTTTTGTTTTGCTCTATTTTAAATGTGATATGTGCAATTGTTGTTGTGTTTCAAGATGATGATTTATTTTTATCTTTTTGGGAATGGGTGTGAGTCTAATTGTGTATTACGGGTGTGTTTAATAAATAGTACAAATTTAATAAATAATAAATAATAAATAAATGAAAAAAAAAAAAAAAAAAAAATAATATAAAATTTTAAAATAAACTATTTTATAATGTCATTATTTTTGATATTTAAAAAAAAAATATAGTTTTATAGAAATAAAAATTAATATGAGTGGTTTTGTATTATGATAATTTTTTTTAGATTTTTTAAAATAATTGTAAAAAAAAAAAAAAATTAAAAAAAAAAAAATGGTTGTTTTTATTATGAAAAAAAAAAAAAAAGAAAAAAAAAAAATTATGTAACCAAAATTGAACTAATTTTAATTTTATTTTAAAACAACCCTATTTAATATATTTTGTTATTTTGTTTATTGTTTTTTTTCTTTTTCTTTTTCCTCTTTTAAGTAATTTAAAATTAAAACCTTTATTTTTACTCTCAAGTCATCGATTTCTTTTTGTGATAGTTTCAAAATGGCCTCGTTGTTTGTTTCAATGATTTCGGCTATTAATAAATCTACTAATTGAGATTGAGTTGTTGGATTTGATAAGCTTGATGAGAGTTTTGATAAATCTATTTTAAGTTTCTCTATTTCGGCCAAAGTGGAAATTCTGTGGTATTCGACTTGTGTTGAAAGTAATGTATGTTTTCTTTTTTGGAAATAAAAGTAAATCATTGTGCCTAAAAAAGTAAAGCATAAAAGTAAAAATGTTAATGTGCCATGTCTTGAAAGAATAATTTGAGTTTTTGTTTTCATTTTAAAAACTGGTTTGATATCATCATTTAGTGATTTTTCAGTTTCATCTATCTTTTTTAACATTGCTGCATAAATAGCTTCAAATGGTTCTACATTTTGATCGTTTTTAGATGGTGTATTGTCGTCATTATTATTATTATTATTATTAATTTTATTATTTGTTGAATAAAATCTATTTGTAGTTTTAAATATATTATTGGTACTGTTTATATTTATTATATTATTTTTTATTGGTACATTATTTGAAAATTTTATGATTCTATTTGAATTTATTATAAATCTTTTTGATAAATTTGAAATCATTTTGTATTAATATAAATAAAAAACAATGAAAAAAAAATAAAAAAAATAAAAAAAAAAAAATTCATTTTTAAAATAAAAATTAAAAAAAAATAAAAAAAATAATAAAAATAAAAAAAAGGAAAAACATTTATTTATTTATTTACTTTTTTTTTTATTTATTTTCAAAAATGAATAAAAAATTAACTTTAACAACTCTATTTGTAAGATTTATTTGAAATTTATAATAGATATTAAGTTTTTTTTTTTTTTTTTTTAGAAGTGTTTTTTTTAGTTCAAATAAAAATTTAAAATGGGGAATATTATCCACAAATCGAATTATAATTATTATTTTTTTAATCATAAAATATTTGATTGGTAATATTATTTCTGCTTTTATCAAAAAAATTATAATTATAAAAATAAAATAATAATTAAAAAAAATTAAAATTTTATTATTTTTTTTCGTTTCGTTTTTTTTTTGGAATATTTCAAAATTTTTTTTTTTTTTATTTTTTTTTTTAATTATTGTTATAAGACGTATTTTTGGGTTTATTTATATATTTAAATAAACAATATACATAAAAATATGTCAGCAACAAAAATTTTAGATCTTTTACAACTCCAAAATTTAACCAAGCGTGATCCAGCTGCTTATAAAGAAGAATTTTTGTTACAATACCAACATTATTTAACACAATTACAAATTTTCCAATTAAAACCAACCAAAGAATTTAAACACTTTGCTCAATTAGTCAGTTTCTTAAGTCATGTATGTTTTTATTTTTATCAAATTACAAATCCATATCATAGAAACATCGTTTTATTAATATATTTTTTAATTTTTTTAATTATTTATTTTTAGGTTTGCATTTGTTACCCAAAAGAATTATCAGAATTTCCAAAACAAATTTCAGATTTATTAGAAAATAGTTGCAGTAATTTAGAACCAGAACTTAGAAGAATTTTAGCTAAAAGTTTAATTTTAATGAGAAATCGTAATCTTTTACAACAAACTACACTTTTATCATTATTTTTCAAATTATTCAGAGTTCACGATAAACCACTTCGTAAATTATTATATTCACATATTGTTGCAGATATTAAAAATACCAATTTAAAACAAAAGAATCAAAGACTTAATAGAACTCTTCAAAATTATATGTATTCAATGATGAATGATGACTCTGATATTGCTGCTAAAATGTCATTAAAGGTTATGATCGATTTATTCAGAAAGAAAATTTGGTATGTATAAGTTGTTTTATTTTTTAAAATTTATTATTTATTTTTCTAATATTAACATTTATTATAATTTTTTTTTAGGCACGATACAAAAACTGTTAATGTTATTAGTAATGGTATTTTTTCAAAAAATTCTAAAATTATTATTACAACATTAAACTTTTTCCTTCATATTGATAATCCAGATAAAGAAGACGAAGAGGATGTTGAAGATGCACAAAAAGAACAAAGAGCTAAAGATAATTATAGAAAGAAATCTTTATCTAATCGTGTCGGTAAGAAGACAAAGGGTAGACAAACACGTTTATCAAAGAGTAAAGTCGATTTAAAAAAAGCAAAACAAAACGAAGAAAAGAAAGGTCAACCAAATTTCCCAGCAATTGAATTAATTCATGATCCACAAGGCTATTGTGATAAGTTATTCAATGTTTTAGCAAAAACCACCGAAAAATTTGAAACTCGTATCATGATGATGAACTTTATCTCTCGTTTAATTTCAGCTCACAAATTAATGGTATACAATTTCTATCCATTCCTTCAAAAGTACTTACAACCACATCAAAAGAACATCACCTATTTATTAGCAGTTTTAGCTCAAGCCTGTCACGATCTTGTTGACCCAGATGTATTAAAACCATTAATTATGACAATTGCAAAATTCTTTGTTAACGATGGTTGTGCTCCAGAGGTTATTGCTATTGGTTTAAATACTATTCGTGCTATTTGTGCTCGTTGTCCATTAGCTATGGAACCAGTTCTCTTGGCCGATCTCATTCAATACAAAGATAAAAAAGAAAAAGGTGTCGCCATGGCCAGTAAAAGTTTACTTCAATTCTTTAGAGATAATTATCCATCAATGTTACCAAAGAAAGAAAGAGGTAAAAATAAGACTGATGTTGGTTTATTAGCTTTTGGTCATCAAAAAGTAGAACAAGGTGTCAGCGATATAGATTTACTTTATGATGAAGAATTAAATAGAAAATTAGATGCCATCGAAAATGGTGAAGATATTGATAGCGATGAAGAATGGGAAAGTGCCGATGAAGATGAAGATATTGATGAAGAAGGTGTAGAAGAAGAAGGTGATGAAGAATTAGAAGAGGTTGAAGAAGATGATGATGAAGAATGGGAAGAGGTTGAAGAAGGTGACCAAGAGGATGTAGATGATGATGAAGAATGGGAAGAAGTCGAAGATGGTGACGAAGATGATGAAGAAGAAGAAGAAGAAGACGACGAAGAAGAAGAAGAAGAAGATATTGTTAATGAAAATGAAAAAGATGAAAAATTCTTAAAACCAAAAGTTAAAAAAGTATATGAAAAAGATGATGGTATGGATAAACTTCAAATTTTAACCGATAAAGATTTTGAAAGATTAAAGAAACTTCAAGCACTCAAGAAATCAATTGAAGAAAATAAAGAATATGAAGGTATGGATGAAGATGAAGACAACGAAGAAGATATTAATGGTTTCATTGATCCATCACAATTAATAGGTTCACATAAAAAGAAGAAAATGGAATTGGAAGAAAGAATCAAACAAATCAAAGAGAATAGAGCAGAAAGAGGCGAATACACATCTAAAACCAAACATAAAGAAAATAGAGTCGGTAAATCAACAACCAACGAATTTAAATCAAAACAAAAACAATTCATTTTCCAACTTAAAACTCAAAAGGTTAGAGGTAAAACTCTTATGTCATTTAGAGATAAACAAATTAAACAAAAAAGACATTCAGATAAACAAAGAAGAGGTAGAAAATAAATTTTTAATAACATTATTATCATCAATCACATTTTAATTTATTATTAAAATTCTAAATAAAGAAAAAAAAAAAAAAATAAATAAAAAAAAATAAAAAAAAAATAAAAAATTTAAAAAAAATAAACAAACAATTAAAATTCTAAAAATAAAAAAGTAAATATAACCCATATTTAAATATTCACGTATTTCCAAACTTTTTTTAACAATTCTTTAAATGAAAAATATTATTCTTTCCTTTTTGATAAAAATACTACTTTTATCCATTATCAAAAACAAAAAAATATTTAATACAAAAAAAATAATAGTAATATTGGTATTCATATTATATTTCCTAACCCCATTTTAAGTTAATGGATATATTTTTCATGATCGAGCATTGTTAGATCTAACACTTCACATTCATATTAAAACAATTACTATCACACACCACACAACCACACACTCTCCATACAAAAACACACCCCACACACAATTAAAAATATCTTTAAATTTAAATTTTTCAAGAAATCATATCTAAATTAGTGACTCTTAATTTAATTAATTTTAAATTATTTAAAAGGTATTTTTTTTTTATTATTATTTAAATTCACTAAACTATTATTACTAATTCCCTCTATCACCAAATAAATATTTGAAAAACTTAAATTGAAAAAAAAATTTTTTTTTTTTTTTTTGGTGAAAAGAATTAAATAACAAAAATTAATCATGATATTAAACACAATAAAAACAAACCTTTTTGGGGTTGAGTGTTAAGAAATAAAATCAAAAAAAAAAAAAAAAAATAATAAAAATAATAATAATAAAATATCATTTTTTTAATAATAAAAAAAATATTTAAAAAATTAAAAAAATATTTTTTTTTTTTTTTCTATTTTTTTTTATTTTTATATTTTTTTTTTAATTTTTTTATTATTTTATTTATTTTAATACCCTTTATCCAAATTATTTAATTAAAAGATTTAAATAATAATTTATTTCACCTTTGTTATAAATAATAATTCTCCTTTTTTTATTATAAAAATCATTTATTTTTAATTTTCAATTTTATAAAACATAATTAAAAAATAAAACTTTATATTAGTTTCATATTTAATGTAAAACATTTAATCTATTTATTCAATATTTTTATATATCTATTTATTTTTTTGTCAATTATTTTTGGATCATAGTTTTTTCATATTGTTTTGTTTTGTTTCACTTTTTTCGTAATAGTAGTATTATTAATAATAATATAAAAAAAGAAAAATTTATAAATAAAAACAGCAAATAAAAATAAATTTTTTGTGTATATAATCTTTTCATTAATTTTTTTTCAATTTCTTTTTTTTTTTTTTTTTTTTTTTAAAAATTACCACTATTCACACACATTAAAATATTATATTGTTCAATAGCATACACTACAACAAGTAAAATTCATATGGATATTAAGAATAATTAAAATTTTTTTTTGTGTGTATATTTAATATTTAATATTTATTTTTTTTTTTATTTTTTTTTTTTTTGTTTTTTTTCAATTTACAAATTTTTTTACCAATTTATAAAAAAAAAAAAGAAGAATAATAAGAATAATAAGAATAAGAATAATAATAATGAACAATAGATTGAATCATTTATTATTTGAAAGAGAATTATCAGAAACAAATAAATTTAAAAAAGAATTTTTAAAATCAGACTATTCAATCCAAACTTTGGAAAAATCTGGTGAGATTAAAGGTCATTTAGTAAGTATACATTGATAATTACAGCAATATTTTTGGTAAAATAAAATTTACTAATATGTAAACAGGAGTGTGTCAATTCAATAAATTTTAATAGTGATGGTAGTTTTTTAGTAACTGGGTCCGATGATGAAACCGTTAAAATTTGGGATTTTCCGAATAGAAAGTGTATTCAAACTTTATAGTAAGTAAACCATTCTTAACAATATACACCTATATTTGTAAAAATACTAATTTTAATTTCCCATTTTTTCAGTGGTCATATTACCAATGTATTTGCAACAAATTTTTTACCTCACAAAAATAATAAGTATGTCATCTTATAATTAGAAAATATTACTCTGTCTTAAAGTTTGTTTCTAACAATAAACGAATGGAATAATATTAAGTATATAATACATTAAAAATAATAATAATTAGTTAATAAATATAATAATATTTTTAATAATAATAAAAAAAAAAGTAAACATATTCAAAAATTAATAATCAATTTTCATTAGAGAAGTAATTTCAGGTGGCAATGATTCAGATGTTAGGCATTATGATTTAGTTGGTCAAACTTGTACAGTATATAAACATCATCAAAAAAAGGTATTAAAATTATCGGTTAATCCAAGAACACCAGACCTATTTTTATCATCATCAAGCGATGGCACAGTAAGAATGTTTGATATAAGGCAAAAGTATGATAAAACAGAGATTCAACCAATTGAGCCAAGCTCGAATATACAAAATAGTGCAAGAAGAAGCAGATTTATTTTACCACAACTAATTGGTGGTGGAAGAGGTGGTCTATCAGACAGCAATAATAATCATAACAATAATAATAGTAATAATAATAATAATAATAATAATGATAATAGCAATGGACATAAAGATAGTTTATTAGTAAATTTTAATCCTAGACCTTTAAGAAGAAGTTTAAGATTTTCAATTTCAATACCCAAAACATCAATATTTTCAGTAGAGTATCATCCATTTGATGGTCATAGCTTTATAACTGCCTCATCCGATGGAACAGTTAGATTGTTTGACCAAAGAATGATTAGTGATCACTCTTCTGAGTCATTTGTAAATATTTATCGAAATCTATCGTTACCATGGCCCTCCGACTATGAAGCAACTGGATGTGCATTCAGTAAAGATGGTAGTGAAATTATAGTTACAAATTTAAACGAATATATTTACCTTTACGATTTAAATAAAAACTATTCAAAAGAGTAAGTATTAATCATAATGATATAGTTTAGATTCATAGACCATCCTATTAACAATGGTTTATATGTAGATATTCTTTAGATTACTTTAAAGATTATAGTGTACAAAAAAAGAAACGAAGAGCAATTCATTCTCGAGATAAAAAAGATAAAAAGAAAATTAAACAGCAAGAACACAGGAAAAGAAAGAGTAAAAAGAAAAATAAAAGTGAGTCAAGTGGAAACGAAGGTAGCAGTAATGTAACCAATAGTAGTAGTAGTAGTAGTTGTAATGCTACCTACAATAGTAGCTATGATTTAAGTAGTGAATGTAGTGATAATAGAAGAAACAGTAGCAGCAATGAAAGCATAAGTAGTACTGAAAGTTTAGAAGGTATTGGTACTTTAGAAAATAATAACAATAATAATAATAATAATAATAATAATAATAATAATAATAATAACAATAATAATAATAATAATAACAATAACAATAGAAATAAAAATACCCCGCCATTACAAAGATCTTTATCCTCGTCGTCATCATCATTATCATCAACAACCACTACAACCACAACCACAACAACATCTAGATCAACACCGACAATAGAAGAAGAAAAAGAAATCGATAGTAATACAACATCATCAACACAACAATCACAACCAAAACCATTTTTTGATAATAGACCAACAATGATGAGAAGATCATTATTAAATATTAGAGATGCAATTAATAGCTCAATAGATGATACCGAATCAACTACCCCAACAATTAACAATGAAGATGAAGAGGAGGAAGAGGAAGAAGGAGAGGAGGAAGAAGAGGAACAAGAAGAAATGGTTGATGAAGATAACTTAAGTGAATATTCAAATGACCTTTCTTTAATTTTAGATTATTATCAAGAATTATTGACCGATTATAATGTAACAAATGATGGTAACGAAGAAAATGAAGAGGAAAGTGAAGAGGACAGTGGTGAAGATATCAACGACCAAGATCTTGACGAATTTGACACTCAAAGTGATCAAGAAGACGATGATTCTCAGGAATCCTTTGACTCTGAACAAAATGATGAAAGCGAAGATAGTTATTTTGATGATGAAGAAGAGGAAGATCAAGAACTGCGTCTACGTCGTTTTTTATTTGGTGGTACAACTACTGAAGATGATGATGATGTGGATTATGAAGAGTATAGCGAAAGTTCAAATTGTAATAGTAATTTACCATTTTCTCAATCTTACAAACAAATTTATAAAGGTCACAGCAGCAAAGGTAAATATAAATCATAATAGATCTATTTATACGATTCAATACAATGTAATATTAACATTAAATTTTATAGAAACAATTAAAGGATGTAATTTTTATGGACCAAACAGTGAATATATAATGAGTGGTGATGATGACGCAAGAATTTTAATATGGGAAAAACAGAGTGGAAAGTTAATTAGAATTTTAGAAGGACACAGCTCTCATGTAAATAACGTTATTTATCACCCAACCGAATCAACTATTGTAAGCTCAGGGATCGATTCAGATGCATTAATTTGGGATCCTATAGGAAGCTATCCAAATGACGAGGAAAAAGAAAAACGTCAGAAAACAATCAAACAAAGTTTACGAATTCGGAACTCAGTATCGCGTGGTTTTGAATTTCCTGCCACACCCGAATGTATGAATCAATAAACCAAATCATGATAATTTTCAAATTATAAAAAAATAAGCAATTATAGCAATTATATATATTTATATAATTTATTTCCTTTTTATTTTAAAAAGAGAAAAAAATAATAAAAATTCAAAAAAAAAAATAAAAAATTCAAAAAAAAAAAAATTAACCCACATTTTTATTTATTATTATTATTATAATCTTTCAATACAGAGATTTATAAAATAATATTATAGTTTTTTTTATATTTTATAATTATCGAAATAATATTATTTTTTTTTTTTTTTTTTTTTTTTTTTTTTAATTTTTTTTTTTTCGTTTTTTAATTTTTTTTTAAAAAACGAAATTATTTATTTTTTTTTCATTTTATTTTTATTTTATTTTTATTTCATTTTATAGATAATTAAAAAATGGTTAAAAAGAAAGTAGATTCAAGAATTAGAACATTAATCGAAAATGGTATTGCAACTAATCACCGTAGTTTCTTTGTAATGGTTGGTGATAATGGTAAAGATCAAGTACCAAATCTCCACTATATTTTATCAAAAAGTGTTGTCAAAGCAAGACCATCAGTTTTATGGTGTTATAAAGAAGATTTAGGTTTTTCAAAGTATGTGCACATATACATTTCAAAAAAATATAAATAATACTAATTTTTTATTTTTTTAATAATTTTTATTTAGACACAAAAAAAAGAAAATGAGACAAAAGGAAAAATCAAAATCACAAGGTTTAGAATCAATTAATCAAGAAGATCCATTTGATGTTTTTATTTCAACTACAAATATTAGATACAGTTATTATTCTGAATCACATAAAATTTTAGGTCAAACTTTCGGTATGTTGGTTTTACAAGATTTTGAAGCCATTACCCCAAATCTTTTAGCAAGAACTATTGAAACCGTTGAAGGTGGTGGTATTGTTGTTTTGTTATTAAAAACAATGACAAGTTTAAAACAATTATATACAATGTCTATGGATGTACATTCACGTTTCCGTCAAGAAAACTCAAGATCAGAAGTTGTTTGTAGATTTAATGAACGTTTCCTTTTATCATTAGCAAAATGTGAACAATGTTTAGTTATGGACGATGAATTAAATATTTTACCACTCTCATCTCATTCAAGATCTATCGAAGCCAAACCAACCATTTTAGAAACACCGGAACAAATAGAGTTAAAACAATTTAAGCAACAAGTTAAAGATACCGAGGTTGCAGGTGTCTTAATTGAAAATACTAAAACTATGGATCAAGCTACAGCTCTTTTAACTTTTATCGATAGTATTTCAGAAAAAACCCTTAGAAGTACAGTAACATTAACTGCCGGTAGAGGTAGAGGTAAATCTGCTGCTTTAGGTTTGGCTATCAGTGCTGCTGTTGCCTTTGGTTATTCAAATATTTTCGTTTCATCACCAACACCAGAAAATCTTCATACACTCTTCCAATTTATTTTCAAAGGTTTCGATTCAATGGAATATGTTGAACATGTCGATTATGAATTAGTTAAATCAACAAACCCAGAATTCCACGATGCTATCATTCGTGTTAATATTTTCAGAACACACAGACAAACTATTCAATATATACAACCACAAGACTACCAAAAATTAGGTCAAGCCGAATTAGTAGTTATTGATGAAGCCGCTGCTATTCCATTACCATATGTCAAAAACCTTTTAGGTCCATATTTAGTCTTTATGTCATCAACCATCAATGGTTATGAAGGTACAGGTAGATCATTATCATTAAAACTTATTAAACAACTTCGTGACCAATCAACCACAGTTTCAGGTTCATCAAATAATAAAAATATTACTGGTCGTGTTTTACGTGAAGTCGAATTAAATGAACCAATTCGTTACAGTTCACGTGATCCAATTGAAAAATGGTTAAATGAACTTTTATGTCTTGATAGTACAGTTGCTAAAAGTTCACCAGCTGGTTGTCCACATCCATCAGAGTGCCAACTTTATTATGTCAATCGTGATACCTTATTCAGTTATCATAAAGCATCAGAATTATTCCTTCAAAAGATGGTTGGCCTCTTTGTTTCAAGTCATTATAAAAACTCACCAAATGATCTCCTTTTAATGTCAGATGCACCAGATCACCATTTATTCGTTTTATTAGGTCCAGTAGATGAAAACAGCTCCAATGGTATCCCAGAGATTCTTTGTGCTGTTCAAGTATCACTTGAAGGTGAAATTGCTAAAGAGTCAATTCTTAGCAGTATTAAACGTGGTTATCAAGCATCAGGTGATCTTATTCCATGGACTTTAACTCAACAATATCAAGATGAAGATTTCCCACGTCTTTCAGGTGCTAGAGTAGTTCGTATTGCAACACACCCAGATTATCAAAAAATGGGTTATGGTAGTAAAGCTTTAGATATTTTAACCGAATATTACCAAGGTAAAATTCCAAATTTAGACGAGGATAATAGCGACGATGAAGACAATGAAAAAGAATCCGATAAAAAAATCAAAACTGTCGAAAAAGAAAGTGTTTCATTATTATCAGAGGTAGTTAAACCAAGAGCCAACATTCCACCATTATTATTTAAATTATCAGAAAGAAAACCAGAAAAACTTCATTATATGGGTGTATCATATGGTGTCACACAACAACTTTATCAATTTTGGAGCAAATCTAAATACCTTCCAGTATATCTTCGTTTAACTTCAAACGACATAACTGGTGAACATACTTGTATAATGTTAAGAGAATTAAACAACGAACACAACAATACAATTTGTCAAGAAGGTTGGTTACAATCATTCCATCAAGATTTCAGAAAGCGTTTCATCAATCTCTTAGGTTACGAATTTAGAAACTTTAATTCAAAGATGGCATTAAATATTTTATTTGAAAAAGAGAAATTACCAAAAGAATTATCATATGAAGAAGTTAAATTATTATTCTCATCATACGACTTAAAACGTTTAGAATCATACAGTAACAACATTGTCGATTATCATGTAGTAATAGATTTGTTACCTTCATTAGCCAAACTCTATTTTACCAACAAATTAAAAGTTGAAGACGTATCATTAATTCAATCATCAATTCTTTTAGCATTAGGTCTCCAACACAAAACTGTCGACGATTTAATGGGCGAATTAAATTTACAATCAAATCAAATCCTTTCACTTTTTAATCAAACTATGCGTAAATTAAATGTCGAATTAAAATCAACTCAAGATAAATACCTTCAAGATCAATTACCAAAATCAAATATTGTAGCACCAAGAACTGGTCAATACCAATCATTCAAAGGTGATATTAAGGATACCGATATGATTCCATTAGCTGAAGATTTAGAAAGTGAATTAGAGAAAGGTGCTGATGAAATTAAAGCTAAATTTAAAAAACAATTAGAAAACGACGAATCATTACAACAATATTTAATTAAAGGTGACGATGATCAATGGAAAAAAGCTTTAAATAATAAATCCGCTGCAGTTCCAAAATCAATTTCAATTAAAACAAAAGAAGTCAATAAACGTAAATCTGAAAATGATGATGACGAAGATGATCAAGACGAAAAAGAAGAACAAAACAAAAAGAAAAAATTAAATAATAGTGGAAATAAAAAAGGAAATTTTTCAAAATCAAATACCCAAAAAAAACAATTTAAAAAATAAATTAAATAAATAATCATTTAATGGAAAATTAAATATTAATTTTTAAATTAAAAATTTTTTCTTTTTTTAATTTTTTTTTTTTTACTTTTTTTAATTTTTTTTTTAAATCAAATTAAAATTTTAATTTTTACTTTATTTTTTTTTTTTTTAATAATTTTGTGTGTTGTTAAACAACAAACTTTTTATTTCACATAAATTATTTTAAAAAACTTTTTATAATTTTTAAAATAGAAATTATTTATTTTATTTTTTTTAAAGACAATGCTTTATGTTTTTCCATTATTATTTGTGACTTATAAATTTATAAAATGGTTAAGATTTAGCAGGTACCTAAAAAATATTATTAAAGTAACAAGATTTGATGAAGTATTGGAATATGCAACAAAAAAAGGATTGTCAAGAAAAGAGTTTCTAATTTCAATCTACACCCATGTAAACTCAAGTGGCCCATTAATAAATTTAAAAACAATATTACCAACACCAAGCTCTATCACTGAACCAAATGGTCCTATTGGCGAAATTGTTACAACCTCACCATCGGTTTTTTCAAGTGTAGCAAGTCATGTTATCGATGGTAATGATGGTTTTTTAGCTGTAGAGTCAACCGGAACTTTTATATTCCAGTGTTCGCGTTCAGCTACTGGTACAGTTTCAAGTATATTCTCCAGGCAATTTAATTGTGTCCCATCATTGAAGCTAACCGATGGTGCAAATAATTCTATTGATGTAGTTACCGATAACGTAGTATTTCCATTAGAAAAAGTATATACAGAATTTATATTAAATACAAACAAAGAACCTATATATGTAAGTGTTTTTAATTAATAGACTTTAAATATTTTATTATATATTAATTAATTTTTTTACAGATTAGATTTTTAGATTATATTTCAAATAGAAGAAAGCTTTTAGGTCAAGTTTTTGAAAATAAAGCTTTAAAACCAAATCAAAAATTATTTACAGTTCTTTCATGCCAATTTGACTCTACAACCAAAAAAATTTATTACAGGATTTTAAATTTACCATTTCAGTTTTCAGAAGGTAAGCTAGATAAAGAGATGGAACAGGCAGATTTAAAGGTTTCAATTTATGGTGGATTTTTGATTGGCTTTGGTGTTTCAATTTTAATTTATTATGGTATTCCTTATATCCGTGACTATTTATATAAATTAAAATTAGATAGTACAAAAACTGTTACCCCTGGAGAAATGCAAGGAATGTGTTCTATATGCTATGAAAAAAGCAGAGACATGGTTTTCATACCATGTAATCATGTTATAGCATGTAATAATTGCTCAGATCATGTTACCTTTTGTCCAGTTTGTAGAGGACATATTACCCAAAAGAGAAGAATAATATTTAGTTAAAAAAACATCAAAATAAAATTAAAATTTTTTTAAATAAATAATAAAAATTAAATAATCAACATTAAATTGAAAAATAGATGTCACCATAAAACTTTTCAATACCTTTTATATCTATACATAAAAATTAAAATAAACTATAAATTAAATTGACAAATTACCTTTATTGGTTATTTTATTTTAAAAAAATTAATATATAATTTTTTTTTTTTTTTTAAATTTTTTTTTTTTTTTACCTTGTTTCTTTTCACCATATAATAAAATATTTTAAGATGAAACATAAACTTACCAAAAAAGAAAAACAAAAGATTAGAATTCAAAAAGTTAATGAAAGAAATAACCAAATTTTCATAGACTATTCAAACTATTACCATATTATAAATAATAACTATAATTTGATAAACTTAACAGATGATCAAATTAATAATATTAGGGATATAATAAAAAAAGAATCGATTTCCTCAGTTGATAAATTTAACTCTAAATTTATTAGATTAAAACTGAAGATAGTGGGAAAAAAAAGGATGGTTTTATATCCTATCAATACATATTACAAAGAAAAGATTTTAAATACATTAATGTTTTTAACATCAAATCAAAATTCACTAAAAGCTCTAATGGGTGAAATCAAGAGATTCAATTTTTATTGGAGAGGCTATATAAAAGATACAAAAATGTTTTTCGAAATATATAATAAAAACAATATTAATGATAATAATTTTTATAATAGTGACATAGAGGATGAATATAATATTATAAATACCCAACAAATAAAAACGTATAATTTTCAAAAAAACTCTATAGATTTTCATTTAAATAATAAAAACAATAATAATAATAATAATAATAATAATAATAATAATAATAATAGTAATAATAATAATAGTAATAATAATAATAATAATAATAATAATAATAATAATAATATTAATAGTGGGAGTAAAAAAAATTTTACTTCTGTAATTAAATATAATAATAGTTTATTATATCATATAAAGCAAAATGACCACATTCAATATAATCATAAAAATAAAACTAAAATAAAAAGATTTAAATCACAATATAATCAAATAGAAGAACCACAAGAAGAACAATTATTATTGGAAAATGATGATACAAATATGTTGGAGGAAATAAACAAAGATGAAACAGTATTATCACAAGAAAGTGGCAGCAGTAATAGTATATTCTCTCAAATTTCATCAATAGGGTTAAAATTTTACAAAAAATTTTTTTAAATAAAAAACAAATTATTCTCCTAATATTTCAAATTATATTTTATTAATTTTTATTTTAAATATCTACTTTTTTCTTTTGTTTCTCTTTCTTTTTCACTCTTTATATTATTACATTTTCTTTTTTTTTTTTTTTATTATTGGGTGGGTCTATAAAATACCCTTTTTTAATTTATCTTTTTTTTTATTCTTGTGTTGTTATATTGCACTATATTACGGAGTGTTTTTTATAAAAGATTTTTTTTTTTTTATTTTATTATTCGAAATTAATCGAGAATTTATTTTAGCCATCAAAATTTAATATAAAAAAAAATTATATAAATATGTGTGTTTTTAAAACAAGATAGAGAAGCCAAAACCTGCTCAAATACGCAATAAATTTTCTTTTGAAAAGTTTCATTTGCATCACAAAAAAAAATAATATGGTTGTTGGGAGATGAGAAAAAACCAATTACCACACCAAAAACCATATAAAAAATTTTATTTACGCAAACCTAATATTCCTCCCAACCACACCAAAATTATTTTACTGTGTATAACCCAGCAATATTTACAGCGACTAGTTTTTATAAGCCTATGAATTTTTCGCCATAATCCGGCTTTAAAATTATTTATTTTTAGTTTTTTTTTATTTTTAATTTTATTTTTTTTATTTTTTAAAAATATCCAACCCTCTGGTATGTGTGCGTCTTTTCGTTTTTTTTTTTTTTTTTTGAATAATTAATTTTTTTTTATCCAACTGACAAAACAAGAAAAAAAAGTATGGTGCCCTTATATAATCGGTTTTGGGGAAAGTTGTCAGATTATTTATTTATTTATAATTTTTTTTTTTTTTTTTTTTTTTTTTAATTTATTTTTTTTAATCAAATACCTGTGTGTATTATGCTTTTTAAAGTTTTTTTTTTTTTTTTTTTTGGTTAGTGTTATTTAGTTTATCCGTAAATTTTTTGTGTGGTAAAAAAGGGTCAAATAATATTCTATTTAGTTATAATCATTAAACACATTTATTTAAAAAAATATATTTGGTCTTTTTATAATAATAATTTTATTTTAAAAAAAAAAAACATTTAACCCCTTTTTTTTTTTTAAAATTTTTTTTATTTAATTTTTTTCCCACATAATAGAACCATCACCACATAGTGTGCTATCTTTTTAGACTCACATATCACTAAACTCCCCTTTATTTTCACTATCTAATATATTTTAATATATAAATATAGATATTATTAATTTTTCCACATCACTTTTAACATTTTTTGTTTTTTTTTTGTTTTTTTGTATACCAAACCAATTTTATATAAATAATTTTTTTTTAATAAAATATTAATAATTAATCATTATATAAAAAATAATTTTACATTATTTACAATAAATAATAAATAAAAAAAAAATTCAAAATTTTTATTTTACAATAATATTAATAAAAAAAACAAAGTAATAATTATAATAATTATAACAATATATTATTTATAATGGATCAAGTTGAATTAAATAATATTGACCATGTACAAGATAGTCCACCTCTTAGTGTCTCTAACTCTCCAGACCAGAACCACCAGCCACTCACTAAAGAGATCTCTATTGTAGACAAGAAAGAAAATGATCTAGAAATGGCCAAAGAAAATAAAGATGAAGAGGAAAAGCCAAGCAAATACAGCAAATGGGACCCAAAGTTTTATCTTTTAGAACACCGTGACGAATTAAAAATTATTGTTGCCTCTATGTTTTATAAATTTGCCTTCGAAACATTTTCTAGCTCGCTCAGTCTTGTTGTTTTAACTAGATTTGAACATGACAATGGTGTTACCTTTTTAGCTGTCATGAATATTATATATTTCCTTTCACAAGTAAGTATTCATTTATTTAAATTTTTAAAAAATTATAGAAACTAATAATTTTTTTTTTTTTCTTTTTTTAATTTTTTTTTTTTTTAGTCTATCGGCTCAATTTTGGTTTCTCCATTTGTAAGAAATTTTAGAGCAAGTAGAGTAACATCAGTCGTTATGTTTTTAATGGCCATTCTTATTACTGTATTTATTATAATTGGTGCCTCTACCGGTACAAAAACTGATGTCGATCATCTTGGCTCATGGAATCGTTATTTAGTAATTCCATTATATTTGCTCATGGGAATTTTCGTTGGCATGATCGAGGTCAGTAGAAAACTTACCCCAAGACAAATTTTAGGTGGCGATAATAAAAAGCTTTCAAAATTAAACGGTTTAATTCATTTATTCTACGAAGTCTCAGGTACTGGTGGTGCTTTCTTATCAACTCCATTAATCGATCATTTAGGTCCAATTTTCTCGTTATCTCATCAACCTGTCTTTTATTTACTTGGTGCCACATTCTTCTTTTTCGTATCACAACCATTCCCACCAGCCACTATTAAAACTGCTAAAGATCCAGAAGCTGAAACTGATGGCAAAGCTCTTCATATTGTAAAGACTGTTGGAAGAGAGATTTACTTATACTTCCATTCATTGTATGTTGGTGCCCGTTACATCCTATCTGTTAAATATTGGTGGATTATTACTACCTATGTTTTACCACAAGTACTTCATAGACTTTTAGAAAATCTTTTATTCCCAACATTCGCTAAAAAAGTACTTAAGCAAGGTTCACTTTCTGGTATTTTAACTGGTGGTTCAAACTTTGGGGAAGCTATTGGTTCAATTTTAGTTGTTAAATTTGGTAACAAATTAAAGAATCCATTATGGTGGGTAAGAGTAGACGGTCTCTTCCACGCTTTAGTTTGGGTTTTGGTTTATCCACCAAAACTTTCAAATCCAACTGCTGTTGCTTGTTCTTTTATCCCAATATTTGCTGTTGTTAGTTCCTTCTGGGCCGCAGGTGATATTTCATTGTTATCATTCATCCAATCAGAATTCCCTCTTAACACTCAAGCCAACGATAATATATATCAAAAAGAAATTAATGATACAGATAGCGAAAAATCAGATATATCAGAAAGTAATGTTACCCCAAATTCTAAAAATAGCAAAGATCTCAGTCTCGAAAATTCAATTGACGATCTCGGTAAAGAATTGGATGATAAAAAACAATCAGTCGATGAAGTCAAAGATATCACTGATGAAGAGGACGCTCCATCTGGTTCACCATTAGCATCAGTTATTGGTTTCTTATTTGGAACTTATGCAATTATCATCTCTTTATTAAGCTTTGGTCTTGGTCGTGGTATGGATAGTGCTGATGCTAATGGTAACATTCAAGACGGATTCTTCTGGATTGCTGGTGTAGGCTTTTCAGTTTGTGGCGGCTTAGTTATTATTTCTTCTTTCTTTGCTAGAAACAAAGATTTAAGAAAGAAATAATCATATTTATTTATTTATTTTAACCCGATTTTATATTTATATTTATAATAACAAAATTATAACATATACTTTTTTTTTTTTTTTTTTTTTTTTTTTATACCTTTTTTAATAACAAACCAATTTTCTTTTTTTTTTCTTTTTTTTTTTTCTCTCTTTTTTAATATTCAGTAAATAAAATTACAATCCAATAGAAACAATAAAACGATACAAGAAACAATAATCATAATAACTATAATAATCATAATCATAATTAAAAAAAAAAAAAAAATAAATCAAGATAAATTTTTTCTTGAATTCTATGTGGGGAGTTTATAAAAAAAATATTTTTTTTTTTTATAATTTTTTATATAAACTATTTAACTATTATCTATTTACTAATTTTAAACAAATTCTAACTTTTTCTTTTTTTTTTTTTTTTTTAGCACAACCATATCCAAATTATCATCGGTATATCAAAGAACTGTAAATATTAAATTATTTTTGATAAAGAAAATTAAATTCGAAAATTTACCTTCAAATAATTTTTTTTTACCTTGGATACTAAAAAATAATAAATAAATAAATGTAAATAAAATTAAAGTTTTTTAAATGTAAAAATTTTATTTCTATATTTCTATTTTTATTTTTCTATTAATTCCTCCTTGTTTTTTTCCCCCAATGATGATATTATTTTAATTGGTTGTGGTTTATAACCCCATTAAGGTTGAATATTTAAAAAAAAAAAAAAAATAATATTAAATAAAGAAAAGATTAAATTAAAAAGTTTATTTTATTTTACAAATTTTGTATACAATTTATTATAATTATTTTCACAACTTTATTATATTAAATATTATAATAAATACAGCTTTTGAGAAAAAAACTTTATATGAATAGATTTTAAAATCTCTCCAATGTTTTGGTGATTTCCGAACGACACAAAGGGCATCTAGTTAATTTAGTTGAACATTCAGAACAAATGGAACTATGTCTGCATGGAAGTAATAAGATGTTTGGTGTGTTTGTTACACAAATAACGCAACTATTTTGATCTTTTAGTTGGTCTTTTTCTTTTTCTAATACCGATAAACGACTGCTATAGATTTGATCCTTGATGGTACTGATCTGTCTGAGATTATTATGGAAGATGGCTTCTAAATCTAAAAGCTCTCTAACATCCAAGGCATCAATATTGATTAATTTAAATTTATTTAACTGTTTGTTTAAACCATTAATTTCAATATCTTTTTCCGCTAAACTTTGATTCTTTTCTTTGAGCTGATTTGTTAACTCTTTGATTTTATTTTCATAATATTGACTATCATTATTACTATTACTGTTATTTGATATGATACTTGAGTTTGAAGAAATTGATAATCTATGTTGTTTTTGTTGTTGCTGTGAAGATAATGACGAAGTTGATGACGATGATGATGTTAAAACTTGTCTTTGTGATAATGGTTGCTTTTGTTGTTGTTGTAGTTGTTGCTGCTGCTGTGCAAGTTGTTTTGAATCTAATATTGATTGTTGAGTTGATAATAATTGATTTGGTATTTGAGTTGAAATTTGACTGTTATTACAAATAATTGTTTGTTCGCCAACAATACTATTGTTATTTAAATGACTACCGTTATTGGTAGTTTGATTGCTATTTGGTGATGATTTTTGAGGTAATTTTTTAACCCTTAATTTCTCTAATGATTTTACATGAATTTCCTCTAATTTTAAGCAGGTTTCGGTTGGTAAATCATCAATATCTTCTGAATATAATAACTATGTTTCTTTTTTAGATCATTATATTCTTTTTTCAATGATATTAATTCATCTTTTTGGATAATACTTTGAATTTGGTCTGTTAAAAGAGATATTTGATGATTTGCTTTACCTAACTTTTCTTCTAAATTTTGACGATACTTTTGTTCGTGACGAATTTTATGATTAAAATGATCCTCAACTCTTCTGAGACTACTTTGAAAATCTTTATTTCCTGCTGCTTGGTCATAGATATTTAATGATCTTAACTCTTCAAGTATTAATTCTTCGGCAGAATTTGTTTTAACTTGAGGTTGTGGTTGTGGCTGTTGTTGGTACTGATGCTGATATTGATTTCTATGACCAGAACTGCCACTATAGTTACTGTGAGGTATTGAAATTGATGATCGATTACTATTAGAATAATTTGAACGATTCGATGTTTGCGAAGTGGTAGTGCTCGTTGTAGTAGTGGTTTGAACTGATTGTAGGGATGATGTCGATGAATTTAAACTTATATTTGAATTTGATCTTGATAATGTCGATGGGATTTGTAAATATTGTGATGATTGATTACTACCTATACTATTATTGCTGGCTAATGTATTATTACTGTGATTACTATGATCACTTAAAGTATCATTTGTTATATCATTATTATTACTATGTTGGGAATTAAAATTATGGTTTGATAAAATTGAGGAAGTTGATTGAGGTGAGGTTGATAAATAAGAGGAACTCGAACTTGTTGATAATAAATTATTTGATGGTGAACCATAAATACCATTATTATTATTTGTTTGAATGGATGGTATGATTGGTACCAATGGGTTATTATTATCATCAAAAAACTCCAATTGGTGTAGATCTCCCATTAAGTTACCAGAGCCAGTGCCTGCATAAATGTACATTCTTCCGCCAATGAAGTTTGTAGTGTGTCTAAATCTAGCCTGAGGAATTTCGATGCCCATGTATTGAGGTTGTTCCCAATGGTATTCATTAACACCATCTATGTGAAGAATATGAATGTCATTTAGGAAATTTGAATCACTGCCACAACCACCAAATATCATAAGTTTATTATTTGAAATTAAAGTAGCTGAATGGCCACTTCTTGGTTTTGGTGCTATACCTTTTGGTTCAACTTTTTTCCATGTGAATGTATCCAAGTCTAAATAATATACATCGTTGTAATACTTTTTTCCATCGTATCCACCAAATATAAACATTTTATTATTAATTTGAAACGTACAATGAGTTGCACGTGCTGATGGTATTACTCCACTACAGGATTGTTGCTTCCATTCATTTGTATCTAAATTATAACCAAGTACACTGCTATAATATTTACTCTTATGGTTGTTGTGTCCACCAAATACAATTAAATAATTTCTATATACGACTGATGTATGCCCTGCTCTACCCTCGACCGATTTATTTGTGACTTGTTTCCAAATAAAGCTTTTATTACCTGGTTTATACGTATTAAAAATGATATTGTTAAAAAATTGTTTTTAACGAAATAATAAAAATAATATTAGATACTTACTGTTAACATATAATATATTAATGTCTGAAAATGGTTTTGAGGTTGCCCTTCCACCAAAAAATATAATTTGATATGAATCACTATAGGGTCTATTTTGGGACTGATATAAGGCTGCACTATGACCATATCTTTCAGAAGGAGTATTTCCCACAGCCTCTATTTTTGACCAAGAGTTGTTTTGTATATTATAATATTGTATGTCGTTGAATGCCCTATTGCTATTTCCTCCAAAAACAATAAATCCTGAACCATTTGGTAGTGTTATAGATGTATGACCCCATCTGGGCTCCGGGGAGCCAATTAACGAAACCTTTTTACATTCGATCTTCATTCACTGAATAATATTTATTTCTTTTTTTGATTTTGATTGGTGTTATGTAAAAAGAATATATTATATGTTTATTTTTTTTATTTTTTTAGAAAAAAAAAACTATTATTAAATATTTAATAAAAAAAAAAAAAAACTAAACTATTAAAAATATGTATATTTAATTGAACAAATAATTTAACAAAAAAAAAAAAAATGAAGAAAAAAATGTTTAATACGATATAATAATACAAATTTAATGTTATTAATTTATAACAATATTACTAAACTATTTACTATTATTACTATTATTACTACTATTACTATTATTACTGTATTTTTAAGATTTTAATATATTTATATAATATTAAATTTTATTTTAAATAAAGATATATTTTTTTAAAATTATTATTATTATTATTATTACTATTGTTTATATTTATATTTTTTTTATTATAAATAAAAAAATTATTATTATAATTAAAAATCATCACAAAATAATAATTATATTATTACTATTATTTTTTATAAAAAAATTAAAAATAAATAAAATTTAAAAAAATAAAAATATTAATATGAATATTTTATAATATTACTATTGTTATTATTATTATTTTTATAATATTATTATTATTATAAATTTTTTAAATATTATCTGTGGGTGTTTAAAAATTTATTTGTGTGAGTTTTGGTGTGAGCAAAAAAATAACAAAAGAAAAAAAAAGTTTTTTTTTTAAAAAAAATAAAATAAAAATTTAAAAAATTATTTTTTTTTTTTAAAAAATGAAAATTAATATTTTATTTTTAATAAAATAACAAATAAATATTTAAAATAAAGTTAATAAATATACTATATTAAGTTCTATTATTATCTTAAAAATAAGATAATAATTAAATAATATAAAAAAAATTGAAAAAATGGTTTTTCATTTGAAAATATATGTCGTTAAAATAATAAACACTAAAATAAAAAATAAATATTTATTTTTTTATTTTTTTATTTTTTTGGCCGAAATTATTTGAAATCATGAATTAGCTAAACGTTGTTTTAATTATTAATGTTTTGTTTAATTGTTTTTTTTCAATGTTTTTCATAGTTTGATTAAAAAAAAAGTTATAATATAAATATATATATATTTTTTTTTTTTTTTTTTTTTTGATTTTATAATATATTAATTTTAAATTATCGGTTGAAAAAAAATATATTTTTTAATTTAAGGTTAAATATTTTTTAGGAAAAAAAATTATATTTTTTATATATATAAACCTATGAAAATAAAAATAAACTTGGAAAAATAGATTGATTTTTTTTTTTTTTTTTTAATTGTTTACTTCAAAAAAAATTTATTTTTAAGTTTTAAAATGTTTATTTATTTTATTTTCTCATCATACCAAAGACACCAACGACGATTTGGATGACAATTAAACAGAAAAAGATAGCTAACCAAACTCTTAATGGATCTTCATAGTAACTACCAGAGTTCCAATTTTTGGAGTGAACACTTTCGTAAACACCTGGGAAAACACATTGACGTGGTTTACCTTTGCCTTGACTAATAATTGAAGCACCACCAGCATAATTACAAATTCTACATTTACCATCAATACAGGAACCCATTTTGTCGATTGATAATTGGTTTGGATAACCACCTTCGTCATAGTTGAAGTAAGTGACAGCACATTTACTATCATTATTTACTCTGATATCTTGAATGAGGTTTGTTGGTAAATTGATACAGTCATCACCATTTTTATCGAATTTTTGACATGAACCATATTTAGAGAAATCGAAAATATTTGTTGAGCAATATTCATCTAAAAAAAAAATAATAAATTAAAAAAAAAAAAAAAAAAAATTAGTAAATGTGTGTTTTAAAAAAAAAAGAATATTATTAAAATACTTACTTAAACCACAATCTATATCGTTTAAGCAATTGACACAGTAACCATCACCATTATTAGTAGTACAGTATTGGTCGGCTGGACAATCCTTTTGTGCGGAACACATTCTGAAGCTAGCATTAGCGACAGCTAAAACTGAGAGAACTAAAACTACAACTGATAATAAAAATCTCATTTTTATTTATCTATAAATATATTTATTTGATAATATAATCAACAATATTAATAAAAAAAAACAAACTTGAAAAAAAAAAAAAGTTATTTATAAAATAAGAAAAAATAAAAAAAAAATTATAAAAAAATTTATTTTTAAAATATTATTAAAAAATATAAAAATAAATTTTTTTTTTTTTAGTTTCTATGAATTCAATAATATCTTGCTTGAATTAAAAAAAAAAAAGATTGAAAAAAAAAAAAAAAGAAAAAAAACTGAAAAAAAAAAAAAAAGATCCTTTAGTTTTCAAGAATCACCAAAAAAACTAAAGCAAATATATATAAATATATTTTTTTTCTTTTTTTTTTTTCTTTGATATTAAAGGATAAAAAAAAAAATATTTATTTATTTTTAAAAAAAAACCTCAACACAAAAATGTGATTGAATTAATAACTAATTTTCTAATGATATTTTTAAATTTTTTAAGAAAATTTGATTCATGCAGAAAAAAAAGAGAATCTCTTTTTTTTTTCATACTCAACCAACTAACTTTTTTTTCATTTTTTTACACCTTTAAGTTTGTGAGTTTTTTTTTATGTATTTTTTCCTTAAACTCTAAATAAACACTTGGGGTTGAAAAATATTCAAATAATTAAAACAATAAGCTTTAGTTTTTTATGAGCGGTTTTTTTAAAACGTTCACGATACTTTTTGATTGTGTATTTTTTTTTTATATTTTGATGAAACACAATTTTGTGTTTTTTTTTTTTTTTTAATTTTGATATTTTATAATAATTTAAATTGTTATTATTTTTAATTGTTTTGAATAAATAGACTTTTTCTTGTTTAAACTGATATTAACGGTCACCACTCAACCAAAAAAAAAAAATCTTTATTTCATAATAAAACAACAGTTAAAAACAATAATAATAATGTTCAATTATTTCTATAAAGAAAATAATCTTTTTAGAAAATTATAAAAAAAACTATTTATTATAAATAAACTAAAAAATAAATATCTAAAAATATGTCATAAAAAAATATTTAAAAAATTAAATGATTCCCACTCTAATTTTAATTTTTTTTTTATTTACAAATTATTTCTTTTATATAAAAGTATAGATTATTTATTTTGAAAAGTATTTTATTAATATATTTTTTTGTATGTTATTCTGGTTCTGATTACTACATTAAAAAGATCGTTATTTAATAAAAAGACTATTATGAAATAAATTCAAAGTATATAATAAAAAAATAATTTTATTTATTTATTTATTTATGTATCTTTTATTTTATTTTAAAGTAAAAATTAAATCTTTTGATAGTTCACCAACGTGATTGATATACTCTATCACATGGTCTTTTAACATTTTTTGGAATCTTGGGGTTATTTCAGAGTATTTGAAATACATATTACCCTGTTTGAATCTAGTTGAATCCAATAAGCTATTATCTTTCTCGTAAAATGTTTTAGTTTTTTCGTTTGATTTCCCTTTAGTTTCTACTTGTTCCTGTTCTTGTTCTTCGTTTTCAAAATAAAACTTGGAGTATCTTTTATCTTTTAGTTTTGAAATTGCTTTATTAAATTCTACCCAAACATTATTTTCGCTGCAAAGTAATTGCGATGGTTGATATTTGCCTTTATATTTCATTTTTTGACAGGTGTGAATATAGTAACCCATATAATAGTATTTTAGTTGTGATATACCTTCAACAGTTGCACATCTTCTTACCCAATCGATTTCTAATAGTGAAGAGTATTTACCAAGGTTAAGAAAGTTGTAATCTGGATCATAGAAGAAATATACACTTGAAAGACATAGCGGAAGTATATCAATAACACCAACTGCAACTAATTTACCGTCAATTCTGTAATATTGATGGTAGCTACCATACCCTGGCTTTGGAACTTTAATATTTCCAAACTTTTTAGTTTTTAAATATCTTGTTTCATCTTCCCTCTCTTTTGCTTCATCATTATTTGATTCTTCATCATCGGTACCTTCTGCATGGGGAACTTCAATTAATGGTGTATCTACTAAAAATCTGGAAAAGCCTGATTTTGTTTTCTTATCAGTTTCTTTATGAATAATTGTTTGATATTTACAATATAAATTAAAAACTTCGTCTGTACATTGTGGCTTATGAATTGTAACTTCAAATTTATGCTTTGGTGTAACTTTACTTGGATCTATATTTTTTAATTTCGATGTTTTATTATTACTGTTACTATTACTATTATTACTGTTATTATGAGATGTTATATGATTATCTGTATTCTTGAGGTCTATAATATTTATATGATTATTTTCACCTAGAGTTAATTTAAATTGTTCAATAAATTGGTTTTTATCATTACTATAATAGTTTAAAATAAAGTCAATTATTTGATCAATTGAAATTAATGATTCTTCTAATTCTTTTTTAAATTTATTAAATATACCAAATGAAATTGAATAGTTTCCTTTTTCTTTAATGGACTTTTTTGCATTGATTTTAATTTTTAAATTATTTTCAATTGTTTTTTTACTATTTATATCACTGAATGAGTTTGATGCAAATTCAAATTTATGCAAAATTTCGATAATAAATTTGTTTAGATCGTAAATTATATTTGGTAAAGTTGGGCTTTTAGATAGTGTGGGGTTAGAGGTTGTAGAGGTGGATGTTGTAGAAGTAGAAGTGGAGGGTTGGGTGGTTTTTGAGGGTCTGTCTTCTTTAATTTTGTTTGTGGTCATGGTTGAGGATGAGACAGAGGATTCATCAAATGTATCTTCATCAAATGTTTCTTCATTGTCGTCACTATCATCTTCATCCATTTGATTGTGTTCATTTATAATCTTGGTTTTGTTTGGCTTCTCGTCAAATGCAATATAGTTTTGAAATTTCTTTTTTGTTTTGATATTATCTTTTGAGGGCCTGAAATTAAGAGCCTCTAATCTAATTGTATACTGCGGACAACAACCATTAGGATTGTCAGGTTTATATAAAAATGTACCTGAACGGCGCCACCCAATGTCAATAAGACTCTGATAGTCTTCAACTGTAAGCTGGTAACAGGTCATACCAAAACAAATTCTACCATTTTCGCTTTCACCACAATAATTACATTCACTGGAATATGAACCTTGTGGATAAACTAATGATTCTTCTTTTTTAATATTCATTTTATTTATATAATTGTAATTTATTGTTTATTATTTATTATTTACTATTTTGTATAATATTAGTTCATGAGTATACACCAATAATTATGAAGTTTTGGAAATGAAAAAAAAAAAAAAAAAAAAATTAAAAAATTAAAAATATTTTTTATTTTTTTTTTTATTTTATTATTATTTGAATATTTTTTTTTTTTTTGATAAAAGAGTTCTTTATTAATTAAAAAAATTATATGTTTATTTAAAAATATGTATAAATATAATTTATGTCTACTAATATTTTTTTGTTAATTAATTTTACTTTTTATTTCTTTATATATATTTGTTTTTACTATTTATATATTAAAATATAATATATTTATGATTAGTGATATAAAAGTTAGTATTCTTCTATTTATGGTAGCTATCAAATATTTTAACAATTAAAAAAAAAAATTAATAAAAAAGTAAAAATAAAAATTATAAAATTTTAAAAAAAAAATCTTTTTTTTATTTTATTTTATTTTATTTTAATTTTATTTCCATTTTTTTATTTTTTATTTTTTATTTTTTTATCATTGTGTGTGCTTCAAATATTTATCACTTAAACATATAATATAAGATTTTTATAAATAGTTTAATTAATAAATAAAAAAAAATAAAAAATAAAAAAAAATGAAATTAATATTTTTATTAGTTTTAATAATATCATTATTTAATAATGTTAACAGTTTAAAAATCAGTAAAAATGAAAATAATTATAGCTTTAATTCGGTTAGGGTATCAAGTCAAATTAAATGTGAAGTTTGTAGTTATGTAGTTAATTATATTGAAAATGTTATAGAATCAAGTCGTGGAGAATTAGTTATCACTGATGGATTGGAGGATTTATGTAGTACAGTACCAAAAGAATTAAGATCAATATGCGATAATTTTGTTTCCAATAATGTCGATAATATCATAGATTCAATTATTAACAAAGAAACACCAGATTCAATTTGCCAAGATATCGGTTTTTGTTCATCAGACGACTCATCAGATGTACCAACAGATGCCCCAGAAAAACCAACTACTATCGAATCTTCATCCAGCTCTTCATCAATCGATTGTACTATTTGTGAATTCCTTATTGAACGTATCGAACTTTATGTCGAAGGAAATTCAACCCAAAACCAAATTGAATACTATCTCGATAAAGATTGTAAATTATTTGGTGGATATGCTGGTCAATGTCAAGTAAGTATAGTATAATCTAAAACCTAGTTGTCAAAATAAATATTAATTATTTTATTTTTTATAGGTATATGTTAATCAATACGTTCCAATGTTTGTAAACTATATTGCACATAACGAACAACCAAAGGTTGCATGTTCTCAAGTTAACTTATGTTAAATTATAATATTTTATTTATTTATTGAAAACAATTTAAAAAAATAAAACCACAGTTTAAATTTTATATTTTTTTTTATTTTTTTAAATTATAAAAAATATTTTTTCAGTTTTTTAAATTTTTTAAAATTTTTTTTCACCCCTTTTTTTATTTGTTTATTTTATAAATACCAAACAACATTATGTAAAAAATATATGGATATTTGTAATAATAACAATAACAATAATAATAGTAATAATAATGATAGTTTAAATGGATTAAAGTTGTTAGAGGATAACAGTAACAGATTATTAACGATTATACTAAACTCACAAGTTGGGGTTTCCGAAATAACTCTAAAGAGAAAAGTAACAGAATTATCAGAAAGAACTGAAAAGTTAAAAAAATTACAACTTGAAAGAAGCAATTTAATAAACCAAATTCAAATTGAATCAAATAGGTTAAAATATTTAGAATCATTGGAGTCAAATAGATTAATTGGTGATAGTGAAGACAAAAAGAAACAAAAGGAAGAAACAAATGAAAAAAAAGAAGAGCAAGATATTGAAAATGAACTTTTAGAATCAATTTGCAATCTTAAAGAAAAGTTATTTAGTTTATCAACATCAAGAACTGAACAACAAAGCCTATTTAACAGGATTTATCAAAGCAAATTAATCGAGCATTTATTATCAAGCACGACTGAATCGAATAATAGTAGTAAAATATTAAAATTATCAAAAATTAGGGATGAAGGAGTTGAAATATGTTTGAAATTAATAAGCCAAATAGAGTTAAACAATGATGAAATTCTAAAGATTAGAAAGAAAAGAATTGAGGAAATGAAATTAAATAGAGAAACCTACAATAACCTAAAGATGAAACTAGAGGAGTCTAAATCTAAAACCGAAAGAGAGTATGTATCATAATACTATAGCATTACAAGTTTTATAAATTAATTACTAATTATATTTTATTCCTATTATAATATTTAGACAAAAAAACTATAGCGTTTTAAAGGATAAAACAAGTTTATTGGGTTTCATCATTCAAAATTTAGTCTATGAGTCTGGTATAGATTGGGTCAAAGATGATGAAATAACATATTTTTTCGATACAATTGATAATTTCGGTGATGATATCGAATTGGACGAAAATGAAAACGAAAATCAAAATGATCAAGATAATAACAATACTACCCCAAGGACAACAACCTCTTAAAACCAAAAAAAAAAAGCAAATAAAATCACTAGATTTACTAAATAAATCTTTGCCATATTAATCTTAAATAAAATCTCGAAAAATAAGTTTATTATTTTTTGGGCATTCTATTTCGTTTCAATATGGATAAATTTATTAAAATAAAAAAAAATTTTGGGGGGGAAATTTTTCAAATAAAACATCCCATTTATAAAAATTATTTGATTTAGCTTTGGTTTTGTTGAAATAAGTTAATTCACGACCTATTATATTTTTTATATTCGAATAACAGAAATAGTTTGTGATAATATTATAATAAAAGGTTATATATCTCCAAAAAAACCGTTTTCCTTTCTTTTTTTAAGACCAAAAAATTTAAAAATTATTTCTTTTTTTTTATTTTTATTTTTATTTTTTTATTTTTTGTTTTTTACTTTTTATTTTATTTATATGTGCAATAGTTTTTATACAATGGTAAAAAAATAAAAAAAAATATACCCAACAGTTACGAAAACCAATAAGATATTAATCAAGATTATATAAAACCAAGTATTATTTTTTTTAATCTAGATAATAATTTGTTTTTTTTTTTAATTATTATTTTTTAAAAAATATTTTATTTTTTTTTTTAAAATTTTTTTTTTATTTTTTTTTTTTCCAAAAATTAAAAAGTTTTTTTTTTTTATAGGCAATCACAAAAAAAAATAATAATAATAATAATAATAAGTTTTATATAATAAATTTTTTTTTTATTTTTTTTATTTATACCATCATTGTAAAAATACATTATATTGTTTTAAATAATATAAAAAAACATTTTTTTTTTTCAACCTTTTTATAATTTTTTTTCAAAAAAAAAAAAAACATACATACACCCCTCCAAAAATAAAACACACACTCACACAAAATCAAAACTAAAAACTATAATCTAATATTACACACACAAAAAAGAGAGAGTCAACATTAAATTTTTTATATAAAACTTAAAGTTCCTTTATTTGAATATTTCAAATTTACATGCACTCTCTTTTCACAATCACACAAAAATAATTTTAAATCTTTTAAAACCTCAAACCCCCTCAAAACACAAATAATAATAATAATAAATAAATAAATAACCAACAAAAAAAACATACCACACATAAATTTTTGATATCGTTATTTTTTTTATTTTTTTTATTTTTTTATTTTTTATGTATTTTTATAAAAATTATTTATTCAATAAATATATATATTAATAAAAATAAATATATTCTATATTTTTATTTATATATTATATTAATAAACCTAAGAAATGTCTTCAGATCAATTACCTCCATTTCCTCCTCAACATTCACAATCATCAGAAATAATACCACCAAATTCAACATTAAATAATGTAGCAGCTTTTTTAAATATAAAATCAAAACGTTCATCAGGTGGATCATCATCATCTAATGCAAATACACCTTCAGGTTCGCCAGTATTATCAAGGGCATCAGGCGGATCAACCTCATCATCATCATCAACCTCATCATTATCAAATGTTCCACAAATGAATTTAGGAGAACCAATGTCACCACTTTCACACAGTATTTATGGTAATAATGCACTTACTTCGATTACAAATGCTTTAGCAGGAAACATGGCAGGGTCTCCATTAGGATCACCAAAATTACCACACACAAATAGTAGTAACAGTATTCAAATGAACAGTAAAGATTCACCAGATGTTGGATTAAGAGCATTTGCAAAGAAGAAAAAAGGTGCGACACCAGGTACATCATTTTTAAATTTAAAGGCAATTTCAGACGCAGATACATTATCATTAGCAAATGTTGGACCAACTCGTATGACGTGGAACGATTTCGAAAATGAATACGAAAAAGAATATGAAAATATTATGGAACAATTAAAATTTCCAGTAGGCGAGGTTGTAGTTCGTAGACAAGAAAAGATACCAAGAACTGTATTCTCACCAACAATTGGAATCGTAACAAGTGGCCTTGAAAATCATGTAAGAGAATTAATCGATGGATTCTATAAAGATTATTTAATTGTTGAGCACAAATCTACACTTTCACAACCAAACCAAAGAAAAACTTCAATTCGTTCAATCAATAACCAACCAGCAATAACAAATGAATTATCACTATCACAATCATTAAATAGTAGTTTAGGTTTATCAACACCATCATTAAGAAGTAAACTTTTTGCAACTGGTAAACAAATTTCGTCCACCAAAGACTCATATTCATCATCATCAAGTTCATACAGTTCTTCATCATCATCATATTCAAATAGTAATAATGGTATACCATCAATCGAAGCTATTTTATCATCACCAAATAATAGAAGTAGCACTAATGGTACTAGGGCGTCAGTTTCGAATCATACCCAACATTTTTCAGATCCATTAAAAGAATTAATTCCTGAACGTTCTGGTTTAGAATTATTATGCGAGGTTCAAGATTTAAAATTTTCTTTAGAAATAGAACCATTCTTTTGTAGTTTATATATTGTAGATTTAGATAAAAAAGAAAGAATTACCGAAAGTTTTAATTTTCATTTAAATTCAAAACCTTTATTAGATTCCTTAAAAATCAATAGCGAGGTAAGTAACAATTATTTATATTTATTTTTATATTTATTTTATTTTTATATTTTTATATTTTTTTACAAATTAAATATTAATATTAAAATTTTAATTTTTAGGATTTATTAAATAATTGGTCAAATCAAAAAAAATGTAAATTTAATTTAAACAAATACCATCCAAATATGTATTTTATTTTAAGAATATATCATATATTTAGAGGAGATATAGAAAAAGATACCAAACCATATTATAAGGATTATGTAAAAGATAAGAAAAAGAGTGATGCATTATTATCACAATTCAAAAGTGAAATTGCCGAAAAATGTTCAAATTGGGGATCAGGTGAACAAAGTCAAATTTTACAACCATTTGTTTGGGCAGTTTATCCAGTTTTTCATCGTCCTACTTTATCAACAACTCCATCCTCTATGAGCTTAACAATGTCACCTCTATCATCACCTTCAAGCTCTTCAGAAAAAGTACCAACTCTTTCCGCTCAAAATTCATTAAATAATTTAAATAGTTTTAATATTAATAGTTCATCAGCCTCAACTACCCCATCATCATCACCATCACCACAAATTGGTTCATCCCCAAATAACACAAACTTTTTAAATACACCATCTAGTCCACCACCAAATCCACCTCCACCACCACCAACTGCTGATAGTACATTATCTCCCAATGCTGCATTATTAAAACAACAATTAATTCAACAAATTAATTCTTTAAATATAAATAATAATAGTAATATTAATAATAGTAGTATACCTTCACCACCACCAAATCCACCACAACCTCCACAACCACCACCATTACCAACTCATATAGGTCATAGAAGACGATCATCATTTATGTCAAATCAATCAAGTTCATCATCATCACTTACATCAGGTATCAATACAAAAATTACAAATACTATCGAAATTGTTAATATGATACCAGCAACACCAAATCTTTCAGATAGAACTATTTGTGAAATGTTATTAGTGGATAAAGATTTAAAAAAATTAAAAAATCAAATTCCAGGTTCATTTACTATGTCACTTTTAACAAAAGAGTCAGAGGATGATCTAAGAGGTCGTATCAGTCCATCATTAGTACCACTTTTACCAATCGACCAAAATCCAAAGAAACCAAATCTTACAAGAGAAATTCAAGACTTTTCTGAAACCCCTTATCCTTTTGTAGAATATGTAAATAATCTTTATATTTATCCAGAAAATGTATTTATTAAATATAAAAATCCAAATATTCAAATCCAAGTTCAATTGGTTGATGATTTATCATGCTTAAAAACATTGAAATGTGTTTATCCAAATTTAACACCTCCTTATATTCCATCTCAATTATGGGAAACTATTACATTACCAGCACCAGGTGTACCAGGACCATCACCTACAACTCCATACCCACCATTAGAATATGTTTCATTCTCTTCAGTATCATTCCATGATAAGAGACCTCATTTTACAGAAGAGTTCAAAATTAAACTACCAATGAAAATTACAACCCAACATCTATTATTCACTTTTTATCACATTAATATTCATGCTAAAAAAGATGTAAAAACTGCTATTGGTTATTGTGCTGTTCCCTTATCTCAAGCAGGTAATAATAATTCTCAAAGTGTACATTTCCTTAAAGATGATTACTATTGTTCAATGATCTCATCCGATATGAACAATTTACAACCCAAATTTGTAAACCCAGAATCAAGTAAAAAAGAAAAAATTCCAGTTTTCACCTTTAGAACAAAATTGGTTTCAAGCGTTATCACTCAAGATCCATGTTTGGATACTTTCTTTAAACAATCTACAAATAATAGTAGCAATGAAGTTAAATCAATTTTAAAGATTGAACGTTTAACCTGTGTACAATTTTTCCCTTCAATTTTAAATCAATTATTCCAAATTATGTGCACAAGCGCAAATGAAGTTGCATCATCAGCTTTTGTTTCAATATTACATGTTATAAAAATGTAAGTATAGGTTATTATTTTTTTTATAGTTTTTTTTTATAAAAATAAATATTAAATACAAAATTTTCCTTTTTATTTATAATAGCGTTGATGGGTTTCAAGAAAAGAAATCAGGTACTGACAAGTCAAGATTATTAACATACTATTCAGAATATTTATTTGACTATGTACCAGATTCAAAACATCTTTATGAGGAATTATGCAGACAATGGGTAAATTCAATTAATAGTGGTGTTTATGTTAAAGACTTCCGTTTAAATTGGTTCTTATTAGATATTATGACCAAATCAATGGCATTATCATTACAACCAACTGGTAGTTTAGATACAGATTTAGGCAGAGAAAATAGATTCAAGATAGAGTTTTTAGAAAATTTAAACAAATTGGTATTAATGTTAATTCCGAGTCAATCAGATAATATGTTGGTTCAAAGTTGGGAGTTCTTTATGAAATTCCCATCATTCATAAATAATCTCTTCCCACTTATTGATAGAGGTTACCTTTTCAATTTAATATATAACTATATAAGCAGAATTGACCCAACAAATGAAGATTTAACAATGGTTACAATCAAATTTAACTTTTTAAAAATTATTACAGACTATGATCACTATATCCCATTAAATTTCCCAGTTTTAATTAAATCACTAACTTCAATTTCAGATTTAAATCTAAAATTCTTGTAAGTATATTTATTAAATATTATAAAATCGATTAAATTATAATAACTAATTATTAATTAAAACATATTTATATTATTTTAGTAAAAGACACTTTTTATCAATTTTATTAATTACCGAAGTTGAAGGTTGTTTAAAACACACAAAGTATTCCATTAGAAATCAAGCAATTCAAACTTTAAAACAACTAATAAAGAAACATCATTATGACCCAAGATATCAACAACCAGAATTAAGAGAAAAGGTAGCAAGTATTTATTTCCCATATGTTTTAATGATCGTTGAACACTATTCAATTATTAAACATCAATTAGAAGCTAAGGAAGTCCAAGAATGGTTAACTTGTTTCATTTGGATCCTTCAATATTGCAGCAGAGATCTTTTAAGACTATGGTTTACAAAAGAAACCCAAAAGCATCAAACCAATCTCTTAAATCTTATTATGATGTCATTAGATAGCTTCAAGGACGAACCATCAATCTTTGAAATTGCAATTCTTTCTATTGAATTATCGAAACATATATTAGAAGATTTCAATGAAGAGCAAATGCAATCCAATACCATCATTTTGGATATCATCATTAATATTCTTCAAAAGTGTTCATCCATTTCCGGTGTTGAAATGCTTCGTTTAATCTATACAATTTTCAAAGATTTCTTAGTTCCAAGATATCCAGTTTTATTATTCCAAAACTTCAACAACTCTTACTGTGAAACCATTTCCTATGATTTACTACGTTCCGTTAATATGACCGATCTTTTGGACGAATCTTCATCTCTTTTTTACATACTTTTAGAAAAGAATTTCCAAACAACAAAGGATATTTCCAAGATCAAAATTCAATCTACTGTCGCTATCTCAAGATTAGTTGGTGAAATTAAATTAGAAAATAGTTATAATCTCAGTAGCTTCTTAATGAAAGTAAGAAAATTGGTTAAATCGAATCCAGATAATACCCAAGTTTTCATTAATCAAGTGGAAGAAATGTTAAATAGAATCGATACTCTCATGAAATATTCACACATTATCACAGAAAATAAGAATGATCCAGAGTTGGTAACAGAAATGTATTATAAAATCTCAAACAGTTACTTTGAATCACCAAATCTTCGTCTTACTTGGTTAGAAAATCTATCAAAGATTCATAGCGAAAATGAAAATTTCGATGAAGCATCCCAATGTTTGGTTCACTGTGCCTATTTAATTGCTAGATATCTTATTCAAAGTGGTAAATTTAATGATATTTTAGAATCTGATTTCCTTTCAATTTGTCCAAATCTTAAATCTGAGTTGGTTTTACCAAATTTCGATCAAAAAGACAGCAATGCACTCTTCCAATCCAATGTTTGGTCATTACCCTATGTTGTAGAACTCTTAGAAAAATCCATCTCACTTTTAGAACAAGGTAACCGTTATGAATTAGCAATTGAAATTTACTCGTTAATTTCAAAGATTTATAAAACTAAAAAGGACTATAAATCACTTTCAACCTCACTTTCCAACAGTCAAAAGCTATGTGTCGAACTTGTTGAAAAAAATAAAGAAACTAGATTCTTTTCAAGATTTTATAGAGTTGGTTTCTTTGGTAAGAAGTTTGAGGAATTAGATGGTAAAGAATTTATATATAAAAAACCACACAAATGTAATATTAGTACAATTCAAAATCAATTAAAGAGTAATCTTCAAGAGAAATTTGGTGAAAATGAAGATATTACAATGATATCAAATGCTAAGGTCGATAAAAACTCTTTAGACCCAGAAAAAGTTCACTTCCAAGTTGTATCAGTCGACCCATATATAGAACAACAAGGAACTGTAGATTTAACAATCTCTCAATTTGAACAATACTTTAATATTTCCCAATTCATTAGCGAGGTCCCATTCAGTACCGAAGGTAAAGCTATTCAAGATGATATGTCGAAACAACAAAAAAAGAAAACAATATTCTTTGTAGATTTAGCTTTTCCATATGTAAAGAATCGTTTAGAGGTAGTTTCAAAAAGAGAAATCATTTTATCACCAATCGAAAACGCTATTGAACTTATTAGAAATCGTTGTATTAAACTCAAAGAACAATTGGATACAAACCCACCAAGAATTAATTTACTTCATCAAATTTTACAAGGTTCAGTTTTCCCAATGGTTAATGATGGACCATTAAAGGTTTGTGAAATTTTCCTTAATCCAAAAACAATCAATAATTATAATCCAGAGCATGTAGAACAATTAAAGAAAGCCATGGAAAAATTCATTATTTATTGTGGTTTTACAATTCGTTTATCTCGTAGTATTATCTCTGTTCAACTTCAAGATTTCCAAAATATGATTGAAGAACAATATAAAACCCTCAAAAATCAAATTAATTCTTATATTAAATAAAATAAAATTTTTTTAATTATATCAGTTAATTTAAATAAATATATATATTAATCATAAAATTATTTAAAATTCCAATAATTAAATTTTATATTTTAATATAAAGACTAATCTTTATTTTTTTTTTTAAATATTTGTTTTTTTAAAAAATAAAAAGTATGAAATTACTTTAAAATTAATAAATTAAAATAGTTTTTATTTATTTAGTTTTACAAAAAATTAATTATTTTTAATTTATAAATAATAGTGGTGGTAATCGAAATTTTTAATAAATTATATATCTATAAAATTTATATAAATATTATTAAATTATTAAAAGAAGGAGGAAAAAACGTACATAATAAATTAAAATTATCTACAACAACAATGTTGATTGAAATAATGGAGATGATCATAGATTGATAAACCAATAACTGAATCGCTGCAAGTTGGATCCTCGCCAGAATCATTACAAACTCTATAATCTTGGGTATCATTGGTTGGGAAATAAACTTCGGTTGGAACATGATGATAGTTTAATAAACCTTGTGGAGCTACATGTGGTACAATATCTTTTTGATTTACAACTCTATAGGTATTTGGTTGAACCTTATTAAAGTAACTTGCAAATGTAACATCACCAACTCTTGGTGAACCATAGTTGTAAATATAAGCTGGAATAGTGTACCATCCTTGAACTTCTGAAATGCAAAGTGTTGCAAGTGCTCCACCTAAACTGTGACCTACAACCATAATCTTGCCGCATCCACTACCGCATCTACTTAATGAAATATCAATTGCTGACTTTACCTCCTCTCTAACGCTTAACCAGGCGTTATAAAAACCTAAACAATAATAAAAATAATTAGCAAACACACAATAATCACAAAAATATGAAAATAATAAAAGCTATATTACCTTGGTGGACTTTGGCTGATGGGTATGGTTCGTATGGTGTTTGGAGGAATTGGAAGTTAGTGATCCAACTTTGAACATCCATTGAGCCTCTGAATGAAACAACGACTAAATAAAACATGATTTTATTAATATTACATTATTTTCTATTATCATTATTTTAAAAATTATTATTTACCCTGATCGCTTAAATAACCAACATATGCTTGTGTGTTTGTTGTAATATTAAAAATGGATGATACAATATTGAAATCTTTAATTTGTGGGTTTTGACATGTTGTGCAATTCCATGTTTGAATATCATTGCCTGAGCAGTATGCTGCATAAGAAAAAATTAAATATTGAAGAGCTTCGTTTTGATCATATTTGAAATCTGGATATGAATTGGCATTTACACCCCTATTATTATTATTTAATAAAAAAATGATACATAACGAAAAAAATAATCTTTTGATCATTTTTACTGATGGTATTATTACTGTGGTATTGGTAATATATATTTATATGATTATAATAATGGGGATATGCTTTGATCTATTGAAATATATAAATATATATATCTTGAAATGGATACAGAAAAAAAAAAAAAAAAAAAAGAATAGATTACTTTGGAAAAGACTTTTGTAAAAAACACAACAATTGAAAAAAACTAAACAATACTAATGATTTTTTATTATAATAAAAATTTTAAAAAAATAAAACAAAATAAAAAAAAAAAAAAAATTCAAAAAAAATAAAATAAAAATAAAATTTTAAACTGTTTTTTTATGTGTTTAGATATTTAAGAAAAAACTGTGGAAAGAATTTTTTTAAATCCCAATTTGCCTTTTTATTTTTTTTTTTATTATTTTATCTTAAAATTAAATAAATAAGTCTAAAAGTTATTAAACAAAAAACTCTTTTACCAGACAAATAATTTAAATCACCCACATGATTATGATGGTTGAAATTCCATTTCCCTCCCAATTAATAATGGATTTAAAAATGGTTTTTTAGCACCGCTCCATTAACAAGTTTATTTAAACCATTTACTTAATCTTGAAAACAAGAGATATTTAAAAATAAATTAAAATAAATATTTGTGATAAAATAAAAAATAAAAAAATTTCATACCAGTAGGCTCTTGTTTGATCAAAACTATTACCTGCAGGTTTAAACACAATAATTAACACCTTGGTGATATTTCTATGATACCAGATCGAAAATATATCAGGGCGGTCTATTTAATCTTAAAATCTTTATCAATGAGTATTGGTATTCCCAAACATTGATATCAACCCCAAACTGCGTGATTTTAAGACTTGAAAACTGATTAAAACAAAAATGGTATTGGTTTTTTTTTTTTTTTCTTTTTTTTCTTTTTTTATTTGACATTTTTCATAATTTCAAAATAATAAAATTTTAATTTAATTATTTTAAAAGATGGTTTTTATTATTTAAATAAATATCTTGAGATACATATTCATACAATTATTAACTTTTTTTTCTTTTTTTTTTTAATTTTAAATTTAATTTTTTTTTTAAAAAATTTTTTTTTAATTTTTTTTAAAAAATTTTTTTAATTTATTTTTTTTTATTTTTATTTTTATTTTTATTTTTTTATTTTAAATAATTTATTATTATTTATTTAAAAACACAATTATTCAATCACATTTAAATTTATTATAATAATATTGTTTTTATTATATATAATAAATTACAATTTTTTTTTTTATTTTTTTTAAAATTTTATTTTAATAAATATTATATAAACTTTAAATTTTAGAAAATTATATAAAAAACAAATACTGTGTGTTTATAATTTTATTGTTGTGTTAAAAAAAATTATAAAAAAATAAAATATATATAAAAATTTATTTTTTTATAACTTATTTCACAGTTATTTGGACTTTTATTTTTTTCAAATTTACACTGACTACCACCCCACCCACATAACAATAAAACAATAATTGTAGTTAAATAAACAATAAAAAATATACATTAACGAAACACGAGTTTATACTATATAAGATATTTAAATTGAATAAATCATAAATAATAATAATGGCAACACATATATATGCATCATTAGATGAGAATTCAATAAAATCATTAAATATTTTAAGTAGTGACAGTAATGGTATCGAAATTAGAATTCAAGCAGCTAAATATATAAAGAATTGTATAATAGGCAATAAATTAAAAAAAAAACTGTTCATCGATGCAGGTGCCATACCATTGTAGGTATAAAAAAAAAAAGAAAATATTTGGAAAAAAACTAACTATATACTTTTTTATTATAATATAGATTTGTAAATATTTTAAATAAAGAAACTGACGAAGATTTATTAATTCAAGCATCGTCTATTATTGGTAGTTTTGGTTGCAGTAAGTTTTTACAATACATCAAATATTATAGTTTTTTAAAATAAAATTTATTAAATAAAATATATTTGTACTACTATTTAGGAATTGATGAAGGATCACAAAAAATTTTTGAATATAATGGTGTCACACCACTAATCAGTTTATTATCAAGTAAAAATTTAAAGTTAGTCGAATCAGCAGCAAGATCATTAAAAATAGTATCGCTTTTTCATCAACCACCACCCTCAATTTACGATGAACAAGGAGTTAAGCTTTTAATATCATTATTCAATCATCCATTGGACTCAGTTAAGGAGGTCGCAGCAACTATTATAGCGAGAGGATGTGAATCATTATTTAATCAAAGTAGTCTCGATAATATGGAACCTCAACCTATCGAACCAAATCTCATTAATCACTCACTATTAAAATATCAAAATTTTGTACATATTCATAGTGGGCTTAGTACAATGATTTCAATTTTAGTTTCACCAAGATCAAAAATTCAAGAGGCATGTTTATATGCTATTGGTTGGCTTACTCGTGATAACGTTCAATTATCCTCATATGTCGTAAATGATGAACGTAAACCTTTAGAATGTATTGTAAATTTATTTAAAAAAAATAAGAGTCCAAGAGTTAAATTATTGGCAGTTAACTGGTAAGGGGTTCATATTTTGGCATTTTTATTATTTAACATCAAATTGGTAATAATATATTAATACATTTTTTTTTAATTATTAGTTTATGTAATTTTAATCAATCTAAAATATTATCAACATCATTTTCACATTTAATAAAGAATATATTACCAATTATAATTAGATTAATGGCAGAGGAAGAAACAGTTAAAGAAGAGGCACCAGTAGTATTGGCAAGACTCATTGTTGATAATGAAGACTTTCAAAGAATTGCAAGTGAAGCAGAGGCAATTACTAGATTGGGTAGTTTTTTAAAGGATTCAAGTGCATCAGATCGTTTAAAAGAGAATTCATTGACAGCAATAGCAGTTTTATGTTCACAAAGAGAGGATAGCAGAAAACAAGTGGTAGATGCTAAAATTATACCTCAAATAATAAGCAGTTTAAATAGTTCAAATTATGCGATTAGAGCGGCAGCATGCAATTGTACAAAATCACTCTCACGTTCCATTAAACAATTAAGAACCTCGCTATTTGATTGTACCATCGCAACACCATTGTTAAAGCTATTAGATGATCCATCCCTCGAGGTACGTGTGTCAGCATCGGCAACTCTTTGTAATTTGGTATTGGATTTCTCCCCAATGAAGCAAGCAGTATTGGATAATGGTATACTCCAAAAATTGGTACAATTAATATTTGAACCACACGATTTCAAAATACGTTTAAATTGTATTTGGGCTTTAAAAAACTTATTATATATGGCAGAACCTTCATTAAAAGAGTCGGCAATGAAAGAATTGGGTTACGACAAACTAATCGATTTAATCAAAGACCACGACTCATCCATCTCTGAACAAGCATTAGCAGTATTAAGAAATCTAGCATTCAAAGATAATGATCAACTCGTTAGTGAAGAACGTTTCAATGGTCAAATGGTTCCAACACTCGAAAGCAAATTAACCCCTTCAAATCCACCCGAAATCATCAAACAAACTTTATTTGTCATTTGTAATATAGTAACCAACGAAAAAATTAGAAATTCTGTAATGAACTCCTCAATTGTTAACAAACTATTACATTTCATGGAGCATAAGCATAGTGATATTCGTGTGGTATCCATCTGGTGTGTATGCAATTTAATAGGTCCTGATGAAAACACAAACTCGTCAGTTAGGGCCATGAAGTTTAAAGAATTGGGTTATGTAAAAAAATTAGAATCTCTAGTCGATGATCAAAATATAGAAGTTAAAGACCGTGTTAAAACTGCATTAAACTTATTTAAAAGATAGTTTGTTAATTATATATAATCACAAAAACTAAATATTTATTTAAGAAAATAAAAAAAAAAAAATTTTAGTTTTTTTTTTTTTCTTTTTTTTTTTTTTAATTTTATTTTTTTATATAATAATAAACTATTAAATATTATTTTTATTGATAATAAATAAATAAATAATTAAATTACTTTTATTTTTTTTTTTTATGATTTTTTTCTTTTTATACATCTTTATTTTGGTCGTCAATCGAAATTGAAAAAGAGCTTTTTATATTGCTATTAAAACTAGTACTAAAACCACTGCCTGTTCTTATTAGTTCATTATTACTTTCATTTCTTTTATTTGATGATTGATTACTGTCTAAATTAAATTCAATTGAACTATCTACAATTGATCTCTTTCTATCTTTTGAACTTTCAAGCTCACTAGAGCTATCGCCAGAATGGTTTTTTACATTTCTAAATAATATATAACATTTCCAATCTCCATCTGATAAAACTAACATTACAACCAACTGTTTTAAATATAAAAAAAAAAAATTTATATGTTTTGTTAGATTGTATAAATATAAAATTTAATTTTTTTTTTTTTACATACCATTTGAATAAATTCAATTACACCAACAACAAAAAGCTTTAAATATTGTCTTGGGGTTTCATATGTATCGGTATAATGCATATTAAAAACCAATTCCTGAACAATTACAGTTACTACAACAAATATAAGTGTACCTAAAAGAATTTTAGTTTTTAATATCATCACATCAAAATGCTTAAAAGGTGTTGATTTTTTATGTTTTTTTAAATGTCTTAGTAAATAATACCCATTAAACTAACATAATAGATAATAATAAAATATTAGTAAAAATTTAAAATTCTATTTTATGATAAATACTTACAAAAACAATAGCAGCATAAATTAAAAGTAAAATTAAAAATCCAACAGATTCTACAGTATCTATATTTTTATTTAATGTAATGCTCGAGACTGTAAGCTGGTATATAATTAAAATTGCTGAAAAAATGAATGTTGTGTAATTGATTGGTTTTGAACGATTAAGTCTAACTTCTTCTGAAATAAAAAATTTATACATAATCAATAACCTATTAAAATTAAAAAAAAATTAGTAATTTTGAAAATTATTTTTTATAGTATGATTAAATTTACCAGTAATGATGAATAAAAATCCATGTTAAAAAAATTGCAGCTGTTCCTAGTGAAAAAAAAAAGAAATTTGGTGTTCCAATTCCTAAATCGTGATTATCATAAAAAAATGCTGTTTGAATATCTCTAAAAATACAAAACACAGTCATCCAAAAGAACACAAAGAATCTATAAAATACAAAAAAAAAAAAAAAAATTTTTTAATAAAAATGAATTTCTTTCTTTTATTTTTTTTTATTATTTTTTTCTTTTACCTTGTTGTGGTTTTAGGTTTATTTTTTATTATTTTCCTTATTTCTATATAGGTTTGAAATCCATTTATAATAAAAAACAAAGTATAGGCTACTATTCTTATGCCCATAAACGAATATGTTAATTTATTAAAAAGGTCACTCATATAAAAACTGTAATGTGCCATTTTTTTTGATATTTATAATTATTATTTGTAAAAAAAAACAAATTAAACAAAATAAATAAAATAAATAAAAATAGATTTATATTTAATTTAAAATATAAAAAAAATTATAAGAACAAAAATAAAAAATATAAAAATAAAAATAAAAATAAAAAATAAAAATATAATATTATTTTCCTTTATAAAATAAAAAAAAACAGTGAATGGTTTAGACTTTTTTTTTAAAGAAAATTATTTTTTTATTTTAAATTTGAAATTAAAATAAAAAAAAAAAAAGATTTCGTAGGGGCTTTTGCTTTAAACACCACCACCAATTATATGAAACAAACCAATCAAAAAATAAAAAAAATAAAATTGTGATTGATATTTTTAAAAAACTTTTGGATAAAAAAATAAAAATAAAAAATTTTAACTTTTTTCTTTGTCTTTTCAAATAATTATAGCGAATTTGTTCATTTTGTTAGATTGTTTTTGGGGGATTTTTTTTTTTTTTTGTGAATGTTTATTTTAAAAAAAATTTAAAGATAGTTTATGGATTACAGAGAAATTTGAAAAAATTAAAAAAAAAAGTTTTATATTTATTATTTTTTAAAAGTTTTTGTATTTCTGTTTTTTTAAATAAAAAAAAACTTGGTTATAAGAAATGATTTTATAAATTTATTAACAAAAAAAAGTTATACAAATATTTATAAATATGGATAAATGAAAGAAAAAACATCCACTACTTTAAAAAAAACAAAAAATAAAACTATTTTAAATTTTATTTTTTTTTAATTTTTTTTATTTTTTAAAAAAAATTTTTTTATTTTGATATTTTGATATTTTTTTTTTAAATTAAAATAATAAAAATAAAATGTATTTGAATAACAATAGCAATAGTATCAATATTAATAATAATAATAATAATAATAATAATAATAATAATAATAATAGTAGCAACAATGACCAACTTTTCTTTAAGGTTTTTAGGAATCAATATCTTTTTTATACAATTTTACAACATGTACACTTTTATAATGTTTTTAAAAATAAAATAGAAATAACTCATCCAAAATCATTAATAAAAATCAAAGAAAAAAAAGAGATTGGGGATTACATAAAATCTATTTATTTTAATATAAAATCTTCTCACCCAAACGAAATTCTATCATCACTATTTAGTAATTTACACCATGGTTTAGAATCATTAGAGATTGAAAGTGCTGGCACGGAGGATATCGAATTCAATACTCGATCAACAATTAATAAAGAATATATTGATATTTTAGAAAAAAACCATACAAAACTAAAGAGACTAGTTATAAATTGTTTAGAAAATAAAGGTGATTCCCAAATATTAAGCAATTTGGGTCAACTCCACAAATTAAAGATTTTGGATCACAAATCACAATATTGGAAAATCCCATCAAATCTTTCAAAATTAACAATTTATAGTGATATCGATAACCATGATTTCGAAATAGAAAAACTAATCCAGGTCGATTCAATACCAACTACTTTGGAAATTTTAAAGCTAATCAATTGTTCTCTTGTTACTAATCACAGATTTTTAATCTCTCATGGAAGCTTAAAAAAACTAATAGTGGTTGGCTTTTCACACTTCCCCAAGGATTTTTTAATTTTTTTACCAAACAATATTCAATTTCTAGAGCTATCATATTTCAACCAACAAATATCTTCTCTTCCTAGTTCACTAACTAAATTGTATTTAGGTTCCGAATTTAATTCTATAATTTGCCAAGGAGTGCTACCAAAAACTTTGTTAAAACTCAAAATATCAAATCCTAACCCCTCCAAAGAATATAAATTTATAAAACCAAATGTGCTTCCACCAAGTTTAAGGACTTTGTTTCTTGGAGGTTATGAATTGGATTCATTTCCACCGAATCTTACCAAAATCGAATGTAAACAAGAGTTAATCAAGTATTTCCCACCAAGTGTTACCAAATATCTCTATGATGTCATGTCCAATACAGATTTTGAAGTTCTCTCAAAACTACCCTCAAATATTCATAACATAGTACTACCTCGTTATTTTAATTCTCCTTTAGATTTAAATCAATTACCAAAAAGTTTGAAATCATTAAGTATGAGCCACAATTTCAATAATACCCTTTCAAATTCGACATCAACCAATCATCTTGTTTCTTTATCTTTTAGTCACTTATTTAATGAAGTTATTTTACCATCAACTCTACCACCAACCTTAAGAATCCTCAAACTATCAAATAAATACAACCATCCATTTTTAGAAAACACTCTTCCTTCAAGTCTCCAATCATTATATTTAGGGTTTTGTTATGAACAGCCACTCGAAAACTTGCCAAATCAATTGTTAATATTAGAAATAGCTTCATTTTTTAGCCAAACACTGTCAAAGTCAATTTTACCACCAAGTTTAAAGTATCTTTTATTGGGAAGTGTAGAAACGTTTGAACTATTTGAAACAATACAACCAATCGAAAATATATTTATGTGTGAAGGTTTTAAAGTTCAAAAGACTATAAATTGTAATTTTTTTAAACACTTAAAACTATATAACCCAAAAAAAGATATGTTCAAAATATTAAATAAATCTTTAATAAAATATTAAATATTATTTTATTTTTAAAATTTTTTTAATAATAGATACAATAAAAACTATTCTTATTTTATTTTTGTTTTTATATGTTATAATTTTTGTTATTACTATTATTAGTTTTATTATTTGTTGTTATTATTATTCATTTATAAATTTTATTTAGCAATTTCATTATAATGTTTATTGATACTTGCTTCGATTAATGATACATAGGTTGGATTCATGTGGGTACCATCTAAAGCATAAATTGGATTAAATGCGTTTTCATTTTGTGGTTTTAAAAGAGTTGGGAAGAAATCTAACCAAACAAATTCTTTACAGGCTCTAATTCTTTTTTCGAAAATCTTATTAAACACTTTGACGATATGACGAGTATGTTCTAAAACTGGTACAACTGGATGAATGAAAATCTTGTAATTATATTTCTTTATCAAATCTTTTAATGCGTCAATATAGAAATCTATAGTGATATTCATACCCTCTTCGAGATCTTTATAACGACATCTATCGACTGAGACAACTATACCTTCACGACAATCGATTTCACCAAATTCGAAAACAATTTCAGAACCTGGTGGTGCAGTTGGTACAACATTGTAGAAATTAACTTTTGGATAGAATTTAGTCGATGGACGAAGATGCCACATCTTTAAACCAGTTACTAAAAGTGGATGGAATAAACGTTGTTCACCTTGAATGGTAACTGGAGTCCAAGCAGTACTGAAACAGTGGCTGTCACCTGCAATATAGATTGGACGATGCTTTGGTAATGGTAAGGTCTTGTATGGCATCAAAGCACTGACACAACAGAAATAGGCGTTTTCATTTCTAGAGCTGGATAAATGGATATCTCTACCAATACGGATTTTTTCGACCAATGATATAATCTCTGGTAATGGCTCAAGGATACCAGCAGCATAGCAAAGTTTAGAGGTTGCAAACCATAGACCCATAAGATCTAATTCATCTTGAGTGTAAGGAGCTGGGGCAGGTTGACCTGGTGGAATTACCAAAATATCTTTTGAAACTTTTTGAGGACCTCCTTCTGGTGCATCCTTTTTAAATGATTGGTATTCATAGATATGTTTGTATCCTGGCTTTATGTGTTTTTCGAGTATTGCTAAAAATGTTTCATTATTAACATCTGGAAATTGGGTAAGACCAAGGTTTCTGTTTTTACGAAGGAAATCCATAGCAAGTTCAATTGCTTGGCCATATTGTTGGGTGATTTCGAGGGTATGGATTAATGATAAACGATATGGTACATAACTTGGTTCTTTCATAGAGGATCTTCTAATGAGCTCCATCGATTCTTTAATTGCACCAAATTCTTTAACATAGTTTGAAAGAAAAGCCATTAATTGAGGAGTAACAGAACCAGGATTGAAACCACTCAAAATAGTATCAACACCAAGTATTTTGATAAGGTCTGAAATTTTTTCTTGGGTCCATTTTCTTTCTTTTTGATATGGGTCATTGAGTACTATAGTTTCACCAGAGAGTGGTAAATATTTGGTTAGTTGTTTCTTTTTATCCATTTCTGGGATAGTACCTAATAATTGGAGTACGGCTTGAGAGGCATCTTTCAATTGGCCCTTATCAATAAGTACATGGGTGAAACCAATTAAAGCTTGAATGTTTTTTTCATTCTTGTGGACTAATGAGGTTAAAAGGTCACATGCTTCATCTTGAAGTCTTGGGTTTTTAGTTTCATAAAGGGCTTTACCATAGATTGCTTGGAACTCGTCATATTTTTCATCGCTTGGGTTTAATAATTCTAAAATACTCTCTAATGATTTAATAGCTTCAAGATAATCTCCTGTCTCTAACATTAATTTAGCTCTAAGATGGTGGAATTGAATATCATTTGGATAGTGCATAATACCACTTTCAATAAATCCTTTAGCAACTTTCCATTTTTTAGCTTCATAATAAATATTTGAACATCTAACCAATGATATATATTCACTTGGTAACATTGTTAAAATATTTTCGTAATATGATATTGCATTCTAAAAAAAATTTTATGTTAGATTTTCTTTTTTTTTTTTTTTTTTTTTAGCAAAATTCAATTTAAAAAACTTACTTTGTATAGTTGGTTTTCATAAAATCTTTCACCTTGTTCCAATAATGGTTTAATAACACCATTGTATTTTTGATCACACATACCATCTGGTAATTCTGTATATTTTGATTGAATTGTTGGTGATTGAGTTGTATTATTATTTTTATTATTATTGGTTGTTGTGGTAGTAGTTTTCTTTACACTATTATTGTTATTAATAATTGATGTTGAAGTAGTAGTAGCTGAACTAGTTTTTGGTGATGAAGATGATGGTGATGGTGAGGATGAGGTGGATACTGATGTATTTGAAGCTGAAGCAGTTGAGGTGGTAGATGGTTTTGAACCTTTACTTTTTACAATAAAACCATCATCTAAATTTGAAAAGTGTTTAGCAATAAGATTTGAATCGAAAACATTTTTTCCTTTTTTATCTTTTAAATCTACAGAGTCACCAATATCAGAGTTTGGGTGTCTCTTTTTATACTCATTTAAAAAATACTAAAAATGAAAAAACAATGTTAGATATATGTATATAAATATTATCTTTATTTAAAACATATAGTTTAAACTTACACTTTTTAATTGTTCTACAGTTTCTAAACCTAAAATAAGTGGTTGAACAATGATTGTTTCTTCAGGTTCGCTTTCATAATGAATATAAATTTTCATTTTTTAAAATTAAAATTTAAAATAAAAAAAAAAAGTTAAAAAATTAAAAATTTAAAAAAAAAAAAGTGAAAAAATAAAAAATAAAAAAATAAAAAAAATAATAATAAAATAATAATAATAATAAAACTATTTGTTTCTCAAAGTTATTATTTTTTTTGAAATGAAAAAAATAATCTTTTTTTTTTTTGAAATCTAAAAAATTATAAAAAAAATTAAAAAAAAAAAAAAATATTTTTGAAAAAAAAACAACATGGGAAATTTTTATTAATCATTGGATTATTTTATTTTTTTAAAGAGTATCAACTACTTGTTCTTTTAAATAATCTTGACATGGACCTTTTGGGATAATGGCTCCAGGTACCTTTGTATAGTACATACCCTTGGTGTGATAAAAGTTTGTAGTTTCAGCAAAACCTCTGGTTTGATAAAGACGTCTGAGATAATTTAATAAAACTGGGTAATCTTTTATCATTTTCCAATTTAATTTAAAATATGGATAAAAGATTAAATCGAATCTAATTAAAACTACATATAATTTAATATCGGCTTCTGTAATTTGATCACCAAATAAAAATTTCTTTCCTTTAATGAATTCGTTTAGTTTTTCAATTGTTGCAAATACTGTGTCAAAAGTTTCTTCATCTAATTTTAATAAAAAAAAATTAGTATACTAAAGGTTTAAAAATAAAATTAAATAATTGTTTATATTTACACTTTTCTGGGTCAACAGCTTGGTAAACTTTGAAAAAAAGATTTTTTGAATAATAATCGACAAATTCATCGATTTGAGAGGCTAAATGGTCAGGTCTAAGGTTGAGTGATTGGTTTTTAGAAATATTATTGAATGATGATGAAAAGATTTGAACAATATCAGCAGATTCATTTGAAACAATCTTTTTAGTTTGTCTATCCCAAAGTACTGGAATGGTATATCTACCAGTGTATTCTGGATCAGAGTGGACATAAATATCTTTAATTTTTTTAAATCCATTTTCTTTTTCTAAATCTGTGTCATCTTTACCATTAAAAACAAATAATCCATCTTCCATCTCGAAATGAGAATAAACAACTTGAATGTATTCATCTAAACCTTTTAAAAACATTGCAATACCTGCACGTTGAGCAAATGGACAACCATAATTTAAATAAAGTGTATATCTATCTAAATAATTAAATAAAAAAAACCAATTAATTTTTGTTTGAATTTAAATCTAAATATTTTCGCATATTAATAAATTACCTTTTTCTGGTTTAAATGGACCGTCTTCGGTGATTTTATGGCTGATAGAAGTATATGTCATTGTTAAAATATTAAGTATGAAATAAAAAAAAATAAAAAATGAAATTAAAAAGTGAAATTAAAAAAAAAAAATTACAAAAAAAATAAAAATATAAATAAAAATAAAAAATAAAAAATAAAAAAAATAAAAATTTTTGGTTCCAGAATCTAAATAAAGAATGATTTTGAGATAAAGAAAATAAATATTTCTTTAAAATGTTAATAAAATGGAAGGGATTTTATTTGTAAAGTTTTAAACTTATTTTATATTTGATGTTCTGTTTATAAAATATCAAAATTTTAAAAAAATAAAGAAATAAACACACAACTTGAAAAATATTTATATCACTAAAAAACACTATTTTTTATTTAATTAATTGAAAAAAAGAAGTTATGAATAAATATTATTAGATGTAAAAAAAACAATTTAAATTTGTTAAATGTGTTTTTAATTGGAAAAAATAAACCTTAATAAGTTTATTGTTGTTCATTTAATAAATGATCAACAATGTCATTGATATTAAAGTTATATCTTTTGATAACATCAACAATATTTGGAGTGTTACAGAAACCCATTGAAACTAAAGTGCCAATACATTTACGTTTGATATCCTCTTCTTGATCAAATGGTTTTGCTGGTTCTTGAACTTGTAAAGGAGCAGCGATTGGTTCTTCAATAACTGGTTTTTGTTCAACAATTGGTTTTTGTTCAACAACTGGTTCTTGCTCGATGGCTGGTTGTTCAATAACTTCTAATGGGGCAATTGGTAAATCTAAAATTGAGGTGTTGAGTGGTAATGGGATGGAGAAAGGTGATGAAGCTGAAACAAAGGTTGGTAAGAAACAGAAACTCTCAGTTTCATTTTTTAATTCATCATCTTCTTCAACAGATGGGTTTTGTTCTTCTTCACTTTCGCTTTCGCTGTCTGGAATCTTTGGTGCAATATCAACATATATTGATTCTTCTTGTTGGCCAACAACTTCCTCTTCCTCTTCCTCTTCTTCTTCAATTGGTTTTTCTTCTTCTCTTTCGACAACATAAATATCAACCCAAATTGATTGACCAAAAGCAATATTATCTGGGCCATATAATCTCCAATAACCTGTGAATCTACCAACTTTAGATGGAGAAGTTAAGTCAATGGAGATATCATGATCTTGACCTGGTAAAATAGCTGGAACAGAAATATTTGAGCTATAACCAAAACGATCACCTGAAAGGAATTGAAGAGTTGTGCCTTCTGGCCATTGTTGTTCACCGTCATTTCTTACTCTCCAAACTTTGGTAAATTGTGAAGCTTTGTCTAAAACACTGCCATCTTTAATAGAAATATCAGAGATGTAACGTGATGCAAATTTCTTGTGGTTTGGTCTTGAGAATTTGTGTGGTTTGTGTGGACTATCCCATGAACACTTGATTGGAATTGGTGTTGAAATCTTTAAAAGTGGGTGTTCAGATGGATGAATGTTACTAGCTTCACATTTACTACATAAATCATAATCTTCACAAACAGTACATTTATAACGATATCCGAAAACTTTATTTTGGCAACCATCACAAGTAATGCCATAATGTTCAACATTATTAATTTCTTCATTGTTATTATTTGATGTTGTGTTGGTGGTAGTTGTAGTGGTAGAAGAGGACTTCTCTTCTGTTTGCTTGTTATTATCTTCAGGTTTTAAAATATTTCCTATTGAGGTTTGGATAATATTTTCGACCCAATTTTGATTACTTAAATTCTTGATTAAATTTTCCATTTCTTTATTAAGGTTTTCGAAATTGAAAGAGTTATTATTATTATTATTATTTTCGGTAGAATTACTATTTAAACCAAAACATGCGGCATGAATTTGTGGGATTGCTGAAGTAGCAGCAGACATTGCACTTGAACTAGCAAGTTGGGCAATTTGTGGATTTGCTAAAATTGAATCAATTAATGGTTTAAGGTTTAATGGTAATTGTTGGGTTGAATAATTTACAGATGGATTGATGGTTGGAGTTGAAGTGGTTGAAGGTGTTGCAGCTGGTGGTGGAGTGGAATCATTTTCAGATTTTGAAACAAAAAGTTTGAGAACATTTGGTGGGTTTCTTTTAACTGTAAAGGCTTCCTTTAAATCACTATCAGAAGTGATGGTAATTAAATCATTATCTTCATCATAATATTTAATTAAGAAACCACTCAATTTAAAAAATGTAATAGTCATTTTTTTTAACTCTAAGAAAGTTGGTTCTCTTTCCATTGATCTATAAATAAAAATAATTAAAAATATTAGAATTTAAACTATATTATATTTATTTATTATAATTAATTTTAAATACATACATTCTTCTAGTATCATCACCATATTGAATTTTTAAAACGAGAGTAGACATCTTATAATGAATATTTCTTTTTTTATTTGGATATAAAAGTTTTTTTTTTAAGTTTTCTCTAATTACTTAATTCTAAATAAAATTATATGAATATAAAAAGTTGTTTGTTTGTTAAAGTGTGTTAAATAAATAATAATAAGGAAAAAAAAATATATATATTTAATGTACAAATAAATTTATTTATTTTTTATTATTGTGAGCGAGAGATGTGTGAAAAAATAAATTATAAAAAAATATTAAATTTAAATAAAAATTAAAATTAAAAAAATAAATAAAAAAATATTAAAAAAAAATAAATTTTTTTTTTTTTTAATTTTTTTTAATTTTTTTCCAAATTATTTCACACATTTCCATTAATAATATTTTTCTCCTAATTCGAGTGAAATTATAACCTGAAAATATAAATTATGTGTGTTTACAGTCAACAATTACATAATTTTTAAGTTTAAACTTAAAATTGAATTTTAAATTAGATTTAGTTTAAATTTAAATTAAATTTAGTGACCATATTTGGCACAAAGCTTGATTTTCAAAATAAAGATTAAAAAAAAAGTATAGTCGCGGATTAAAAAAAAAAAAAAAATATTTATACTTTTATTTTTCTAATGATTGAATATTAATTTGCAATTGGATTTATTTGTTTTGATGCTGTTGAGTAAATCCATATGCTTTAATGGAGAAGCTATCATATACAGTATATTATGATTGTTGGTATTGATGCTGTTGAGTTTGTAATTGAGTTTGATCGTCATGATAGTTTCTTTCCATTTTTTACATTATTAAAAATTCGTTGATTACATTTTATAAATTAATATAATTAATTTCTTTTTTTTAAATTTGATAAAAAAATATTTAATTTATTTATTAAAATTTTTATTTTTTTTATATTTTTTTATTATTTAAAATTAAAATTTTTAGTTTTATCAAGCAAGTTCATATCTTTAATTTATTACATTAATGATTCTATTGGTTTAATAATGATAATAATTAATAAATAATAAAAAGGGTAAATTTTAAAATAGTATATTTATTTTAAAATATTTATTTATTGGTGTGTTAAATGTGGTAAAAGTAAATATAAAAAAGCAAACATAAAAAAATAAAATAAAATTAATAATTTATAAGTGTGTGTTTAAAGTGTGGGTGTGGTTAATTCTCCTCTATTGTTTTTACTACTATTATTTTTCCATAGACTATTCATATTATCTATTTAAATCTATTTAATATTCCTTTTTTAAATTTTAAATCTTTTTTTTTTTTTTGTTTTATTTTTTTTTTGTTATTATTTTTTTATAATTATTTTTAATATATATATATACATAATTTTATTTTTCGTTTTAATGTTTTTCGTTTTAATTAATAGATATTTAATATACATAAATAATTATTTTATGTATAATAGTTAATAAAAATGAATCTATTAAAACATTTGGTGAAGTTTGTCATCTAAACAGCAATTATAAGAAATAATATTTTATTATCAAAATTGTTTAGTATACTAATATAGATTTTTTATTTATTATTAGCAATACTGTATTTTTATATTTACAAAGAAAAGAAAGATTATATATTTTAAACTACCTGTTTTTTGCATTGGTTTTAGCGTGGGCATACAGTGCTGGTTTAATTTTTTTAGTTATCAATTGTTTTAGAATATTTTATAATAATTTAGAAACATTATGGATTAGTATACTCAGTGTATTTGTACTATCAAATACCGATAACTATTATCAGGTAATCAAAGACTCAATAAAACACACTCTGGCAATTTTTATTGGCGGTGTGGTTTCGATAGCATCGATATCGATAGTTGGTAGACACTTGTGGCCAAATGTGTTCATAATGCTGGTTTTTTATTTTGTAGGTTCAGGTTTTTTCCTCACATCTAACTTTTTCAACTTTCTCCATGCTAAAAATATGTTTATCACCTACTACTTTATGGTATTTTTAGTCCATTTCCCGAGACCATTTGGTGACTATTTTTATTCACCAGTACCTCAATTAAAGTTTTTATCAGTGGCTGTATTGTCACTTATAGTTTGTGTGGTAACATGCTCTTTGCTCAGGTACTCATTTGCCACAGGTCTTTTTGTCCAAGTTTCAAATCAACTTTTAAAGCAATCAAGTTGTTTCATCAAACTGCTAGGTAAAGATTTAGGTATCCATATAATAAAGTCTGTAAATTGTGATAGAGATAATTTAAACTCCCTCGAAGATGAAGTAATATACAATAGAATTAGAGACTCTCTGTTTAAAGGTGTACCGTGCAACCAACTACTATGCAACAGGCTTTTATCAAAGGAAAAGAAGGAAACTCTAGACAGCATTCAATTTGTGTATCATGAATACTCAAGATTATTAAATAAACTGGACTGTGTTTACAAACAATCGAAAAAAGAATTTTGGAGCAAAAACCTATTTATACATTTGGAACGTGTTCAAATTTTATTCGAAAGAAACCACAAGAAATTATATGCATTAAAATTTGGCTTGGATGAAGATTTCCCAATTGAGATATGCAATAGAATTATCCCACTTATACCCTATATCGAAACGTTACTGAAAGAATGTGAATACATATTTTGTGTAATGTCAAAGCAATTAAGTTTAAGGTACACCCATGATGAAACAAACAAGGGTTTTATAGAATGGTTCGAAAACCATCATAATAATTTAGAATCACACAACTACGATAAACCCATCAATGAAACCAAGATTAACAATACATGTGACTGCTGCTACTACAACGACGACATTGTAAATACAATTGATAAAGATAGCTTTAGTGAATGCTGCTTCAAAGACAACATACACCCCTTCAATCAAACCCTAGACGAAACATTGAAAAAAAATAAAGATTCCTTTAGAACAAACTCGATGGAGTGGTACCAAATTCAAATCAACAACTCCTTTGAGACCATTAACTCGACAGTTTTGAAAATGCAATCTTTACAAAATAGAAATTTAGATAGAAACTTTTTAACCGATCCAGAATATAAAGATATCATCTCAAGAGTATCTTTTTTTGTAAGAGGTTTCGAAAAATTTAGTATGGAGCAAAAGACACTTTCCACCCAAATATTTTTACTGTCCTATCACAATTCATTAAATAGAAGGTATCCACAGGAAATCAAACTATTAATTGGATATTATAATTGGATCGTAGATTATTTCAAAAACTATAAAGAAAATAAAAGATTACGACAACAACTAAAACAAAAGGAATCTGAAGCGTTTCCACCCAATTTGCAAGTAATGTATACAAGAAAAGAAAAATTAAAAATAATCATTGAATATTTTATATTTAAAAGGTTGCTATTCAATTGGCTATTCTCATTAAAATATGCAGTCGCATGCTCAACATTGGCCATTGCAGTATATGAAATTACAATACACTCTTCTTTTATATTATTCCAAAATATGGATTGGACACCGATTATATTTATAGTTTCATACTCGCCAATTATCGGTGCACTTCCAATAGTTACATTTTTACGTATTATCGGTACTATTCTGGGGGGATTCATGGGCTATGCCGCATTGGTTCTTATGGGTTTGGTTGGGTCTAGAGTGTCACAAGCTTTTGTTTACATTGGCTTTTCTTTTTTTACAATTACATTCTCGTTTCTGTTGGTAAAACTACAAGCATTTGAAAAGTTGGTAATATTCATTGTTTTTGGGTATTCGGTAATAACACAATTTCAATATGAAACATGGACACACGATATTATAGCGTCACTACTAAGAATTATGTACTTATGTATTGGGATATTATTGGTAATGATAGTGGGTTATATTTTACCATACTACGACTATAGGCAACTAGAAAAGAATATTTATCAAGTACCATTTGGAATTATAAGAACATTCACATTTCTTATGAGCTTTAGCTTTATTAAAAACGAAACAGTTCATAATCATAACGATCATAATATCCATAATAGCAACAATAATATACCTCACAGCTATAGCAATAATAGTTTAAATAATGATACCATTAGCGAATATAGTTTAAAATCATACGAATCTTTAGAATCGACATCATCCCTATCGAGTTCATGGTCAAGATATTTAGAGCAATACGATGATATTATACCAGAATTATCAAGAAGAGGATTATCATTTCAACACTATAGAATGCTAATAAGTAAAATATCAATAGAACTAAGATCAAACTTTCCAATCCAAAGAACACTCTTAATGGATGCTAAATTTGAACTAATGTTTAGAACAAAGAAATTTAAAAGAATCGAACACATTTATTTAGAAATTGAACAACTTCACAATATATTTGGCGCTTTAGACTTTATAGTGAGTGAGTCAAATCAAGTTAATCTACAAATCATTGGTGGTACTGTTAAAAGTCAACTAATGAAACTATTAAATGAAATGAACACAACTGCACACTACCTCTACAATATTGCAGCATTTAAAAAAGATAGATTCAAGCAAGAGAAATATAAAACTGTAGATAGGGACAACAGCTTACAACTATGTGAAGAGCTTTTAGATGGTATCAGATCAAACATTAACACTTTTAATCTCACAATTGTTCAAATTCAACACTTGAATGCAATTATTTTTATTCTTAATCAATTTGTTCAACAATATAATTTGGTTTTCAATTTACTTTACGATTTTATTAAAAGAATTGATATAAAAAGAGTAAGAACCAATAATCTTAACATCACAAAACCAAATCAAGTTCAAAATCTAGAAGGTATCAATTATCATAACAACGTTAATGAAGAAATAAAAGATATTCGTAATTATCAAATATTTAAACTTTTAAAGAAATAAATAAAAAAAAATAATAAATACTATTTTGGTTTATTTAATTTTTAAGAAAAAAAAAAACCTATTTTTAGTTTTATTTGATTATTTCCCATTAATTTTTAAAAAGTGGGTGTTAATTTTTGTTTATTAAAAAAAAAATTAAAAAATTTTTTTAAAAATTGAAAAAATTAATTTTTTTTTATTTTTTTATTCAAGTTTACATTATTAATGCCGTAATAACTGTGGCAGTAATAAAATGGAGAATGATTATAATAATAATAATATAAATAATAATAATAATAATAATATAAATAATAATAATAATAATATAAATAATAATAATATAGTTTTACCAATTTATTTACAAAAATATATTATCAAAATATTTTGTAGATATATCGATAAAAATAATAAGAATATAGATGTACTTATGGAAGGTAAAGACTATAGGGTTGTTGAAAAGAAGATAAAGAGACTAATGATGAATTTGGCACTGGTAAATAAAGAATGGTTTAGAACACTTTCAAATAATCTCTGTGTGGCTGTAGATTTCAACTATTATGAACCATTTTTTGATAAAGATAGTCCACTTGGAGGTGTCAACATTACAGACATAAACTGGTCGATAGTCAAATTTGAAAATATTAAATATTTAAAGATTCATTATGACCATAGTTTACAGTGTTTTTATAAATTAATTCTAGGTGGATCACGTGAAATCCATTATACTATCGAAGATATAAATAAAAAGATCAAGAATCTAGAATGGTATAATCCCAATTTCAAGAGATTAATATTTAGAAACTTACATTTGGGAAGATATAATAATGGTCTAGAAACTATCAAACTTCACCAATGTACTGCCACCCATGGAAATTTGGAAGTTCTCGATGTATTACTGAGTGAAAATACATGTTCATTAGATCTTGAAGAGCTGAAAAAAAAGATCAAAAAAACATTTTTAATTACAATTGCTAACTGTTACAATAGAAGTTTACTATTGGATGCATTTGAGGCATGGTCAAAGAAACTAAAGTCCATTCATCTTCGTTGTTTTAATGATCCAACCTCCCCATTTTTCGATCTATTAACACCATCTCCACTCAACAAATCACTATCCGTCAACCATCTACAAAACATTGAATCAATACGAATCATAGATATGGATATAACTATATCAGACATGATAGCAATTGTAAAATATGGAAATAAATTAGAAGACTTAGTCTTCAGTATATGTATCAATAACTTTATTTATTTCCTCTCCCATAGAAATGAAACCCATAACTACAGACGTTGTAATTGTAATAGCCTTATAAGCCGATTCAGAGGTATCATGGTGGAGGATAAAACAGAAGAGGAGTATAGTGCTATCGATGAAAACTGGAAATATTTAGTAAAACTATTCAAAGAAAACAGAACCATCAAAAGCTTGGGTCTAAATTTTTACTGTAGAAGCAATGATAATTCTGGAAATGATTCAAATCTTGTCCCTGATTACCTTATCAAGAAATTTTGCTCCCTATTCGAATTTAATCAAACACTCTTTAAATTCTCTGTTGTATCAAGTATATCACTACAACTATGCAAACAACTTTTACAAATCAATACTGCAATCACAACCTACAATACCATTATCTATAATGATAGGGAAACTTTTAGAAAAGAAAAAGAAGATATTCTTGTATACCAAATTAAACCATTACTACTTTTAAATCAAAATATCAAAACTTTAAAATACACACAAAGAGTTTTTAATCAAAAAGAACAAAGATTTGATGAAAATGTTTTAATAAATTTTAGTAAATTATAATTATTAAATAAAAATCTTTTTTTTCTATTTAAAAGTAATAATTTGTGTAAATTACTTTTTTTTTCGAATTTATTTTAAAATAAATTTCTACAAAAAATAAATGGGGTGATTATTTTTTTTTTTTCGATTAATGTTGTGGAATGTGTACAATTTTAAATAATCAGCGATTTCAAAAAATTATCAAAAAAAAAAACCATATAACAATAATCAAGAAAAATACGCAAAGTATTTTATTGATGTGTTTTAAAATATTAATTTTTTATACTTGCACAAAAAATTACCGTTTTTTTTTTCTTTGCAAAGGGGTAAAATGAAGGATCTTCCACTTAATATTCTAGGAACCTCTCACATGTGCCTCCCAAAATAAATAAAAAAATTATAAAAAATTAAAAAAAAAAAAAAAAAAAAGATATTTTTGATCAAAAGAGAAAATTTTTTTATTTTTTTTATAAATAAATTTCATCATATATTTTTATTTTATTTTTATAAAAAAATTTTAAAATAATTTTTTGTTTTTTTTTTTTTATTTTTTTTTTGTATATTTTTTGTCATAGTTCATATCTTTTAACCTTTTAAATACATTAACTCTTTGTTATTTCATAAAATTTTTTTTTTTTTTTTTTCAAAAAATTTTATTTAAATTCATTCCTTCACAAATAACAAATTACATATAAACGAATATATACAAATAATAATAGATTAACCAATATATAGAAAAAAAGAAAAAAAGAAAACAAGATTGTGTGTTTTTGTATATAGTATTTTATTTTTAATATTTTTTGTTGATTGTACAATATATTGTTTTAATTCTTTTTATATGTCTAATAATAGAAATAATAACAACATTAACAATAATTATTTAAAATTTATAAAGAAATACTATTTTTTTTTGAAACCTTGAATTTGTTTTTTTAAATTATATAATATAACATACAATTAAAGTTGAAAGAAAATGTCAAAAGAGGAAAATGGTAACTGTGGGGGTGGTATATTTAGTTTTAGAGATAAAGCAGATAAAGTGTATCTTTTAGATTTAGGTGGTGCAGAAATTAATACATCCAAGCCAGTTAAACAAAGATCCAAACTCGGTGTATCATTAAGTGTAGTTATATATGTAGTTGTTTTATTTTATATTGGTAAGTTTTTTACGAAACAATAAGATTGTCACAATCGTCAAACTAACCAATGCTATTTTAATATTTAATAGTTGTAACATCAATCCAATTCTCAAAAGGTGTACCAACAGTAATTTACTCTTCTAAAACCCCATCGAAATTTGAACCAACACCAACACCAAAATTAGGAATTATGTTTAGAAATTCATCGAATGGAGATTACTATGACGAATCAATTGTTAAGGTTAATTTCGTTTATGTAACTATTACAAATCAAGATCAGATTCCAAGAGTTAAAGAACCAATAGCATCAGGAAGATGCGAATTTTTCCAAGATCCAACAAAACACGGTGAAGAAAAAAAAATCTTAACTGATAAAGCAATTTGTCCTATAGAACCTGTATACATGGAGGTAATATTTTTTATTTTAAAATCGACACATATAAACATTTTACTAACAATAGATGTAATTATAAAATATAGGGCACATTTGAAATGCCAAAATATAGATATTTAGAGGCATCAGTGATAAAATGTTCATGTACACCACAGTCATGTCCAATTCAATGCGCTAATGATACAGTATTTGATGATGTTTTTTATGGTGGTTCAATTTCAATCGTTCTTGAAGAAACTGTACCAAGTAATAATGGTCCATTAGTAACCAAATTTTCATTAATTCCACAAGTTAATTTAGCTACACCACCAACACCAATCAATAGCACAAAGAGTGTATTTTGGAAGAATCTCAAATCATTTTTCTATAATGTTGATGTATATTTACGTAAACAAACCATTTACAATGGCCCAAGATATATATTTGATTCCCACTTTGAATATTTCTCTTACTTGGGTACTGTCGAGCCAAGAGCCGATGATTTTAACCCCTCAAGTGGTCTTTTATTTAAAGCATATTTTAGAATTGATGCTTATGAAGATTCTGAAATTAGACAATCTCCACAAGTATGCTTTACTATTTTATCTCATTTAAATAAAAAAAAAAACTAATGAATATTTGTTTTTTATATAGTTACTTACACTTTTAGGTAGTTGGGGTGGTCTTTTCTCAATATTCATGTTAACTATTGTTAGACTAATTCGTTACTATAACAGAAGACTATATAAAATTACCGAGAAGGTTACTGATGAAATTAACAATGCAATTCATAAGATGTTACACATGGATCGTCATCATCATAAAAATGACCCATTTTACCAATCAGAATCACAAACCGCAACAAATAATTCAAAAAACCCAAACAATAACGATAATAATGATGATGGTAATAACAAAAGCAATAATAACTCCAGACCAACATCTGTAAAAATAGGTAGTAACAATAATGGAGATGGTGAAAATGGTGGTAAATTAATTATAGGTTCAACAAGTGATACTAGCATCAATAGTAACACTGGCCCAGGTAGTGTCAATAGTAATAATATTTACCATCACGAACATGATGATCATCATATCGAATTACAAATCATAAATAGAAATGGCTCTCTTAATAAAAAATCTAGTAATTTAGAAATTTCTTGGGATCTAAATAATAACCCAAATTTATTAAATAATACAAGTTTAAATTCGATTGATGAAAGTTTAGTCGAAAGCAATAATAATAATAACAACAATAACAACAACAACAACAATAGTAGCAATAATATGCATGAAAAAAATATATAGAATTTAATATAAAAAAGATTTTTATAAACAAACTATTTAGTATTTTTGGTAATAATAAAAAAAAATAAAATAAAAAAAAATATATATTAAATTAATATTTATTTATTTATAATTATTAAAAAAGATTCAATCATTATATGATCGGTTTTTATTTATATCTATTTTTATTTTATATAAAATTAAATAAAAAAAAATTAAATAAAAAAAAATTAAATAAAATATTGGAAATTTTTTTTATTTTTTATTTATTTTTGACTTGTCATCTGATGATCATCATCATTTGATATCAATTAATAATAAATTTATTAAACTGTTTATTTACATTAAAATCTATTTAAATATTTAACCAAAATATATTTTTTTTTTTTTAGAATTAGGAGAAACCAATTATTATTATAAAATAATTATTTCTTGTCAAAAAAAAATTTATTTTTAATTTTTTAAAGATTTTTAAAATTTTTATAAATAATGAAAATTATTTATAAAGCAATTACTATTGATGCCATTGCCGACATAGTAAAGATTTTTGATACCCAAACAAACAATTAAAATCATTAATATAATATTCATTTCAGTTCAATAAAAATAAATTTGTAAAATACAAACCCATGCCCCATTCACCCCATCACACTTCAAACACACTTTTGTAAAAAAAACAAATTAAATAACTTAATTTAATAAAAAACTTAATTTAAATGAGAAGGAAAAAAAATTATGTTTTTCTTTTTTTTTTTTTTTTTTTCAGTTTATAATTTAGAATTTCAAAAATGACTAAAGCAACTATAGATTGGAATAATTCTGAAATTAAAAGCAA